TCTGTGTGTGTCTGTGTGTGTCGAAAGTAGGTCCAACTGCAGTTTGTTCGTAGTTGTCTGAGCGAGCGAAAGACAGAGAGAGGGAAAGAAAGAAGGGGGGAAGAAGAGGGTTGAGAAAGCTATGAGAGCTCTGAGAGAGACAGGAACCTCGGAGGGAGAGAGCCTAGAGAGAATGGAAGGTGGTGTGGGACTCCAGGCTCTGGGCAGTGTGGGCACCACCACTCACTCCAGGATCAGTTACTCAGGGCTGTGGATGGCACTGGATGCAGCCAGTGGGCGGAGGAGAGAAAAGTGCGCTATTCCCGATTCTGGTAGACCCTCGCTGAGCCCCGCAATACTTTATGGCTTCACAAAGGTTTTCTGGAATAGTAACAGACAACGAACAAGAGACATAGAAAGGGAGGGGTAAAAAATGAAAGTGGAGATTCAATCGGTACTTACGGTATCATACAGTCGATGCTCACCTCCTCTTGCGGAAATCGTCAAACAGGTGGCCGGAGACGGTGCTGATGGGTGATTGATTTTATGGTAGTGAGTGGGACTAGGAATAGCCTGGAGGACTCGACCGAGTACACTCCTACTTACACTTTCAGTTAGTTCATATCTATCAAAGTTTATGGTCAGATTGCCTGGTGGAGCTGAGCTAACCGGTGCGCTTAAGTTCAACTGTTCCATCAAGTGAAGTTCCTGGCATTCGCTGGTGGGCACCATGGCACTGCATGCCAACTCCCTTGCTGTTTTCGGAACTCCCCCTCCCCTGCCTGCCTCCTCCACACTGGACAAACACGCAGCCAAATCACCCACCAGGTACAGGCTGTACTGCAGCCTGCCTTCAAAAGAAGGAAGCGTCCTTTTCAATCGGTTCAATCTCGAAAAATCACTCCTTTAAAGTCTTGTACGCCTCTGATAACAGACCACTAGGTCCTCCTAGGTTTATCCAAAAGGGATTTGTCTCATATGCGACTTCAGAGTTCTCGATTGCTAACTATCATCAAGCTAATAAGTCACTGGCTGAAAATAACAAAACTAACTTCGAATTTACCAACCAACTGTAAGTTAGTTGCTAAAGACTCGAATGAGTAATAACCAATTATGCTATTTAAACGGCCGGCATATGAAGACAGCTTAAGAAGAAGATATATTCAGACCCCACTTCTCAAATTCAGAAATTGATGCTTTCAGTGGGTCAGGATGTTTGCATCGCTGACGGTTCACTTATGCTGCATGTGGCCACTATAGACTAGAGCTCTCTTGATTTCGACTCGCTCCCGGCGCCACGCTTCGCATAGTTTCACCCCCATAGAAGAAGAATAGTGGGGAAAAGGATTATAACGAGCCCGTGTTGACGGAACTCGGGAAGTGAGCCTTTATGCGATATATACGATCATGGGGCTATTATGTAAGGGTGGAAGAGGGTTATATACAGAATGATCGTAAAGCCGTAAAGCCGTAAAGCGCTCGAAAACCCCTTCTACGACGTAGGTACCATAGTCCATGTTGCGGCATCGCAATTGACCTCCTCGAAGCTATGCAGACTATTGAAGCCCATCCCGGATAAGCAATCGAGGTTGCTATCACCATCAACCTGGGGAACAAATCGTTAATAACTAAGTTTCTTCATACACCGCCTGCACAGAGGGGACAAGCAACTCACACAGTCCATGAGCAGGGCCTCAGCACCCTGCTTACGAATTTGTTTGATGCCCAGTAAAATCAGTCCCTGCATGATCGTAGCATACTCGCCGACCGAAGGAGAAATGACTGGGGAAGAGATACCCCCGGCGGCGACCTGAAGAGATCTCAGGGCCGGCATGTGCTCTGCTAAAGCTGCTCGTCCACTGTAGACGACTACGCTGCCCAAGATAGCCCGATCACCGGGCCGTGTGGCCCGAATGATCCCACAGTGCGGAGCTCCTCTCAAAGCGACCTTGTAGATGTCCAGAACTCCTTGCCTCGAGTTCGTTTTAATGTGATCCAGGATCGACTCCGCGTAGTCCCATCCATAAACAAGATCGTAGGCCACGTCCGCATTCTGGATACTGTGAATCAAGCCGTCCGGTGGCGCCCAAGAAGACAAACTGCGCAATACCGCGCTACATACCGGCCGTGAAAGGGCCGTGTTCCAACCCAGGTTTGCAAACCATTGGCGGAGCCGTTTACGGTCCACCGGATTTGCTGATGGGATACCTAGGTATATTCCGGGAAGGCGAGAGCCAAGCTGGAACCTCTTCATGCCCTTCCTTTGCAAGAGCGTTCGAATGGCGCGGTTGTGGAGAGAATTCCCGATCGATAGCTTCCGTCTTGCAGGATGGACGATCAAAGACCCAATGACGCCAGTGCCCGTGGACCGGAAGTAATACGTGGAGCAGAATCCGTATAGAGTCTGTGTACTGCTGTTTCGAACCACAAAATGTGCCTCGTCAATCTCTTCTCTACAGAGCAAAAAGCTGGAAGATGTCACACCTAGCAACTCCGAACGTTGTCCTTGTACACAATCCTCTCGAACAGCGTCCAGAAGGGAATCCAAGGCATGGGCATCCCTATCCTCGTTCCAGCTCTCTACCAGCCAGTGTTGTCTCGCTTGATGAAGCTTTTGACTGCGGCTTATAGAACCTGGGAGTGATCCCATAGGGGTCAATTCGCCGTAAAGTACTTTGACCAGAGCCTCCAAAGCCGTTTCAGTGAAATCGTAAGTGCAAACATATGTTCCAATAGACAAGTCCATCGCAAAGTCGTATGGTGAACTTGCTGCAACCACAATTAATGGTTTCTCACGAGGTTCGCCTGAGGCCGTAAACTGGGACCTACAGATCATGGACACGTGCTTAGTGAACCCATGCTGATACAAGTTCCGGTTTGCATCTGCGGTGACAACGATGACTGCGCTAGCCCGATCAATGAGATTTTCATGGATGGGACGTACACCGTTCGCTGTGTAGGATGTGTGCAGAACACGTCCACTGCGATGTCGGGAAAGGGACCTTCCGAGCTCTTTGAAGACACTTTCGCCACTCAGTACGGATGCTGTTCGGTCCCGTGAGACAGGATCAAGAGATATGTTCAAATTCTCGGACACGGAGCGCGATACGGCAGAAGCAGGCAATGGCTTTACTAGGGGCGTCAACAGCAGCAACTCCTCGTTTTGGTCGAGAAAATTGGTCAAAGGTAGTAGGTTTTGCTTGTCTCGAACGACGGAAATAGAGCTGTTGTATGCTCGAGTTGAAAGACTGGTATGAGATGGTTGCATCTGGGTGAGTGAAGTAAGACCAGGAGGGTGAAGGGCTTGCTCCCAAGATGTGCATTTTGCCTTGAGGCTCAGTATTCTGCGGAGCGACTGTTCGATGCGTCCGCGCCCAATAATGCCGTTCTCCACACCAAGCTTCAAGCCGCTGATGGCCTCTTGCTGAACCTGGAATGAGCGACAAAGGAGGATGATATCACAACCGGCATTTTTAGCCATTACTGTCCCTCCTCCAACGCCAATATTGTGGGTGAGGGCCTCCATCTCTAGGCACTCAGAAACGACCACGCCTTTGAACTGCAGGTCTTTCCGTAGCAAATCATCAACCACCTGCTCGCTTAGGCAGGCGTGCATCACATTAACTCCGGCAGACGACATAGAAACGCCCCCGACCATCATCGAGTCCAAGCCATGAAGGATCGCATTGCGAAAGGGCACCAGTGCAGTCAAACTAAGCTGTTCTAGGGACTCAGTAATGATCGGCACGTCCGTCTGAGATCCGAGAAACTCCAGGTTACCATAGGAGGGGAAATGCTTGCCGCATGTCACGAGCCCTGCCTTTTGATAGCCTCTCATAAATTCAACGCCGTATTGAGAAACCTCTTGTGGGTCATCTCCCGTGGTGCGGACGCCCAAGGGCTGATTCCGCACATTGGTAAGCACATCCAGCACAGGGCCCAAGATCCAGTTCACCCCTACGGCTCTAAGCTCTTGTGCCGTCGCCACCGCAACTTCATGGGCCAGACCCTTTGAGCCTGTCGCAGCCATACCCATTGCACTTGGGTACTGCCGGATATAGATATCATCGTACAGGCTATTCACTCCGCCATTTTCCTGGTCCAAGGCAATGAGTAAAGGTACCGGATGGCCAGCATCCCGAGCGATTGTCTGCAACTCAAGAACCAATCGCGTTGCATCTTCTGCAGCTACACGTATATTAGTGCCTGTATCTGACAACAGAATGGGACGCTCGTTGCAAAGAAGCCATCATGGAAGGCTCAGTTGAGGAGAGAGTGGAGAAGAGTGGGGTATATGGGTACATTTAAGATTTTTGGCAGATAGCAGAACAGAGCCGAGGTGGTAGTCCTCGATGAGCGACCGAATCTGGGGACTGACAGATGTTCCATCGAAACCCATCATGAAAAGTTGCCCCATCTGCCTGTCAAAGCGCCATGGTAAAAGAACGCAGCTGTCAGCAGTGAACCGCCTACCCGCTAATATAGCTCGAAGAAGGGTTGTGCTATTGCAGGAATAGAGTAAAGTCCAAAGTCTAGAGGCGTACACAGCGGAATGGCGAAGCCAACGGATCAATTGGAATGTCCTTAGTAGTATCAAAGGCCGCGAAGGACGCCCGGGAGAAGAGAAGACACATGCCAAGACCGAAATTGGAACCTACCTGTCTAGGTCGTCCCAGCCAGGGGGGAGCATCTCCTTGGGGGCCATGAGGGCCCGGCGTGGAATAGCTATTCCTATCCACTAATGCCGGCGTGATGATCGGTGGACAGATAGAAGAGGCAAGGTGAAACAACGATGATGGGTTGCAAACGTCAAGGAAAGCTGGGAGGAGTGCCAAAACCGGCAATTGAGACCCAGTCCCGAGTTCCCAAGAGACAGGCAGACTTTGCTGGTTAGGTCAAAGCCGGGGTCGATTCCAGGAGGGTACCGTAGGAGTTTCTAGGATAGTAGGAATCACGAATGACAAAACATGAGGCGCGCACACACACACCACGCACACATGTAAGCACCAGACTGGCGAGTAGCAAAGATGACTCAGAATATCAGGGAAGTCAGCAACCGGTAGCAGGGCACCTTAATAGATGAAGACCAATAGCTGAAGGCGTGTGTTCAATCATTCATTCTCGAAGAGTTCAGTCATTGATGCATTCAGTCGTCCGATTCACTCAGTCATTCAAATCTAAGCTTATTTGTCCATTTGTCGGGGCCGATTTCCGAGTCACAACAGCAGAATTGATGATCTTCAACCCAAAGGTCAGCAGCGAAAGGGAGAGTGACCGAGAGAGTGACCCCAGCCCACTACTGCTGATCTTGGCGCACACCATCATGATCACATGACTGAACCTATTACTCTGCCTTTACCATACTCAGACATGAGGTTCTTCCCGCACCCCGCGCCTGGTTGTATCGTTACATGTAGAAGACATTACAAAAACCGTCGCGTACAGTACAGTACACTTACTTTCCTTAATACAGTACCTCTCCATCGAGGGGTTGCATGGCTGGAATGGATCAGTGGAATGAAACACTTGCATTTCCTTCCAACACTTTAGCTCCGCCGGGCGGCTTGCCACGATGACCCAATGCAACGCAGCATTTTGACAGCTTGATTACTTAATCTGGTAGTAGTCACCTAGGATGACGATTATGGATAGATGGAGGGAGGGACGGAGGGACCTTCGCGCCCATGCCACCTCTTTCTGCAACATTATCCATCATGTTCAGGCATCCAACGATGCTATTCGTGACAATGTCTTTCTTCCATATCCACTATCATGATGATTACCAGTTTTCTGGTCTGTTGGAGAATAGGTATCTCTGTCCTGTTTCGAAGGTTCTTTCCCTACTTCTCTTGTAGCACGGTAAGATTAGGACAGATGCAGCGGGAATCCCTCTGTGGTATGGCCGGTGCGTCATCGATTGCTTCACATGTTCTGTCAGTCACTACTCGATAGGTAGGTGAGCTAGGGACCGGCTATCCGGTGTTCAGGATAATTGAGTTGGTATGTATGTTGGCATCATCCAGAGACCCGAGCCGAAATGACCCCAATGAGCGTCACTTATAAAAACAGCCGGTTCGGAGTAGTATCATCCTGTCACACTTCTGTTGATCCCCAAATTGAGACTGTTACAGAGCCGTGGTTTGACAGAAAGCTAGCGACCACACTTCTTTATCTTCTTCCAAGCACCTACAACTGACTTGAATCTTACAACTACTACAATTCCTTTCATTCGCCTCCCCAACCAAGAGCTTGAATTCTACATCTGTATCCAGTACTCCTGCCTAACCCTCGCACCTCCTTCCTCTCTTCCATACGGTTCTTCCTGCTACCTCTTCTAGTGCCATACAAAAGAGACTGCCTGTCTGCTGGCCAGGCTTTACCTGTCGCAAGCCTAACTCGAGCCCATCTCTTTCTAGTTGGTGACGAAGTGTGTCCCCACACAACCGAAGTCTTTCACTATGTATGGCACTTCATTGCCTCCCGCTGTGAACCGATACTGACTTTGGCTTGGAACAGGCGAGTCATTATCCGCAACACTGCGTTAGAGGCCTCAGAGTATATTGCGGACTATATCATCAGTAAGTTGATGACCTCCCAGTCCATGGTTTGAGCATTCTATAGTGCCGGCATGCGCGCTGTAACGAGCACCTGTTGTGAAACACAACTCACTCGGTTATTATCTTCTCTTGACTAGGTCGCATCAAGTCATTTCGACCAACTGAAAATCAGCCATTCGTACTTGGCCTGCCAACGGGTAGCAGTCCAGAGATCATCTACAAGACCCTGGTACGCCGACACAAGAAAGGTGAGATATCCTTCAAACATGTCATAACCTTCAACATGGTAGGTTAATTCCTTCCCCCCACTACGAAGCTACAAGGCTGCTGCTGATTCAAGTAGGACGAATATGTCGGGTTGCCTCGTGATCATCCAGAGTCATACCACAGCTTTATGTATAAGCATTTCTTCTCCCATGTGGATATCCCGCCCCAGAATGTCAACATTCTCGACGGTAACGCTCCGGATCTCGCAGCCGAGTGTGCCTCATTTGAAGCCCGCATCGCTCGGTTTGGGGGCATCGAACTCTTTCTTGGTGGCGTGGGCCCTGATGGGCATATTGCCTTCAACGAGCCAGGCTCCTCGCTGAGCAGTCGTACGCGGGTCAAAACACTGGCGTATGACACGATCTTGGCCAATTCACGGTTTTTCGACAATGATGTCGATCAGGTACCCCGACATGCACTGACTGTTGGCATCCAAACTATTATGGAAGCACGAGAGGTGGTAATTGTGGCCACCGGTGCTCACAAGGCTCTCGCACTGGAGAAAGGTCTGGAAGGAGGCGTGAATCATATGTGGACGCTCTCAGCTCTACAACTGCATCCACACCCATTAATTGTCTGTGATCGGGACGCGACCCTGGAATTGAAGGTTAAAACAGTACGTTACTTCGAGTCTATCGAGCAGTCTGGTACAGATGCGCGCACCCAAGGCCCACCTCTTGCCTATAGACCCCGGACGTACGTTCCGGCTCCAATCGGTCTCAGCAAGACTCACCAGGAGCTCACGCCGCAAACAACTCCTCAAAAAGTCCCCAAGGATCTGAGAATCAATACGGAGCTGAGTCGGTCGATGGAAGACGATGAATTAACACCTGATAGCATGTCATCACGGATGGCTGACTCAGCGATCGGTGGTTTAGATTCGGCATTAAAAGGGGACATGCTCTTTGATCGCATGGGAGCAAGGGTCATTTCCCACTGATTACGAGGTCTACGAATCGGACAAAGCTATATTTGCCCTTGTCTCATCCGGAAGTTGCTGGGGATGAATTTGGAACCGGCCGGTCATGGAAGACCGAATTTACTATCTCGCTTGACACCACTACTCATTCAATTTTGTGCTTTCGATGCGTGGTTCCTTGAAGAACCGAACTCAACAGGAAGGTTGTTTTTATAACGTAGGACAGGTATGAGAAGACTAGTTGGCTTAACAGTAGAGATTGACTGTGATCTGATTTCTTTGACATAAAAATCATATGAGTGCGTCATTTGCAAGCAGTTCATTGGTTGGAGCGACTAATTACGAATACTCATACAAGTTAGAAGTACATACACATTCAAATATTGTTATAGGATTCTGATTGTAGAGCGTGATCGCGGCCCTTGCCCATGGACGTGCCAGACAAGGTGAAACTGAATGCTCTTTCACTGCACTGGGATACATGATGAGCCCATCGTGGTTCCACAACAGCTAGTGTTTGACTCTTAAGGCCAGCTTCCGGTTGGGTTATTGCTGCGCGAGGTATCTGCTCCGCAGATACCTTCAGCGTTGGCAAACTAACCCACATGAAAACTGAGCTCTTAGCTGACTAGATATTCAGGGAGGGCTAGTAGGCGTCCTGGAAATTTGAGAGGGTATTCTATATAACATTCCAAATTAATGTCATAATTACAGCTTCGCGAAGACGGTCGCCACCGCTCCATTCATATCAACAAGGGTGCTCTTATTTTTGACCCACGCCTCGATACCCTTGCGTCCGTTCTCAACACCCACCCCGCTCTTCTTCCAACCACCGACGGCCATCTCAGCAGGGCTCTCACCCCAGCTATTGATCCAGGTAATGCCCGCCTGCAGCTGGTCGATAATGCGGTGGGCCAGGTTCAGATCCTTGGTGAAGACTCCCGCAGCCAGACCGAGTTCGGTGGTATTCGCTCGTCTGACCGCTTCTTCCACCGTTTCGTAGAATAAGATAGACATCACGGGGCCAAATATTTCCTCTTGAACAATACGCATATCATCCGTGCAGTCTGTGAATACCGTCGGGCGCACCCAGAAGCCGGATCCCAAGTCAGTCGGAACATTTGGCTTGCCCAATCCGCCATAGAGCAGGGTAGCTTTGTCTGTCTCAATGCCATGGCGAATGTAGGAAATAACCTTCTCTAGATGTACGGCAGAGCTCAAGGGGCCGAAGTTGGTCGACTCATCAAACAAGGGCCCAGGACGGATGTACTGCATCTTCTCCAAAAGGCGCTTTTCGAACGCGGTCTTCATGCCAGCGGGGACGAAGACTCGAGTACCATTGGTGCACACCTGGCCCGTGCTGTAGAAGTTAGCCATCATGGCCCCATCTACGGCGTTCTCAAGCTCGGCGTCCGGCAAAATGATGAGTGGGCTCTTGCCACCCAACTCCATGGTGACATATTTCATGTTGCCAGCGGCTGAACCGGCCACTTTCATGCCCGTGGCTACTTGGCCTGTGAAAGAGACCTTGGCAATTGTCGGGTGAGCAGTTAAGTAAGCCCCAACATCGCCTGCGCCGTAAACGACGTTGAACACACCGGCTGGAAGACCGGCTTCTGTATAGATCTCGGCCAGCGTCTGCGCGTGCAGCGGGGTAAATTCACTTGGCTTGTAGACCATAGTGTTGCCTGCGGCCAGGCAGGGGGCAGATTTCCAAAGCGCACTACAAACGAATTCTTAGCCACCCTTTCATAAACTTCATTTAAAAATAAAGAAGGGGAAATCTTACATCTGTATGGGATAGTTCCAAGCCCCAATTCCCACGCAGACACCCAGCGGAGCCTTTTTGGTGTACACCCAGGCGTCTTCTCTCAACTGCGTGGTCTCTCCATTTAGCCCACCACCGCCGACCAGGTTCGCATAATATTCAACGACATCGGCTCCGGTGACAACGTCCACAGTACTTGTCTCAGTATAGGCCTTGCCCGAGTCGAGCGTTTCGACGCGAGCAATATCGTCGTTGCGCTCGCGGAGCAGGGCGGCGGCTCTCTGAAGGATGCGGGCACGCGCAATGGGTGGGGTTTGAGACCACGAGGGAAAAGCCCGGTCGGCGGCAGTGATAGCCGCGTCTACATCGGAATGCGAAGCAACCTGGATCTCAGCTAAGGGAGTTGCGTTGGAGGGATTAATGGATTGGAAGGTTTTGCCTGAGGAGGCAGGCTGGGTCTTGCCGTCATAGTACAGTTCGCGAGTAGGAAATGCGAGGGACGCCATGGCTCTGATAGGGAATCGGAGCCCTATTGCTCGAATTGTGTGGAAAGAAAGAATGGTGCAAGATATGGGGAAGAGGCGATGGGAGGAAGAGAAGAAGAGGAGAAGTATTACTGTTGCCGAGAAGAGGAACCTCGAGTCCTGTCTTGGTTGTACTTAGTACAGTACATGTATGAAAAAGTCGCATGCTCCGAGGCTCCCGAGTCATCAGCCCAGCCCGCCCAAAGCAAGATGAGACGCAGGTGGCGGCGGGGCTAAACCCGAAAGAGGATCATGGTCTTCACCGCCAACCCAATTTCCTTCAGCTTATCTAATATGAACGGCGGCGATTCTCCGGCCGCGGCAGTTGAAACGAGCAGGTTTCACTAATCTGTGAGAGACAATCTACCTACGAAACATCAGTGCTTATCGTTAAGCGGAGGAGGAGGAGGAGGAGGAGGAGGAGGAGGAGGAGAGGATAAGGGCCTATGCCAAGCATCAACAATTGTGTTCTTCGTCATTTCCATACTCAATAAGGTATGCCTGTGCTGCCGTCTATCTAACTCATCCCTAGGGCCCAAGCAGGCAATGCGATCCCGGATTGTCTTCGGCCCTGCATCTCCGATGGAGTTCACCATTGACTAGTGCCCCGTTCGCGGGATCGTGGCGCGACTTAGTGTCGGATCCCCATGTGGAGTATTGACGTCGTGGGAGGCTGATAAACCGCGGAAGGTGAACAAAATCAAGAGGTATTGACTACTTGTGCACCATGCCTCTGCTGCTATAGCTTATAGATAAGGCTGAGCTGAAGCCACGTTACCTGATACCAAGACTTGGTGAGAATACCAAGTATGACCGGAATATGGCGAACAATGAGGATGAATTCTTGCAGCCGGTCTGATTACTGCGGCAGGTTTCCAACTACCGCCCAAACTCTCCAATAGGCACGTCGCCGAAGTTGAGTCAGCCCTCCACTGCGGCGCAATCCCCGCCACACGGCAGCCGTCATTGGGTGATGTGAACTCGGTGCCTTATCCTGAGGTGGGGATTTCTTTTCACGAAACCCATTGAAATTCTACCAAGAAAGCAGGGCGAAAAAAAAAAGGAAAAAAAAGAAGAAAGTGTGCCAGAGGAGATAGAAAGTGGAAACGAAGGGGATTATTCGCAAGTTTTAGGTGTACAAGACATGGCCTGATCTGGGTCTTTACAGAATCACCGCTCTTTTCCTCGTCTTCAATTTAAATCCTTTTTCCCCCTCCCCGCCGTCTTTCTCTTCTTCCCTTCCCGTCTCCTCCATCCCCTCCCCGCCATTTTTTGGTCATCCTCTCTCTCTCACGCCCTCCTCATTCACTATCTTGGGATTCACTTCGATTCCCATATTATTCAGCATGGCTACCACCAACGAGTTTCCAGCCAGCGATGCCAACAGTTATGACTATGTCATCGTGGGAGGTGGCACAGCAGGCTGTGTCATTGCCAGCCGTCTGGCTGAATATCTGCCTAACAAGCGCATTCTGGTGATTGAGGGAGGCCCCAGTGACTTCATGGATGACCGCGTGCTCAACCTGCGCGAGTGGTTGAATCTACTCGGAGGCGAGTTGGACTACGATTACGGTACCACCGAACAACCAATGGGTATGTTAACACTTGAGGCTCGAGACCAGCCTAGTATCGATAGGAACTCAAACTTGATATTGATTGGAGATACGCACAGGCAACAGTCATATTCGTCACTCTCGCGCCAAGGTGCTAGGTGGCTGCTCTAGTCACAACACCTTGATCTCCTTTCGTCCATTCGAGTACGACTGCAAGAGATGGGAACAGGCTGGCTGCACAGGCTGGTCCTTCGAGACCTTTACCCGCGTCCTTGACAACCTGCGCAATACCGTTCAGCCCGTTCACAGCCGTCATCGCAATCAGCTGTGCAAAGATTGGGTTCAGGCTTGCTCCAGCGCCATGAACATTCCCGTCATCTCTGATTTTAACAAGGAAATCCGCTCCAAGGGTGAATTGACTGAGGGCGTTGGTTTCTTCTCCGTCTCCTACAACCCTGACGACGGCCGCCGCAGCAGCGCCAGTGTTGCTTATATCCACCCCATTCTTCGTGGCGAGGAGAAGCGTCCCAATTTGACCATTCTGACTAACGCTTGGGTGTCGCGCGTTAATGTCGAGGGAGACACTGTTACTGGTGTCAATGTGACTCTCCAGTCTGGTGCGAAGTGTACTTTGCGGGCTAAGAAGGAGACCATCTTGTGCGCGGGTGCCGTTGATACACCTCGCTTGATGCTGCTCTCTGGTCTGGGTCCGCGCGAGCAGTTGAGCTCTCTTGGCATTCAGGTTATCAAAGACATCCCTGGTGTCGGCGAGAACCTTCTGGATCATCCTGAAAGCATCATCATCTGGGAGCTCAACCGTCCTGTGCCTCCTAATCAGACCACTATGGATTCTGACGCAGGTATCTTCCTACGTCGCGAGTTGCCTAACGCACATGGTTTCGACGGCCGAGCCGCCGACCTTATGATGCACTGCTACCAGATCCCCTTTTGCTTGAACACCACTCGCCTGGGTTATGACACCCCGGTGGATGCGTTCTGCATGACCCCCAACATTCCCCGTCCTCGCTCCCGTGGTCGCCTCTTTTTGACCTCTGCTGACCCCAACGTCAAGCCCGCCTTGGACTTTCGGTACTTCACCGACCCTGAGGGCTATGATGCTGCTACCATTGTCGCTGGTTTCAAGGCAGCCCGCGAAATCGCCCAGCAGTCGCCCTTCAAGGAGTGGATCAAACGCGAAGTGGCTCCCGGCCCCAAGGTACAGACGGACGAAGAGCTTTCTGAGTATGGTCGTCGCGTGGCGCACACTGTGTACCACCCGGCCGGAACCACCAAGATGGGCAACTTGACCCGTGACCCCATGGCCGTTGTCGATCCTCAGCTGAAGGTTCGAGGCCTGAAGAATGTGCGTATCGCCGACGCGGGTGTCTTCCCGGAGATGCCAACCATTAACCCCATGTTGACCGTATTGGCCATCGGCGAGCGTGCGGCTGAGTTGATTGCGGAAGAGGCAGGCTGGAAGCGCGAGCAGCCTCGTCTGTAAGCGCCTCAGGCCGGCAGAATTCATCCTCGCATTTATCCTAGTCTTGCTACTTTGACCCAACAGGAAGGGTTTGGAATTGCTGAGAAAGAGAGAGAATAGGAGAGTGACACATGCATGTCTCAGCGCTTGTGAGTCTCTTCTGCTTCGAGCTCGTGACCATTGGCCATCTACGCATATGCGTACGGGCATTTATAGGGCCTCGATCTATGATTTACGAATGATGATTTTTGGAGAAGTGCAAACAAGGAACCAAAGGGGGATCTCTCAATCTCAGCCTGGAGGATCAAAAGCCTGCGCTTTTACTTGTTGTATCAATACTTGTTTGTATATTAGAGTCGGCGCATCTTACGCGCTAGATATAAAGAACCACTACTATAGACCTCGTTGAGTCATATCTAAACTTTCTGATATGAAATTCGGAAATCACTCTCACTGTTGAAGTCAGGCCGGTGGCTGACGGTATCAGCCGGCTACTTGTCAGCAACCAGGACGGCATGAAGTCAAGCATTCCGACGACATCATCAAGCATCCTTATCAGCATACCTCGGTTGGATGTGAGATCATGCTGCGGATAGTTTCAGCCAGACAAATAGTGAGTGTCCGTCAGCGTCCGTCAGCGGACGGGACTTGGGCCCGTTGGTAATTTTGATAACTGGTACGATTTCAGTACCGGTACCTACTCGATACATCATGGTGAATTGATTGGGAGGGGGAGCGGAGGGGAGCCTGCTGGTATTTCACTTTCACCTAGTCAGTTAGTTAACCGAACTGCTGAAAAATCTCAACTAATTGTCTATCACCGGCATCGTCGGCATTAGCATTAGGTACATACCTTCCGTCCATGATTCCCTAGGAGCTACTGCCGTTGTTGTATGCTCACCATTTAGCTTTATTGAATTTGACTTCACAGACCATCGTTGCTGGCGGCTTAGAACAACACACGCGAGCTCCATGGGGAGGGGGCCAATGAAGCAACTATCTGGGCAGCTGCACTGAAAGTCTACCGGCTGGATGATAAGGGTGAATGCTACGGTGGCAGTCACGGACCCGACTGGCGCCGCTCCCCCGCATTCGGCAAAGCTTCAGCTGCCCGATGTCACCGTTGCCTTCAGGTTCGATGATGGGCAATAAGTCTGTTTCCAGTTGTTCTCTTTCCATAGTCCACTCAGCCTTTTCAACCTTCCACTAACTGCCATCCTTGTCAACTTCATAAATCTTTTGTTAACTGGGTGTCACATTATCATCCTTCGACATCATGACTATTGATTATATCAGACTTTCGGGATCAGTAACTCGTACCAGAATCCTAACCAATTTCCCCCCCGGCTGACAACCATCTGTCATGCATGCGGAGATAAGCCCCTTCGCCCCAGGCCAACTGGTAGGTAACACTCGGTCTGTGAGCACTCGTAGTAGGCCTGGAATCATAGTTGAATCATCGATGAACTCCAGGTTTCCATGATCTCCACTCAGTTTGTGTATTTAACTAGATCATGCCGTGTGAGGGCGGACCTGGCATTCGAAGTCAGATTGCTGTTTTTTTCTCTTTCTTTTCCCCTTTCCCTCGACAAGTTTTATTCTTCTCCCCGTATCTCGCCTGCAGTGGGGTGGATCATCCCATGTGGACGTCGATCGACTCGCAACCCTACCGCTGCAGCTTCTGATTCGTGCCAGAAGAATCAACTAGCTAGGTACCGGTGATAAGGTACGCCAGTCTATCCATCTAGAAGGTACAGTAACTCTAGTCAGGTAGGTAGGTACCTAAGCCCATTTGTGCGTTGCTATTTGATACTATCTGCGTGTCTTGTGATCCTCCACTCATCCACTCAAAGGTTATCTAATTTCTTGTCGCATTTCCAGTATCTCTCTACCTACGTGATATCTTCTCTACTTCTTTTTTTTTTTTTTTTCTTTCTTTTGCCGTCCGTGTATTCCAGGGTGGTATCCACCACTTCACCTTCAGTTACCAACTCAATCTCACGACAACCACCACCACATACGAACACAACACAAACAACAATCAGCTCACACTTGCCTCTCGTTTCTCGCCTCCTCCTCCTCCTCCTCCTCCTCCTTCTTTGTTTTCTCAATTACTGAGTTTGGAGATATCTAATTTCTTTTTGCTGCCCCCACTTCCACCCCCGCCTATCGGTTACTATTCTTACTGGCATCCGATAACAGTAAGTTTAGCTTCCATCACACCACACCGTCCGAGACTATTTGTTTTCGTGGCCACCCCTACATTCTTACCCCGGATCATCCTAAAAACAATCCCATCCCTTGTCACGCCTTGGTCCGAAAAATATTTCCCGTCGCTAGCCTTGTGTCCCCGGAGACCTACATATTTTCTGCTTGTCTTAATTTCCACCTGCATCACTCTTCCGTTCCTCTGGTGGTCTTCTTGTTGCTTTACTCCGTTCGGTGTTTCCTCCTCCCATTCGTTCCTCCTCGATTCTTCCTCTTCCTTTCGAATCTTTGTCTGGGACCTTACTCCTTTTCATATTTCCGCACATATATTGATCTTGCAATATTTCTAGATTGATGCACCCCCATCATTTGTTGTAATCCCACTCTGCCTGCCTGCTCCGTGCAAGATCGTGTGCCTACCATCGTTGTTTACTTCCTTCCACTGAGCAAGTGGCGAAATCTTCCCTCGTCGTGTCTCAGACTAGTCTACGTCCTTGACACTTCGACCCGGGGAATTCAAGAAGGATGGCTACATCAACCACTGGTCTGGAGGGTCAACAGCCCGAAAAAGAGGTACAGGCTGTTACTATCGACCCTGAAGCTGGCCAAGACCGTGCGCTTACTGGCAAGTCCTGGATGTATAAATCATTCAAGATCGGCCCATGGACTTTGCCGTATTTTGCCTCACCTGACGCGCAGCTTCTCTTGGTCTCCTTTGTCTGCTTCCTCTGCCCAGGAATGTTCAATGCCGTCAGCGGCCTTGGAGGTGGAGGTCAGCTAGGATTTAAGGACGTCAACAACGCCAATACTGCTCTTTACAGTACTTTTGGTGTCGTTGGGTTTTTCGCGGGCTCCGTTGCGAACCGCATCGGTCTGCGTTTGACGCTATCGATTGGTGGCTTCGGTTATTTTCTTTATGTCGCTTCGCTGCTGTCCTATAATCATAACCAGAACTCCGGCTTCCTGATCTTTGCTGGTGCACTTCTGGGCGCCTGCGCTGGCCTTCTATGGTGCGCGCAGGGCGCTGTTATGATGAGCTATCCGAACGAAAAGGAGAAGGGCAAATTCATCGCCGTATTCTGGGTCATTTTCAACCTCGGCGGCGTGATTGGCAGTCTGGTATTTATTGTTGTCTCCTAGCATTGATTCACGAACTAATACTTTTACCGCTCAGGTACCCTTGGGCCAAAACCTGCACTCGGTCGCGGGCCAAGTGAACGATGGGACTTACATTGCCTTCATGGTCCTCATGGCCTTGGGGTTTGTCTTGGCCTGGGGTCTAGCCGATTCAAAGTATGTCAAACGCAAGGATGGCTCGCACGTTATCGTCATGAAGAACCCTACCTGGAAATCGGAGTTCATGGGTCTCTATGATACGCTCCGAACCGACTACTACATTCTCTTACTCTTTCCCATGTTCTTGACCAGTAATTGGTTCACGGCGTACCAGTTCAATAGTGTCAACGGCGCGTATTTCACCATCCGCACACGAGCCCTCAACAATCTGCTTTACTGGCTGATGCAGATGCTTGGAGCGTTTGTTTTCGGCCAGTTGCTGGACCTGAAATTCCTTTCTCGGCCCACCCGAGCCAGGCTCAACCTGATCATCTTGTTGGTTCTCACCATGGGCGTTTGGGGCGGTGGTTACGCGTTCCAAAAGACCTATACTCGCGAAACGGTCAAGGCAGATACCGACTGGACGAGCAGCGGCTTCGTAGGTCCGATGTTTCTGTACATGTTTTACGGGTTTTACGATGCTGCTTTCCAAACTTGTGCATATTGGTTAGTTGATTTTCCCGGAATTCCTCGTCATGGTCTTCTTGGCTTTTTGGCAGCGACCACTAGACTAACCGGGTTGATTATAGGTTCATGGGTTCTCTGACAAACAACGGTCGCAAGCTGGCCAATTTTGCCGGCTTCTACAAGGGTATCCAGTCTGCTGGTGCAGCAGGCATGTGGCGGTAAGCCTCCTTTAGGATCAACCACGCCTCTAAACATATCAGTCCCCACTAATGTTTCGGGGACGAACAGGTTGGATGCAGAAAATACTCCTTTCATGACTGAATTCGCTACTTGCTGGGGTCTCCTCGCTGGCAGTATCGTGATAGCCTCCCCTGTTGTGTTCCTCAAGATCAAGGAACACGCGGACATTGAGGCTGATCTCCGCTTCTCAGACGAGACTGCTCAAGAAGTTGGGGTATCCGTTCCCTTGGAGCAGCAACAATCCACCGAAAAGAAGGACGAGAAACGTGTCTCTCTCAGTTGATTATCCTCCCTGGCGTACCATCTGCCCATTGCAAGACGATAATCTGGTTACGTGAGACAATGCTGCAATGATACACGATACACTAAATCTGGCCCTATGTGCTTGTACTTCAGGTTTTTGAAGCATGATTTTTTTACTATCTTGATCTCATTAATATTCATATCTCATGAGTCGCTTATGAAATTCAGGGGTAGGAGCCCTTAATGACATATTTTCTCCACCAGTGACCTAGCATTTAATTATCACTACTGCCTAAAATTTGTGGTCGGACTAACTATCCTTTGGGTGCCTTGCCTTTTGACAGCGAGGCTACATACTCTGGAATGCTTGACGGATCACTCGGCGAATTTTCATTGCCGGTCTTTGTGTAACTTCCACTCCAATCCTGGCCTCTTCGCACAGTAAGGGAAAAGACATTGTGTCTCATGCAGGCTGCCAAGAGTAAAGTTAACAAGCAAAGCTGGGACCGAGAGGAAGGAGTGCAGGACTCTGGATTGAACGTCAATGCGCTTGCACCGGGACATTTAACTCGCAGCCAACCCGCCCTGCATCGAGCGGCGCTCTTGACCTCGGTTTGCTGCATGTACAGTATACAAGCATTCGGCCACGTGATATTGCATAGATAGTGCTGCTCGGTCTTCTCTCTCTCCTGTGAGTGCAGAGACAGAAGACACTCTGTGTGTGTGACTTTGACGGTGCAATTTATAGCATAATTACTAGAATTCTAGTCAAGTCGTGCTTGCAAATATCCTACATCACAGCACCCACTCAAAAAGCTGTAAAAGCCGTGATAGGCAAATAGTAGAGCACCTCGGGACCAGTCTGAAATTCTCGTGTATGTTTCACTGCGTTCTCTCAACTCCAGCCCCAGTCAATGCAACGTACCCGGCGGAGTGGAACGGCGCTGCAGGCCTGTGGCCAAGTGCAAAAGAGACGCACCCGGCCAAGCTACTTGAGTAGGAAATGGAAAACAGAAATTGCATGAAAAGAGAGACCGAGAGACCAAGAAAAAACAAAGGGCGGGGGTCCGACCAGAACAAAAGAGAAGAACAGGCGATATAAGCTGGTGGCAAGCGTATCTATCTCCTTCACAATAAGGCTCTGTCTCGTGGAACGAATTGAATACACCACGACCTACTTATAGCCAGTATTTGTGAGTTTATAGCGTAACACCGGGAATGCAGATAGTACCGAAAGAGGACCAGAACGTAGAAAAGAGGGAGTTGATTGGTCCCAGAAGAATAGGTACCGGGGAGTTCCGTACGGTCCCTTCTGTCCCGTTAAATTTCTGCCGAATTGTGAGTTTAATGATCAGGTCTGACCGACTGAATGACACAGTGCTGAGGACAATTTACTGTAGTACTCTTTCACCGCTACTGACGATGCTGTCATGGATCCACCAGTCCACAACAGCTTCAACAGCGGGGCAGAGCGGTCCTTTCGACTCCAGTCACTAAGAAGGCTCTCGAGGTTCCAATTAGTGTTACTTTCGGCAACGCGTTAGTGCTGCTAGTCTATGCTATAGGTCCACGAGACACGAATCTTTTGTGACTTCTCTCAACGCATAGCATATTCTAAATACATCTGACTTGATCATGTACACATTTATATGCCTCATATCGCATGCGGCTTTGCAGTGCGGATTATATACAAACATCGGCAGGCACAATTACTAGCGTCATCGTGAAACCAAACATACCCAGCTGTTCAAAGAAGGGGGCAAAAGATATTGAACAGACCCCTTTAGGTAGTTCCGCCCAAATCCTAAACAAAGCGAGAAGACTCCGATGCTTATGTCTTAGAACGTAGGCACAAGGGCGAAGTATGTGCGCCGAGGGGAAAGACAGATCATTATCATCAACAGGAATTGCACCCAAACGAAAACAAAACAACAACAACAATCAAGATTGCACTCAGGCAACGTAGGATACGTCAGGCAAGTCTCAGAGATTTAATCCGAGCTCAGCGTCAAGATCGGATGAGATTGTATTCATCTCGGTTTGCGCCACCCCAGGGACGCGCTCGTCGCAAAGTTGTCCGTCTTCCAGACCCGTTAGATCGAGACCTTTGCCCGCGGGATGGAATGTAGTCATGTCAGGCAAGTTTTCCAGCGCACCCAGGCTAAAATTGTAGCCCTTCCCCCCGGCGAGTCCGGCAGAACTGAGACCATCATCGGCACCAAGAAAGTCAGCCCCAGGGTCATCAAAATTGATTAAAGCATCGAAGTCATTCTGCGTGACTTCTGCGTCGTTCGCCAGGTCCATCAGTTGGCTTAGGCTTAGTTCCGCATCCAGGTGTGGGATACCGAAAGCGTCCTGACGGTAGCTCGGGTTGATATTACTTGTGCTGCCATTCTCGCTGCCGTCAGAAGCCGGTGGAGTTGAGGCAAAAGTAGGCCCGCTTTCCGCAGCAAGCTGTTCGGTAAGCCCAGCCGCATCAGACTTAGGGAATGTAAGATCGGGGATCTTCTGTGCCAAGGAATCTGGAGGCGGAGTCAAGGCATTGATGCGAGTGGTCGCGTCGAGCGTACTGCTGGACCGTGCCTGCATATCCTGTGGTGCCACTGTGAGCTGAATGCCGGCCTTCCGGATCGCAGCCTCCAAGAACGATGTCGCGAAGTCGGCAGATGCGTAGATCTCCCTTAGGCGCTGTAGGATTCGCATGCATTGATAGAATCGCTGTAGACTGGTCATTCGGATCGTGGGATCGCTAGACTTGATATCGAGAAGATGGATTATAACGGCAGGAAGAAGAACGGTGACACCAGTCGTAGGGAAGAATCGGGTTAAATCAAGACTATGTAGGTCTTGGGCGATATTCGTGATCTCAATGGCAGCATATCTAACCTTGTTCCTTGAGATCTCTTGTAATTCAGCGTCCGTGGATGGGAAAGGAATAGCGGGGAGAACCTGCGGGCGATGCAGAGCGCTGGACGTTGTCAAATAGACCATTTTCAGTAGAGCTCGGTGGGAATGAAGCACCTCTTGAGCCTCACCCAATCTGGCAGGTGCGGCAGGGGCATATTGAATCTCGGTAGGAAGGTGGGCCAGCCAGTCTTCTAACTCTTGGTCACAACGGCGAACCTCAAAAGTTTCTGCCGCCGACTTCTTGGGTACCAGCATCATCGTAGTCTCCATCGTCCCGCCGAATTTGTGACTTAAGACCGAGTACTGTGCGGACAACACATGGCTGACACACAGACAGAGCTTTGCCTTCTCGATGAACATCAGGGCTAGCTCTCGCTGATGATTTGGGTTCTGTAGAATCTCCGAATTGCCCACCATGCTCACGATCTCGGGAGAAAACGACTGGAACTCAAAATCGTCGAGGGTCAACATAGGAACGTCACAGTCATCGTCTTTCACACGCATAGGGCGTCTCATCCCTAGCGCAATCAGACGATCGCGTGTATATGTGCTCCACCAGATTCGTTTCCACATTCGCTGGCGTCGAACATCCATGCGGGAGTTGCCCGGATCCCGATGTAAGCCGATCGTGTGTGCAAGCGACAGACTCACACCCATCCAATGCCAGGTATCCTTCTGATCATCGGGTGTCTCATACCAGTAGGTCATCAAAAGCAGAGACTGAACGAGCGAGATCCGGTCCACTTCGTAGTCAAAATCATAGAGAAGCCTTGCGCGCTGGAAGAAGCCCTTGCGGGCCGCCTTTCGTGAAGGATAGCCCGCCGCATGAAGGTACTTGAGGTCAATGAAAGCTGTACCGGCAAACATCACAGCCTGGAAGAGCAACAGACTCATTCGACGGATACCGTCGTTCTGAACAATCGTTTGCAGAAATTCTTCCAGGTCGAGAAGGGGCATGTAGGTGTGTACGTAGTGGATATAGCTTTTGAGCAACTCGTTGCGTAGACCCACGTCAGGGACGGTCAACGCCCCTTTCTGGTACAAATAATCAATGTCTTCCTTTTGGAGCCGAGGAGGTAGGCCGCGGATATAATCGGGCAATACAACCCCGCCGGTTCTCGCATTCGCAAAAGAGGGGTCCAGTAATTGCTGGATCTGCGAAGTGACATGGTGCAATGGGAGAGTCGCCGGAACAGCCGGGTTGGGCGCCATTCTCCGTCGAAAACGATCTCCCGAGCCAGCCCTGTTGGCTTGACTTTGATCTGTACGAAGTTGTCGTGTTAGCAGATGCTGCCTTCAAGCTCATGCCTATGCGAACGACTGGAGGATTAATGCGTACACAAAAGATGAGGAATATGGTGTCCTTGGTCCAAGTCCAGCGAACGCTGGGATGGAGACGCAGGAACGACGTCTGGGAGCCCGTGGCATTCGCTAAGTCTGCGAAAGAGGTTGGCACCATCCTCAGCGCCATCCACGGGAGAGTGCGCGTGTGCGGGCGGTTGTGAGCTGACATTATCACCTTCCACGCGTGATTTCCTGGGTAATGGCAACAAGGCACGCTCAAGGTTAGCCGGGAACTCAGCGGATTGAAATCAAATGGGAGACAGATTCGACATGGACGAACTTTCTCCTCTTGCTCTCAGTGACGATGCACTCTACTTGGTCCAGGCGACAATTGGTGCATGGTGACCCATTCTCGACCACGTCACATCGCACCTTACGAGCCCGACAACAGCAGCATGCCTTCGAAGCCCGTCGTTTTACGGGACGGGAATTGGCCGGCAGGCCTGCTGTAGAGGCCTTGCGTTTGCTCTTGGGGTCGGTCTCCATGGGACTGTTGGATGTCGGTGACGGTGATGCCGCAGAGTTAGTCATTATTGCGAAGAAGAGGAAGAAGAAGAAAAAGAAGGAGAAAAAGAAGCAGCACGGATTGGATGTTTCCAATCCATTCGATGGTAGGAAAATGTTCTGAGTAATGTGCTGAGTGGGAAAAGGCGATGTGTGGACAATCGAGAGTCCACGATAGAAAGTCAAGAAGTGTGGAAGGATAAACAGAGAAGGTTGAAATTGGTGATCAAAACAAGAGAGAGAGGTACGGAAGAGTGGAGATGTAGATCTTTCTTTGGCTTTGTGCCTCTTGGTTTTCGTTTTCTTTCTAAACCCGTGATACGTGTTAAGTGTTCGAATGTAGAAGTGACTCGAGAATGTCTTTAGGTACTCTGTCTCCCGTCTTTTGCTTGGGAAGGAAGAATTCCGGGGAAGCAGAGGAGAGCGATCACCGGACCACGTTTCAATCTTCTTTTCCTTTTTTTTTTTTTTCGTCCAAAGGGACGAAAGCCGGCGCAAGACCCGGGGGCCGGGGAGGAGAATGTTTAAGTAGGGATTTAGTAATAAATATGGGAAGGGAAAAAAAAACCCTCACCCCAAAATTGACATTTCAGTCAGTCTCAGTCAGGGAGGCGTTGGCGGTTAGCGTTGGGGGAGGGGGAAGAGACCAGCCCCAGATCCACTTTAACAGAAAGAATCATTGCCTCCCCCAGACCAGGACCGTGGAATTGCCGCCCAAAAATGGCAGAGGAAGGCGGTACAGCATTGGAGACGAAGACAAGTAAAATTAACTTCCCGGGTTGTGTCAATCATCTGGATTGTAAGGGACATCACAGCAATTTGCATACCGATACGGAGTACGGAGTAGACTACTCGACTCCAGCCTAGTTTTGGGACTAGTCTAGGTCAAGTTAAGTCACGCCGGCCAGAGAATTATCACTGGATTGGAAGGAGAGAAACGTCCACGGGTAGGCCTGCAAAGAAAGTGGGCCATGTTCGGTGGGGACTCCCCGAAAGACGGAGAGAGTGAGAGAGAGAAGACTCAGCCAGTTGCTGCTGCTGCTTACTGTACGAGCCTACGAGGGCATACACCCCTCCCCGCTCCCTCCCTCTCCTCTCTCATCTCTCCACTGCCGTGACGCCGTGTCCATCCATCCGATATCCGCATCCTCTCTTCCCTCTTCAGTTCACCCCACCTCCCTCTCTCCCACCCCCCCACTTAGTCTTCCCCCATCCTCCGAATTGCAAGCGGCAGCAACACGTCCCAAGGTTGACCCGACTTCCTCGCTAATCACTTCCCTTCCTTTTGCAATTGTCAAGAACATAAAAACAAAAGAAGGAATAAGAAAAAAAAAAAAGAAGAAAAGAAGAGAAGAAGAGAAGGGAGCATTGAAACCTTCAAAGGCGGTACAATCCGGATAGCAACGGACTCTGGAAACATCTTCCATCCGGTCTCATCTCATTCTGCGTGCGTCCAGAAACGAATTGGAAAGGCATCCCGGTTTGACCCACTTGCCCTCCCCCTCAGAAAAGCGAGTGACAATGTGAGTGGCAGCTGAAATGCTGAATTGCGAATTGCTGAATCCGAAGCTTTTCCAACCCCATTCTCTCCGATGCAAAAGCCCCATCGGCCCGGTCACGTTACTCGAACCAGCTGCTTTAAGCCCGCCTGGGTATGGCTGTTAGCCTGTTAGTCATATCAGGGCCAGTGACTGGATTTCCAGTTTGGCCACCTTCAGGTCGGAGGGACCGGGAGCAAATTTGATGCTGCTTGATTGGGTGTTCAGTCTTTCCTCTTTATTTGAGATTTAAAGGTGGCTGTCTATCTTAATGCTCACCCCTATAAGTTGCCTACGGAGCACCGTTTGTGATGGCCATGGTAACCTACTGGCTACACCACAAGCGTGGCTCAACAGTCAGCAAGAGAGTCGTTCAGCACCGGGCAGCTGCGTCATCCTGCGCCGGAAAAGAATCCGGTCCCGCACAGCTGTGACTGGCCGAAGAAAAAGGTATGGGGCTCCGGTCTGGTCTGGTTTTCTGGGGCCTCGGAGTCGCTTCCGTCGGCTCCATGGGCATCATTGAGATTAGAGACATCATGGTAGTCGCTACCCTATGAATTCATGAATGTGCCGAGCAGCCCCTATTCTTGTCCGCTGGACATGGTTCTCGGGGCATAATCATTCATTGCTATGTTCCTTACTGGTGTGGGTCCCGGTCTAGTTCTATTCACCGTCATCCGGGGGATCTTGCGAACCAAGTTTCCGCAGGACTGACGCAGCCGCTCTGACGGTCAATCATTGCATGGAGTTTTGAGCTGTGTCGTGGCTGTACGTACATGCCTCGAGAGAAAGAGCACTTGCAATGCACACTACGTAATATACTAGCTACTTAGTATAATTGACCCCTCACCCTTGTACCGTACAAGGCATGGAACGCGGAAACTATTATACCGAGAGACAATTCAAGAAGCATCCATATCTAGGCTTGTCAAACAAGGTGCATGCATGTCCGAGCATTACTTACTGCTCAACCGCCATTTTCGCGTATGAGGTGTTGTCCCTTGCTCCTGTGTACGTATTACGTAGAGTGTGTAGATTGGTAGCCTGGAGACTGTAGACTCTTAGTAAGTCTGTAACCGCCTTAACTTAGTGCTACCACGGAGTAGCCTACTCGATCTCCGCACTTATTGAGTAGGGCCTGGGTCTCCTGGAGTCCTGGGATTCACAATCACAGACCCACCCATATTGGTACCCGTGAACCCCATCAGCTGCCCGATGTGGAATGGCAGCCGATCCCGCGTGCCGAGTGAGGAAGAGGAGGAGGAGGATGATGATGGGAATGGGGGGAAGAGGAAAAAAGAAGGGAAGGCGCCTACAAGTCAGTTCAAAGAGTTAAGCATATTTTTCGCCATAATCACCACGAAGCCATGTAGAGACTCGGATGTGTGGCTGATGACTTATGTCTCTCCCTCACAGGCCGAACAGTCTCGAATCCCGGTGATAGTAGACAAGCCCCCACGTGATGCATGTGTGTCCGATGTCACGCGTCATAGTGCCGACAAACGGCACTTTTATCGCAGGACATGATTCCTTTGGCTTAATGGGCGCTTGGGGTGCTGTCCAAGTGCAGATTCTCGGCTGGTATATTGAGCGTGCGATTTCCTGCTATACTGTCGACCGTATATTTTCTACCACCCTCCGACCCTTCAATTCGCGGCGGCCCCCTTCGACTAACATGGAAGCCAGGAGTGGATTTGGGATAAGGAGGTAAGATCTTCGACGGCCGTGACACAGACTGGTGGTTACTGGCGATAATCGGAGGAAGCAGGAAGCGGGCTTCCCCCACATTGTTCTGACGCCTGACCAAGGGTGAGTGACTCCTAATGAAGGAAGGATATTTTCTGTTCCCTGCTTGGAGAGAGAGAGAGAGAAGAGAGAGAGTCGGAGTGTGGGTGCGTATGTACCCTTGCAGCCATCTTTCTTTGGCTCGTGACGCCTCAAATACGAATTGACGATAACTTTCAATGGACTCTCATCAGCCTGGACCTGGAAAGGAGGAAATGCCATTGGACGAATGCACAACTCCGACACTCACGAGGGATTTTCCTAAGGATTTACTTTTCCCACGCCCAGTCGAAGAGACGGAATGTGGGACAGAAAGGGGAAGCTTGCCAATGAAAGAGCTGGGTTTATTACTGGATTAATAAATCTGGTTCACTTAGTTAGTAGGAGCACAGTAGCTAATGAAACGTGGAGTCCCGCGGCGTAGCGCTGAAGCACTCCGGATCCTCGTTCTAGAGCAAGCCCTTGCAGGGGCAAATTAGTAAAAAGATGGTCCAAACTTCTCCAGGCAATTTCCCCAGCCCGGGGAAGCAAACGCCAAACCCGCCACAACTGCACCGCCAAGTCGCCGGCGTCAGACGCGCAACTGCCTCATTGAGGCATGCTCTTACTGTTGGTTCCAACGTTCTTGAAATACAGTCAATCACTGTTCTTGTACAATTGCCCTATCTGCAACAGGAACCACGTAAGGGACGAGTGTGTTCCACGAGTAGGATTGGACATCTTAGATGTGCATGTATCAGAAATGATTCAATGTCCCTTTATACTCACACATTTGCCAGACTCGAGGAACACAAAGGGGGGCGGATGAACCCGCTTATGGTCACAGCCCTCCGGGCTACTGGTCAGGGATCAAAGGATCACGGCTTCTTGCTGCGGATGGCAACCCGATCGGTCAATGTATGGGCGACATGTTGTCAGAGAAATAAGAAAGGGCTGGAATGTAATGAAGTCCTATCCTGCATAACAGGCTGCGACCACAAGAAATCGATAAAAGCTGTACGGGCGGGAAATTACGGTTTCATGTACATACGAGGGACCTTAGACTGCCATCCTACTGTTGCTAAATCCACGCCGGTAAATGCTAAGATGATCGTAACCCATATCCGAATCGTATACTATCTTTAGTAAATGGATTTGGTATCAGTTCATTAAGAAGCTGTTGGTTTAAACTATTATATGCATTCTTGAACACATGAAGATCATCGTCCGCACACGTCCCTGATTCCAGGGCAAAACGCCTCCTTAGGATATCTCAACATACAAGGAAGAAATGAAGAAAAGCGGGAATAAAAGTGTGAAAAGGATATGTACCCGCCCATCAGGGACCATGTACACAGTACGCCAGGTCTGAGAACAACACCAAATGCAGAAAATAGGGGGAAAGCGATGAGGTGAGATATTGACAGAAGTGTGGATATTACGCACCACCACGGCCCATACGCTCTATTGAGCCCATGATACCACTGCGCCCGGGGGTGAAGACAGCAATTCCTGATTTACTGCCGCTGTTCCCCCGGGTCTGTCGACTGACCGGCGCTCCGATCTTCGGGATTTTTCTCTCTCGCTCTGACCCAGCGCCTGTACTGAGAGGACGGATGCTGCTGGAGGAACTGCCTTGGCTAACACTCTGCTGAAGATTTCCGGGTGCTGACTCGGTTCTAGATGGTAATGGGTCCAGTGACTGGTGCACCTGGCCCTGGGGTGACTGGGAAAGACTCGATTCACTCGGTGCGTGGGCGTGGATCGGTTGAATCGACAGCCATTCATCAACGGCGGCCACAAGTTCACCCTTCTCTGCTCGTTCAACCTTCAGCTCGGCATGCAACCGTTCGGTCTCGCCCTTGAGAGTGACCACCTCCTGCTGTAGACCCTTGACTTGCGCCTCCAGTACGCGCTTTTCCGCCTCGTGCCCTTCCTTCTCGTGGGAATGCACGCTAGGTTCGGCCAGGTGAGCTTCCGAGATAACAGCATCCCGCTCTATCTTCAAAAGCTCGTTCTCCTCAATGGCAGTCTTTAGCTTGCTTTCAGCTTCACGCACTCGCTTCTCCCAGCGAGATTCGTAGCTCTTCTTCAAGGCCGCAACCTTGGTTTCATGTTTGCTCTTGTACAGGGTGTGAAGCTCACGTGCAACTTTCTCAACGGCATCCTGGACCTCCTTCGCTGTCTCTTCGGCTGATTTCACACTAGAAGATTCCGTAGTTGAGGAGGCGTCGTGAGAGGCGGGTTTGCGAGCAGCAACAAGTTGACTTTGCAGCTCCACCACCCTCCCCTCGAGTTGTTCTTTAATCTTCTCAGCGTCGTCGGCCTTCTTTGCCAGTCGTTCTCTTTCCTGTTCGCCTTCGACAAATTCGGCTTTGACATTGCACAAAACGGCTTCCATCTCCTGCCCCCTCTGTTGCCATCTGACTTGTTCGATCTCCAACGTCTCCCTGCGGGTCGACTCATTGCGGACCTCCTCCAACGCCTCACCAACACGTCGCTCCGCATCTGCAACTGCCTGCTTGAGACTGGCAACCTCTGCCTCCTTGCCACTGAGGGTGGCTTTGAGAGAAGATATCTCGGAAAGAAAGCCAGATTTTAGGGATTCTACCTCCCGCGGGGTGACCGTGGGAATGGATCGTGGAGTGGGGATGCTAGGTATGTCGAAATCCAAGAGTGAAGCTTTGGCAGGTGATCTTAGTGCATCTCGAGCAGTTCTTAGGGGTGATCGTCGAGACGGCGAGTATCGCTCATTCTGCATGCTATGGCGTGCGCGTGAGAAGAAACCGGGCTGGTCTGTGAAATCAAGCAGATTGGGAGTCGCATCTGTGTCTTTGAGTTCTCTCTTTCTCGGTGTAATGGATTTCGACGGCGTACCAGCTTCTACTAGGGCGGTTTTTCTGGGTGACCTTTGCATGGTAGTAGGTGTAGCAGTTCCCAAGCTCTGGCGTGCATAGCTAACATCCTGGCTTGGGTTTCCTGGAAGCGATTGCTTCAATTTGTAAGGGGAGTCACTTCGCAGTTGCGCAAACGTAGTCATATCAGGCACAGCAGAGAAGGTACTGAGTCGAGTTTCATCCATAGAGTCCTGGGAGTCGTCATTCATGAAAATGTTGGTTTCGTGCATGTCGATAATTTCGTTATTGTCTAGTCCATCGTTGTAGACTTCGTTATCGTGAAGAACAGTAGCTATTTCGTCGTTGTCATTATCCTCGACCACGCTATGGACAATTTCTCGGTCTAGTATCTCCGCCATGCTCTCCTGGTTGCTAACAGGTTCAACGTCCTCGGGGGCGGACGCGCCAACCTCCGCAGCTTCTCTGCGACTGGCCACCTTCTTGTACCTTTCCTTCGACTCTTCGTCCGTCTCTTGATAGTCAGGCACTTGCTCATAGGAGCGTTTTCTGGGCGTTGCGGAGTGCTCGTTGATGCACTCTAAGGGTTGGCGGCTCATGGCGCGTAATCTCATAAAGTCAACTGTTTCGTCCCTTCCCTCGAACTGGAACGGGGAGCTAGGTGCTATCTGCAAGGACTCTACATCTGCATTGTCCTCCTCGCGAGTTGGCGACTCATAGCCAGGGTCGTGATATTCATCGGTTCGAAGCGGTCTCAGGGCGTTGTCCACCGGATTTGATGGACTCGAAGATATGTTCACTTGACCATAGTCCACTATAGAGCTCGTGTCTACATCTTCTTTCTCCATAGCGTCGTCATGATTTGATGAGATGGCGCGAGAGTTCTGGCGCGAGGACGTCAACGGCGATAGGGGCGTGGACATGGCCAAGAAGGGGGTCAGTCACAAGTAGGAAAAAGAGATATGATATGATGCTCGACTTGAGTAGCGGTAACAGGCACTACGTTACCCACGAGTTAGGGGGAATGAACAATCCCTGAAGCAGTGCACGAAGGCAATGTTGGGGTTTATGTTCAAGATCGGTCGGCGTCTATTATGATTTTCCGTCTGTTGCCAGGATAAGAGATAAACAACACTAGTCCTAAAGTGGAATCAGCAGAGGCATACCGTAGTATTAGGCGGTGTGAAATGGCAAATATTTATACAATCTCACCGCCTTTCGATTGGCGCAGATCGATGCCGAGGAAAGTGCTCGAACCACTCGCGTTACATTAATATACATGTGTGTGATAGTTAAATGGGTAAGGTGTTAGTCACAAATGTTGATTTTATATAATTGTATTGGACCATCCACAATCATATTCTACATTAGTTGGGTACTGATCGAAAGGACCTGAATAATGTGCGAACGCTCAATTGCGGGCTTCGCGAGGGTTTCCATCTGCTCATAAGATAAGAATATGGTGCTGCTTGACAAATACCAAAATTCGAAGATCAATGACCAGCAAAAATAGATGGTGCTGATAGATTGAATTGATATGAATCAAACCTCATCATGTGTTTCTTCTACCATGTACGAAATCCCCATAGGTGTCCTGGTCAATGCCTTCATCAGCATCCGTCACGATGATATGGACAGCTTCTTGTTTCCACGAGGTTGCATCAGGTACATAACGACAATGCGCAGCAGGTTGTACTAGAACGGAGCTATGCTTCTTTTGCTGAATGAAGCACAGCTGCACTGCTCCGATGATGGCGACCAAGGTACTTCCCCACCACGCAAGGGCCGTGCACTCCAACTTTATACCGGTGCTGTACAAAAGTCCAGCGATTGGTGGAGCCATGGTGCGCGATAGAGCACCCGCAGATGCTGCAAGCCCGTTGATCTTGCCCAGAACCGAATCCGAAGGGCTAGCTTGCTTAATAAGAATTAGAAGGACTGGATAGTCGATGATCGAAAGAACGTTGCGAACGACCAGACACACAAAGATACCGGCAAGCATATAAGTGCCGGGAACATAGATCAAGAAGGGAACAATGAAGTAAGCGAGAGGATGCAGGATGGTGACAAGGACGAATAGACGCCATACTCCCAGAAAATGAGCCAATGTTGGGAAAACAAGGCTTTGAATCAATAACGCAATAAGTCCGTCACACGACATGATCAGGCCAACGGATTGCGTCGAAAGACCGACACCACCGGGAAATCGAAGAGCCGAAGTAGCCACCGAGTTAACATCAACGGCCCTCTTATCTTGTAAAAAGATAGGAAGTAGATGGTCGTATGTCATTGAGTGGTAGGTGAATATTGCCAAGGCGACAACAAGCATGGTCACCCGCCAGGTAAAGACGACCTTCCGTTGCGGACTCATATCCATAGAGCCATTCGAGAGCACATGCCAATCCTGATCCTCATGAAGGTGCACTTGATTGAAGGTTCCATAAGATTCGGCTCGTAGATCAGCTCCCGCAGTCGTACTTGCTCCTGAAGTTGCCAGTAAAGGGTGTATGACCGATGTGCTAACAGTGTCCTCTGCTCTAACGCGGGGCTGCATATCGGGATGCGTCTCTTTCAGTAGAAGCCAGCTGAAGATGATGCTGCAGAGAAGCAAAGCGGAGCAGACTAGATTAGGCAGCAGAAATGGGAATCGTCCAAAAATCCCGTCCGGAGCGAACAGAGTAGGATAACCTTCTGCGGGCTTTGCAAGAAGTCCCCCAATAGCTGCGAAAGATGATGAGTTTGAGAGTTTTCTCAAGAACGGATCAAACAGGCTCGCACTTACCTGGGCCAATAATAGTTCCAATCGACCAGAAGAACGGCATGATGGCATATGCTCGGGCTATATGGAAGCGAAGCATTAGCAGCAAGTACCACACTGAAGGGTGACACACTAGTATACATATACGTACGTTCGTGTTCAGGGTTTTTGACCAACTCGCCGACCATTGTCTGGATGACACCAATATTCCCGTTGAGTACACCACCCAAAGCTCGGCCGAACAAGGCAACCCAGAAGTTGGTCGCAAATCCGACCATGAGAAGGGATGCCATGGTGCCGAAGCAACCGGAGATGAGGACAGGCTTGCGGCCGACTCGGTCTGAAAGACTTCCCCAGAACATCCCTGTGAGAGCCTCAGCAAGCGAGAAGGTAGAGACAAGGATACCGGCATAGAAAGACGCATTGTTGTCATCGGCCACGTTGAAGTCCCTGACCATGACCCATGAGTACGGGAAGATGGATGTGAGGGCGATGGGCTCTGCGATACGACATATTGCTAGTCACGAACCATGTTAGTTAAGCCGCGTGTATTTATATGAGGTGATCATACCTAAGAGAAAAAGCTGAGTAGTGGGAAACTTATCGTCGGAGGCGGTTCTTCTCTGCTGTGTTAATACCATCTTCTGATGAATCAACCAAGACTCTTACGGCAGGCCCTCCGCGAGGCAACAAATCCCCAAATGAAAGGTTGTTCTTGCAGGCTGATGTTTGAGAAGTCGGTGTCTTCGATGCGTTTCTCTACCTTCTTCTCTGAGTTAATCTGAAGGTAAAAATGAGTGCAAGCCTCTAAGAATGTGAGTTTGTACTGATTCTATGGGCCTCCAAATTCGATTCCGAACTGGATATAGAGATGGAAACACGAGAATCGAAGGAATAGGCAGACTTTCAGGGCTAAATGAGCACGTGTAATGGAAGGTGAAAAGGTTTTAGGCCCGGATGAAAGCGTGTGAAAGGAAAGGAGCAGAGGATAAGAAGGAGAGTGAAGGAGGGAATAAGAAGAGACGTGAAGAGGCGAGGGTTGCCGAAGAGTGGAACCCAACTGATAAGCAAGTGTTTAAGTATGGATCTGACGGACAGGGCTGCAACTGCCCCGGGCATACATACTAAGTAAGTATTCCGGACAGTGCCAGTACTCTCCTGTTGCACCCCCATGGAACTACTACCCGGGTGCCGGCAACGTTGATCTGCCCAACCAGAACGCAAGGTTCATGCAGATTTTTCAAAGGAGAGGAAGGTGGTACAGCATCTGTACGATGCAAGCAAACTATATCTAGCACACACAATAGACTATGACTATAATTTCCTTCAATCGCAGTTGGCATGTTCGACTTATGTTCCGTAAGTCAAAAGGGGGTTTCCTGATCTTTCCAGAATAGAGACAGCATCGCAGTGCGCACAATAATCCGGAACATAGTTGCTCCTTGTACTTATTGCTCAGAGTCCATATACAGATGGTCCGACTTCCGTGCCGCGTGCAGATCTGTGGTCATGCTGACCTGTAGGACATTCCAGCCTACCAGCATTTCGATGCGCGGCAAACTTTATGGAAGGAGGTGGCAAAGAACTTCCAAGTTCACACGGATCGGGGACCAGTTGAATTTTGAAGGACCAAGCCGCAGCCTGGAGGAGGGCCCGATATATTGCAACCTGCGAAGCCATAGACTGCACTATGGCGACTGCAAAAATGATAAATGTGGATGAGTTAAGATGAATCTCATTCATGCCACTAATGCTGAAAAAGGCCTAGACGAGTGGTTCCAAGTTATAACCTTGAAGAAGTTTAGTTCTACTTCTGGCCCCGCACTTGCAAGTCTTGTTCCGCCAATAGTGATTGTCTGATACTACCCCCAATTTGACCAGACCAACAGTGGACAATATATAAGTGCTATAGGTGGACGTAGTAGCTTTTATAGGCAGAATCAGTGTGCACGTAAATCAATTTGAAAATCTCACAAAATCATGTTATGATAGTGTTAGATATTAGTAATAGTTAAGTACCAGTGATAAACTTAGTAACCCTGGTAATGATGGCAGCTACTAAGAGGAAGAAATGTACTTGGTGCTGGAGTTAGTCATATCGGTGCTTTTTTTCCTTACATACCTACTCCGCTAAGATAAAGTGAAATTATCCAATACGAAACAAAGCGCGTGCTCTGTCATTGGCCATTTTAGCCCACGGGGCGCTAATCGATCTCTTGAGATTCATCCATGATTAGATAGGAAAAATCCCAATCTGGAAGACATCTAGAGCATTGAAACCAGCACATCATATATCGCAGTGTTTAGCGAGTTCCATGGCGCGAACACTTTGAGTATGTGAAAGCTTTCTGCGTTGTACCCGACATAAAAGGTATAATTTCCCGGCCTAGCCTTATTCAAAAGATATCGTTTGGGTGAGATCAGTTTAGGAACCTGCATTGCCTGATATAGGTATATATGATCGTCGTTCTCTTGCAGCCTATGGTGATTTAGCGCCATTCAACTCAACATAGCCAACCACGGATAGACAGCAATACATACCTCCAGCCACTTCTCGACCCAAGGCTTCAGAATTGCCCAGGTCAAGAGGCTGCCCGTTGCAATCATAAAGATGAAGACGATGGCTTGGTCTTTTCTGGAATCTCGTTCTGCAAGGCGACAGTGGCATTAGCGCATCTTTCCGAGCAACGAGACGTAAGGCTGACCCGTACGAAAACATGTGGTAAAGACGTCCTCTTCCTTTGCCCCTTTACAAGTAGGCAAGTCATAGTCCAAGCAGAACTTCCGATTGCAGTCGTTGCAGCTCAAAGACCGGTAGTTCTTAGCTCGGCTATTCAGTATATTTGTGGCATCGTGACTTCGAAGATGGAAGAGACTGCTCAGTGTGGAAACGGAGTTTGGCTTTTCGGGATCAAGAGGAATGATAGTGCTGTTGGAGAAGCATGTACACTTGCAGAATGATGCAGGAGCTATGATCAGATGTAGTTAATTAGCATCGGTTTTGGACGATAGGGGAAAACATGTCGTGTCTTAAGCTTACAAGAAGCCACTGTAAGCGATGCGCAAGCGATAATCACGAGGCAAATAAGCAGCAGATCGAAGACTCTGCTGTGACGCTGCATCCTGCAGTTTATCGAGATAGATGGTGTGATTAGCCCCTCCTATCGTCAGTTAACTGTGTCGAGTCCCATGGCTTCGTATCGGCCGTCGTTCCCTATCACTCCCATATCCGCCAATCGTTCCCCGGATCCTTGGCAACACGTGACGAACAGACCCAATGCCTGTACCTCGGTGTATCTTATTAGCAGAAAGGGTATGGGTCGGTGACACTTCACGAATTTTGACCTCTCGAGAATAATTCCTTATATCCGACTTTTAACAGTAATAACTCAACGAATTCTTCTATAAAGTAGTCTAAATCTAAGAGAATAGATTTTTTAGATACTATTTTATATATAAATCTCCTAAAAAGTAAGATTTAAGTCTACTATTAAGTTATTATCTTAGTATTAAGGTTTTATTCGAAAATCTACTTTTTCTGATATAACTTTTTAAATATAGAAGCTATGGATTTCAATTTTAAAACATGTATAGAATTACCTTTATTTTATATTATATAGAACAAAGAATCAAGTTTTGATCTATATTTAAAAAGTTATTAAAGAAAAACCAATTTTTATACTAAAAAGGCCAAGAAATCAGGATTCCAAGAAAATATAAAGATTTTGGGAAATTTAAAATGCCTAATAGATAGATCTTAGTATATGTTAACTTATATTTAAAATCTACGGAGCCATGTACCAAAAGTTATAGAACAACGCTAAATTCTACAGTGTATTGCGATTACTCTATACAGGTATAATATTATTAATTTAGTATATAAATGTTGTACAATACCCGGGGTAGCTGCACCCAGTACCTCCGGCCTCCACTGATTCGACGGGCTTTCAATCCGTCTACTCACGTCATTCGTAGCTAGCTCCCCCTCCTTTGATGATGTATATAGCCAGACTGTTGTACCCTGGGGAATACAGGATCCCCAAGGATTAGTCTTGCAATGAAGGGCTAGTTGCTTTTTTACCTGACCCCCGGTCTTCTACTCCGTTATAGTAGATGTTGACAATAAAAGACGGGCAAGCATATTAAGCTAATAAAAGTAAGCCAAGAGTTATAATTATGCACTAAAGCTGCACAATCAATAAAATATATAATAAGATTATAACTATCCCTGCTCTTTATAAGAATATGACCTATATTATTACTATTTCATGTCATTATTTACACATAATGTTACTAGTGTTGTTCCCTAACTTTTTGGGTACACGGCTCCGTGGATTAGTTTTAATAAGTTTTGGTTGAGCTATTTAGATTTAAAGAAAAATTCAGTTTGTATGCGAATACCAGACAACTTAAAATTATTCTTGAGAGGTCAATATTCGTGAGGTGTCACCGATTCATACCGCAGATGTGGGTTGGTCAGAGACGACGAGTACTGTATAAGGGAAAAGTGGCATCGTGCGCCTTTCTTTCTGTGATTATGACACAAACAAATGTGTGCCTTAAGCAGTTGAAATTGTAAAAAATTGTAAATATTCTAAGATTTGCCTTTCATGCCCTTGCTCCGGTTTTCACGCTGCCTTTGCTCTTTGGCAGCCTCGCGGCGTCTTCTCTTCCAAGCGCGATTATTGTCTCCCCGGTTTCCCCAGAACCATTTAACGAAGTCCGAGTCCTCTTGGGGCTCAGATACGAACTTTGAAACTGGGGTAGTAACGTAATCGTCATCGTCTATACCCATTGCCCGGGGCTGCTCCTGCTTATTCCAATCGATAGTTCGAGCGACTAATGCCGTATCAGGTGTTGGGGCCGCGCTTCTTGATCCGCGATCTCTGAGGTCCCTCTTTGTGAAAGGCGTAAGTGGTGCTGCAAATTGGGCTTCCGTCTCTTCCTCCGGTTCATTGTCGTCGTGCCCCCCGAAGAAGCTGAACTGCGGTTTCTCTAAAGTAGAGGTCTCGCCAGATGTGCCAGGCGCTGGTCTCTTAAATAGAGCCTCTAAGGGATGAACATCCTGAGTGGACGCTGCCCGATCAATATTAACAAAAGGAAAAGATTGATGCCCTGATGAGTGTGACCCTGCCAGAGTCCCTCCCGAATCTGCCTGGCATGACTGCGACAAGTTTCTCCCTTTGTCAGCGATCGGGTCATCTGGTGGGTCAAAAGAGCTTGATGAGGCAGAATCGTCACTCTCAGATTCTTCGGAATCCTCTTCGGGCGAAGAGTCTTCTTCGGACGAGGTCGCACCGCTAGATGAAGTCCAATCCTCTGATTCATCGGTCGAACCCGCTTCTTCGGCGATAATTGTTTGCTTGTCTTCTGGCTTTCGGAAGGCTGCGGTGCTATCCTCCTTAGCGGCTCGTGGCTTCTCTTTGGCCCCTGGAATGCATCCCGGCCTATACTGGTCTGTCTTGATCCGATCACTGACAGGCTCTTTCACATTTCCGGTTTTGTCCACCCAGCCCGTGCCTTCAACGAATGTCACTGTGTCCGCTAATTCATCGTGTCCAGACCGCAAGAAGCTAGGATGTTTGATCGTTCTAGAGAACTCATGAACAACAGTCTCTTGGGTAGACTTCTTCTTCTTCGACTGTTTCTCCTGCTTTTTGTCTGGTGATGACACCACCCGGTTAGGAGGAAGTTTCGTGCGAAACAAGCATTCTTCCTTTTCGGTATACTTAGACTTTGCCTGTGACTTGGCTGACTTCCCCTCCTTCCCCTCCTTGCCCTTCTTATTTCTTTTCTCTGCTTTGCGCCTGTCCTGTTTGGCGTCTGCCGACTCCGTCCAGCCTCGCTTCACTTTGCGGTCAACTGGAATTTCATACCCTTCGAGTGTTTCTTCCATTGCCTTTCGCTTCTTGACCTTCTTGTCTGATAGGGGCCTTGAGGCAACCTTGTTGGACGTTTCATCTTCATTGCTTTGCTTTTTTGGTGGGCGAGCCGTATCAACCTTGAATTTGCGACCTTTCAGAATAGAACCATTGAGCTTCTTTTTGATTCTCTCCGCCTCCATTGCTGGCAGCGTCACGTAGCCGTAATTGTTTTCGGGGAAAGTCGGGATACAATGAAAGGATATCTCCGTGGCTACGGGTCGAACGGCTGGTGGTAGAACGGAGGGAAGGAGTTCTGCGTTGAAAGGGGTGATGTGAAGTCGTTTGGTCTCGGGCACTGGGTCCGTCATTTGTTGCGTTGAATGTGTCGGAATTGAGCGAGTGGGACGGAGTAATCAAGATCGCATCGGCATGGCTTGCTTTATAAGTGTGTTGATAGGAACCTTGAGAAGATCAAAGTAGAGAATTGATTTCAGATAGATGTCTCTATATGCAAAGTATATAGCCGTGCCAAAACGTAGTGGGTATTTCCAGAATAGCTGCCCAGATTCTACAACAAGAGGGGGAAAAAAAAAGGATGCCGAAACTGATAACGGGTCAATTTGGATGATGGATTTTCCGGTCCGCTAATCCAGCAGTACGGAGGTGTGGCGCAAGATCACCTAGCCACACTGTACTTGGAAACGCGCCCGTTCCTCACCGCCGTTGTATTTAGACTGTACAGTACTCCGCTCGGCGCACTTCACAGGCGGAAGTCTGAACACTGTGGAACTCAATTGGGTGAAGTCATCGATTACGATTCGCCGTTACCAGGTGCCCACCGTTAGGTACCGTTCTAACTCTACCCTTTTGGAACGGAAAACTGTATCTTACCGTATCCCGGCATGATCAAACCTTCCGTCCCGTTCCTCGGCCTTGCTGTCTGACTGTCTGACTTGCATTCACTAGTTAGTTATTGCTCGGTCGTTTCCAAGTTCTTTTCTCTCCTCTTTCTCATCGTATCCCATCTTTCTCTCAGTCGGCCTTACTTAGACAACCATCAACCAGCTCATCTTATCGTTTTCATGTTGTTTTGAGTCCTCACTTCCTTCCTATTCCCTCTCCCTCATCCCCCTTATTCGGCCCCAGATTATGACCTATCGTCCCGCGGTTAGCTCGAGCCCGCACTTCTGATCTCATCGCCGCTTCCAGCTTCACCCTTGTCCGCTCACATGGCCACGTCGGATTTCCTCGCGTTTTGTCTCTATTCTTGCTCGAGCAACTGACAAACCTCTGCCTTATGCTTCGTTTGCTCTCATCCTTGTGCCGCCCAGTGTCTTGCGGGTGAACAAGTTCCCTGCTTCTGCATATCATTCCAATCATTTTCTAGCCTCTTCCATCGTTGATTATCGGCCGAGGAATTCGCCGCCTCTCCGCTTGCTCAGTCGGGACTCTTCAAGCGGCCTTCCACTTCCTGTCCCGTTGGTATTCAACCACCTAGCCCTCCTTCTTTCATTGTTTGTTCGAAATGGGCAATTCGCAGACGAAAGAAAGTAGATCGTCTCTTGCTACGCCAGGCCGCAGAAGCCATCATCTTGGCCCGTATGGCGACCGCCAACACGCGGAGGGTTCTAGATCGACTCGAGGCAGCAGACCTGATCTGTCCATCCTTGGGATTAACACACATCCTGAACGAGATGTGGCCTCTCTCGAGCATCGGCGAGAAACGAGACAGGAGCGTGAAGCTCGCCGGCTCGAGAAGGAACGGATAGTCCGGATCAAAGAACGAGAGCGTAGTATGAAAGAAGAGCATGTTGATGGTGGCTACTTGGTAACACAAGGCGTATATACTGGGACAGAAGACTTCAACAAGGGTGTGGTGCGACAATTAATGGTAAGCCCGCGATGATCTCGACTTGGCTACATGATGGAACCTAACTCAGCTTGCCCAGATGGAACGGCGACTTGCACCTTTCTGGAGAGGTCTAAACGACTTTTCAGACTCATGGACAGAACATCAGCTCATGGCAGCAGCACGAGGCCTGCCAATTCCTCCTCCGGACGAAATCCCTCCGGAGCTGGAGTATAAGAACCCGCCGAAGTCTGGGGAAGATGCCCGGGAGGCGTCGGATACAGCTCCAGTCCAACATTTGATGGTTCCTATCACCTCCAGATCTCAATCGTGCGGCTCCGATGTCTCTCAGTCATCCACACCTGCGCACTCGCTTCCCTCGCCAACATCACCTATTGCTTCCGGCACTTCCAGCTCACCTATGTTTCGGTCTCGCGCAAAGACGCTGGCATCTCTCTCCACGTCTAAGCATGGCATCCAGTCCGACACAACGTCTCGAGAAATCCAGCTCCCGCACGATCCATTCGTCAATGGACAGCCAATTGAAGCATATCTGTACAAAGCCGCTGCCGAATGCCCTATTTGCTTCCTGTATTATCCGCCTTATCTCAACCGGACAAGATGTTGCGACCAGCCGATTTGTTCCGAGTGCTTTGTCCAGATCAAACGACCTGACCCGCACCCCCCAGAACATGGAGGGCCAGATCCAACTGTTCAGTCGGCGGCTGATGGCGAACGTTCAGAAATTGAGGATGGCCAGTTAGTATCCGAGCCGGCGGCGTGTCCGTTTTGCGTTCAGCCTGAATTTGGAGTCACCTATTCACCACCGCCATTTCGCCGAGGATTGGCTTACGCAAGTGATATTGGCGCCCGACCAAATTTCACCTCCCCGCTATCTTCTAGCTCATCCCTTTCTTCTAGCGCTGCCCCCGCGACAGGTCGTCGTCGCGCGACGTCATTATCTGCTAATGACCCAACGGTGATTACAACAGATAGGGTTCGGCCTGATTGGGCACAAAAGCTAGCAAACGCCCGGGCGCATGCCGCGCGACGATCTGCAGCAGCAACTGCGCTCCACACTGCAGCATATCTCATGCACAACAACGGCTCTGGTAGCGACTCTCGAAATTTTGGCCTTGGAAGAAGGAGCGTCATGCGACGGAATGGAGGACCGGATCATCAGAGCGCATCCTCGCGAACCGGCTCCCCTGCGCTCCAGGCCCTTGCATTTCTGACAGACCGTCGTGCCGTGGGTCAAGAAAGTTATCCCGCAGAAGAGGGTTCGAATAACCTGGCCCCACCACGCAGCCGATCAAGAAGGAATCGTATCGATGACTTGGAGGAAATGATGATGATGGAAGCCATTCGGCTGAGTTTGGCCAGTGAAGAGGAGCGGCGCAAGAGGGAGGAGAAGGAAGCGAAAAAGGAAGCCAAGCGAAAAGAGAAAGAAGCCAAGAAGGCGGAGAAAGTTGCGCGCAAGACAGGCCTGTCCAGTAACAATGCCAGCAATTCAGCCCTGGATATACCTGGCGATTTCACACTCGGTAGAGTCATTAGCACCTCTTCCTCGGTCACTGGTGAAGAAGTTCCCTCCACCGGCAAGGGTAAGGAGGTAGACCGTGCGTCACCTTTAGGACAGCTAGGTAGTATTCCTACCGATGTTGATTCTAGCCTTGAAGGCGCGCAGCCTTCGCCAGCTGTCCCTACGACGCCGGTCGACCACGCCCTACCGTTGCCATCCTCGTCGCTCGCGCGACCATCGCACTTACGCCATGTATCTAGCGCATCTTCATCGTTTTCATCTCTCGTGGAATCGATGAATGATGGCCATACTGGACTCCATACGTCTGCCGATGGTGCAAGCTCCTCCGCCGAGCCGCTGTTTAACTTCCGGAGTCTGGCCGCTGTGATTGGGGATGAAGATAAAGGCAATGGAGGAACGGAACACGTGGAAGATACACCACCGAAGCCCGATGCGTCGAGGGCGGCATCTGAACCCCAGTCAGCTGCCGCCAATGATGAACTAGTGGCCGAGCCGGCGTCTGCTTTGGATGTGCATTGCAACGAAGAGTTGACCCCGAAAGAGCTAAAACCTCGGTCGGTTGAGTTGACAGGCGCTACAAGAAATACAGAGACCACTTCTTAGCTCTTAAGTCTCGCCTTGGGATGCTCTTCTGTTTATTCAGCTGGCTCTCGACATTGCCCCGGATTTGCGCTCATTTCCGTGTTGGAGATGATGTACAAGGTGCACAATGCGACCAGCTTCCTATAAGCGCAAGTCGATTCTGGGACACTCTCTATGTTTTGCTATTGCTGCACTTGATATATCACTGCCTCTGGGTATGTGCATAATTGGACCGGATATGTTATTTTGTTGCTGGTCCCTGTTTCTTTTGTCTTTATATACATACCGTTGCATAGATTTGGCACCCGTCTTCAACCTGGCTCTTTTCCTATCTTTCTCCAATTAGCAACGCTCGATACCTCTTCCGAGATTTCACGAATGTCTGGGCGGTCTCTCCTGGGAATGAGGATGGCCGCAAGTGGTGTCGCGAGCATTCAACTGAATGGAGGTCGGAGAAAAATCCAATTCGGAATACTTAGGATCCCCGCAACTGATGCAAAGTGCATGTCATTATATGACAATCCTGGCTGAATGATGTGCGAGGTCAGAGTGGAGCGCGATCCTGTAATAGTCTCGGGATCTTGAAGCTGTTTCAGCTCATGCAACGGAGGCTCCACCGGAGAATTATTCAGAAGGTATTCGGACATTCAGTACCAGCTCAGTACTCATCTCCACTTTGTACTACCGACCCTATAAGTACCTTAGGTTCTACCTACTGAAGTTGAGCCATTCGGGGAATACAGTAAGATTCCCACGTGCTCGAATTAAAATTTCTGACTCGCGTCGGAGGGAGGGTGTTGGAAGAGACAGATCGGCTGTATTTTCTGCTTTTTACCCTTCCCCCACCCCCTGTTTTTCCTCCATACAGCATAGGGGAGGAATACATCTATTCATTCTTCCTTTTAATGAGCAAGAAAGAGAGAGACTGCGTGTATATGTGTGTACGTAGTATGTGTATGAGAGATTGACATTATGTCAAGAGACTCAAGACTGTTGCGTTCTTCTGCCCGGCGCCAGACCAGGGTCCATCATTCCTCAGCTTGCACTCTCATTCGTCCTAGTGCTATCGCTTCTGAGCACGGATCTTATTGAATCTTTCAATCACTCGATAATACTCGGTGGTACTGTTAGGAAGACTAGGGATTAATAGAGATTGGGTGAATTGGAGTGCGTAGACAGGGTGGCAATGGCAGATCGACCTGCAATTTGTCTCAGGTGTTTGGGATCAGAATCGGACTGTCAAATTGACTTCAAAGCTGTTACTGATCCGTCTCTCTCTGACTACCCATCCGATAAGACCGGCAAAGGGCGCGGAATTCCGGTTGATGGCTGGAATGACCCCAAAGGATCGAAAATGACGCTATCGTTCACAAATCCTTGCGACGGACTGACGCGATACTGGCTGTCATCTCTCTCCTTTTCTTGTCTTTCTGGTTCGTCACGATCGAACGTGCTTGAGTCTCTCTGCCTTGGATTCGGCCTGCCGACTATCTGCGGCGCTGCGCAGCTTGTCAGTGGATCCGTGGTTCAGCGCTTTCCCCCCTTTCAATTTCAATTTTTTTTTTCTTTTACCCTTATTGCTTTCCCTGTTAGAAAGTTAACTTCCGAACTTGCGCGTTCCTGGATCGAAATCCGGATTCAGGTTTACTGGAGTTTGGCGGCGCAATCCACTTTCCCTGGTCTTCTTCACATTGGTCAATCACAGAGGAAACAGACAGGAAGAGATAAAACCTTACCCATTTAGTAGTCTGTTCGATATGTGATTATCCTAATGTCGGACCTGTCTGTCCCATAGAGATTTGCTCTAAAAAAAGTTCCCTCCTCTATTTCTCAGCCCCCCTCCTCTCCCTCCCTCCTCTTGTATTCTTCTCTTGCATTATTCTCCGATCTTCATATGTTCTTGATTAGCTCAAGCTCATTATATACACTTTTTTCTCTTTTGTTTTCTTCTCTCGAAAGAGAAAAACCCCTTCAGATACCTTCCCTTCGTCCCCGGCCAACTGCTCTGCCTCCCCAATCCAGTCAATTGCCCTCGGTCTACCGCAGACACAGTGCACCGACGAGGCAAGATGGCCATCCTAGATAAAGAGAACCGATCTCGCGGCCTGCGGGTGCCGTCCTTTGCCAAAAAAGGCTTCAAGCAGAAGTCTTCCGATTCTTTACCCACTAAAGAATCCGTACCCGTCCAGCCTTCGGCAGCTCCTGCTGTGAGCCCCCCACGATCCGAATCCATTCCGGCACCTCCGCCGTTCCGATCGCAAGAGCCCGACGAACTCCCACCCCCCACTGTGCAATCCTCTGCTGCCCTGGGGTCTTTGATCAACGGTCACAGCCAGCGCCCTCCTTACAGCCCGCCAGACGGTCCCCTCCCCGAACCTCCAGTGTTTCGGGCTTACCGGCCGCCTGCTCCGCCGCAACCGACCCCCCCGTCCAGCGAAGAAGATCTGGAACCGGAACCCAATCGCCCCGGCGGGATAGATTCTCTAGATGATTTCGTCCCTGAACCCGAACCTGAAACGGAGGCTCCTGTGGACTCCGTCTCAAGCGAAGAGGATAGAGGCCCGTGGACGCCTCCCGACTACGAGCCGGTGGCTGCGCCGTTGAACAAACTGCATTATGCTTGTTATCAGGACCATCGGTCCATGCCCCCTGCCAATAATACCTGGTATGCGCTGCCATGTATGACTTGCCAAAAGTTCGACCACGAAATGCGACATCGGTGTGTTTTCTGCTGTCTGCGCATATGCGGAGGATGTTATCAGGCTCTGCAGAAATGCCCTAACCGTTCGTTGGCGCACTTGATGAAGTCGCTGCCCTCTCCTCAGCCATAATTGAAAGGCTTCTAGGATACAGCTTCTCACACCGCAAAGGGCTTGGAGAGAGGGCGGGCGATCCTTAAGGCCCTTTCTCTTGCTCTCCACCCCCACCTCCTCATTCCTCGTCTTTATATACCTCCACTTGGTCTTATTCCTTCATTTACACATTCGCGCGGAACAAGATTTCCCTCAAGTTGCTAATATGATTTTCGTGTGGTATAAGATTAGGTGCCCTAATACTGGCGATTAGGGCTTCTATCTGGAGCATCGTTATCGGAATTTACGCTGGGCATAACGGACCAGCTTGTAATCGACGGGTACAACCTCAATGATATAATTATAATGCTTATCAGGAACAAGTCAATGACAAATATTGTATTATGTATAGTATTCGTGTCCGGTCAATCATGATCTTCCTCACTTAGCCCTGGGCACCCCTCCATCTCGCCCGTCTCGTATCGATGCTTGCACCAGAAACAGTAGTAGTGTTGTTCGCGTAGATAATGTATCAGCCGGGACAGCTGCTCGCTCGGTCCTAGCGCATTGAATTCATCTAACTGGGGGTCCTCTCCTTCAACTTCTTGCTCGAGAACCATTGACGGGTCCCGTCGCTCCCCGACAGCTTCCTCTTCATCTCGATCCTGTGTCGGATCATTGTAACCTGGTAGGCGCGGGTGGGGAAAGAAGGAGGAAGGCAGCGATGTTTGAAGCATATGGCGCGTCTGAAGGTCTCGTTCTTTCTCCTCGCGTTCACGAACTAGCCCACGATAGAGGATATTAATTTGAGAAGTCGGCTTGATCTTGGCCTTGATCTCCTTTATCACAGGTTCGCTGGGTGTCTCATCTTGGGCTTGGGGTGAAGGCTCCTTCCCTTCAACAAGCCTACGTGAATTGTGTGCGCCAAAGGGCGTACCCTCGCCCGTCTCAGTCTCTGCATCCAAGCGTTCAGCAACCTTCTGCGCAGCAAGTACCTGCGCCTCCGTCCTGCGTATCTCCCGCTCGAGTCGCACCCGATCGCGGTAATCACCCTCGTCCTCTTTCACTTTTTTGGCAAAGTGCTCCGCTTCTTCGAGGAACTTTCGCTTCCGATCATTGTCCAGCCCAATTCCGCCTCGATCCTCTTTAATCACCAGGTGGAGGGGCTCGGACCGAAGCCGAGCGTCGGGGCCGTTCGAATTTATTTCTTGAGTCGACACAGGCTTGCCTAACGCTTGTCCAGGTTTGAAGCCCAATTTGGCCATCATCTGGAAGCCCTTGTTGTTGGGATTCAGCGCGCTTGTCGCGAGAGCCGCATCGCGACGGGCTGCTTCATCGGCGGCGCGCTCAGCTTTTGAGGGGACTCTGGCACGCGCTTCAGCCTACCAGGAACGGTCGGTAAGCGTATGATCTCAATGGATCTTCAACTTTGACCCTGATATACTCACTTCTCGTTGTTGTCGACGCTTCTTTTGCGTGAAAGTCTCCTTCTGTTGTGGTTCTTCAATTATCATGGACATGTAATCATCTTCCTCCTCTTCTGTCTCCGGCCTCGAGCGTGCGGGGGTCTTGGCCAGGGGGTGAGGGGCCATTTCCGGCAACAAGGTGCGCCGGAGTAAAAAATAGATGCCGTGAAATCGAGAATTGCGCCTCACTTCTCTAGAAGGACGCTAGCCAAGTCAGACGGAGTAACAAGCTCAGCACAAACAAGTCAACTGGGCGGAAGACAGCGTCAAGCAGGGAAGATCGACTGCGGGGAAGCAGTTAAGCAGATGCGGAGGAGCGGATTTTCCCTCTCCGGGTGGCCTTCCTATTCGGGCCTCCGTCATTCTCGAATCTCGACCTCACCGACAGACCTGAGTCCCTGACTATTCATCAACACGTCACTCACGGCTCACGGCTCACGGCTCACGGCTCGGGGTGTACAACATGTCTGGACTTGGCGTTGAAGATATTCTTATTTGTTGGCAATTGTTCAGTTAGGTCTCCTACTCCGGAGCATATTGCTCCCTGCGTCAATCATTGCCGAGAAGCCTTGGATGACGGCTCACACACATCATGTGATAATGCAAGGAGAGCTCTTTGGATGGAAGGGCGGAACGATGGAATCTCCCAAAACATGTTCGTCAGGGGTCTCGACTCTGGTAGGTAGGCCATTCAAAAGGGATGCTTTGTTCGCACAGCATGAAAGCTCGGTGTAAATACACTTGGGATCTACAGTAGGTAAGCCCTTCACGGCTGCTACTTGACATCATCGCCTTTATCATGAGACTGCCCTCTCTTACACTGGTCATCTGCCTTGCTCAATATGTGGAATGCTTCCGAAATGTGACTGTTGACCTTGGCTACTCACAGTATCGCGGCCAAGCCCTCGCCAATGGCATTGTGCAATGGTTAGGAATACGCTATGCTGCTCCTCCTGTGGGTTCATTGCGATTCGCTGCGCCCCAGGATCCAGAGAGAAAGGAAGGCATTCAGACTGCCTTGCAGGTATTGCCATGGGGGCTCTCCCTGGCTGTAACGAACAGCCATTGTCCCCGAATCGACGCTGACATTTCCGGTTTAGCATGGTCCCTTGTGTATACCCACCGATCAGTACCCCATTCCAGCTGGGACATCCGAAGACTGTTTATTCCTTGATGTGTACGCTCCCAATAGGGGAAGGAATGCATCGAAGCTGCCGGTCTTTGTCTTTATTCAGGGAGGAGGCTTTAATGCAGACTCGAATGCCAACTTTAACGGAACTGGATTGATCCAGGCATCAAAGAATGGCATCGTCGTGCTCAACTTTAACTACCGAGTTGGTCCGTATGGGTTTCTGTCAGGTGCTGAGGTGTTAAAGGGCGGAAGTGTAAACAACGGGCTCAAAGATCAAATAAAAGTCTTGCAGTGGGTTCAGAGCCATATAAGCAAGGCAAGATATAGCTCCTTCGAACATCCATCACCGGCGCTGACCATCTCTCACTTCAGTTTGGCGGTGATCCTAAACATGTGGTTATCGGAGGTGATAGCGCAGGAGCAGCATCGATCACTCTGCTTCTCTCGGCCTATGGCGGAGAAGACCAAGGCCTCTTCCATGCTGCAGCAGCAGAATCACAAAGCTTCGCCACCATGCTGACTGCCAATGAGTCTCAATTTGCATATAACAATCTCGTGATCCGCACTGGTTGCGCGAGCGAGGAGGACACCCTATCATGCTTACGCGAATTGGATACAGCAAGTTTACAGCGGCAGAACATTGGCACCCCCCTCCCTGATGCACAGAAGCCGCCCCTCTATTTCTATGCGCCTTCCATTGATGGCGACTTGGTCCCCGACTACACGTATCGGCAATTCTCCCAAGGGCATTTCATCAAAGTCCCTGTCATCTTTGGTGATGTGACAAATGAAGGTACGACATTTGTACCGAAGAGTATTTCCAGCGTGGGCGAAGCCGATACTTTTATTCAAAGCCAGTTTCCGGCAATCCGACTAGACCAGCTCGCCAAGATCAACCATTTATATCTCGCTAAGGACCAGACCATCTCATTTCCCAATGCTGGTTTGTACTGGCGACCAACCAGCAACGCATACGGCGAACTGCGCTACAACTGCCCCGGTATCGCCATGTCAACGGCATTTTCACAAGCGGGAATGAAGAGCTGGAACTATCACTATGCAGTTCAGGACCCTGATTATGAAGCCTCGGGGGAGGGCGTGTATCATGTGGTGGAATTGAATGCCATCTGGGGCCCACAGTATGTGTCTGGGACCCCGCCTACTTCATACTTCACTTCGAACGCTGCTATCATCCCGGTAATGCAAGGGTACTGGACAAGCTTCATCAAGAGCTTCGATCCCAATCTCTATCGCTACCCTGGAAGTCCAGAATGGGAGACCTGGAGTGATGATGGCGATAGCCACCGTCGGCTCTTCATTAGGACGAACGACACCAAGATGGAGATGGTGCCACTGGACCAAAGGGCAAGATGCGATTACCTGATCAGCATCGGCATTGCTTTGCAACAGTGAGTCCCTCTTGGACCATGCTATTTTCTGTTTAGAAAAGGGGGATTGCGTTGGTTCCTTGTACATGCTTAATCTGCCTCTACGAATGCACGTACATATTACTTGCGCTGGACTGTGGATTCATACACGTAGCCCTGGTGTGGACAAATTTGAGCCGCCCAGGGGTGCTCCTTAACCCGGTTTCTTGATTTATTGGTGTTATTATCATACAGCCAGGCCTAAGAACCTGTTTACCTGGCCAAAGGCACATTGCCAGGCCTCATATCACTGCCTGGTAGCTTGGTTACGCCGACACATAGCCTAACATACGAAGCCAGTTCAAATATATTGTAATAGGCTGTGAGAAAATACTAGATCGGGATAAAAGCAAAATTCTTTTGTTCTGACCAACTCCGTCGACTAAGATATCTAGTAGATATAACAATGTCGGATATATACACAATTACACACGTCCCAAGCTTGAAATGGGATGCTGGATGATATATGAAACGCAGATCTGGGATTCGTAGAGTCACCCACACACCCATAACCCACCTGCAGTAGACACTTCGAGATCGGTATAAGCTGAGGGAGAATTGCAATGGCTAAGGTCATCGCTTGCCCTGCCGCATCCTCTTAACTCTCTCATAAGCATTAGCCTCCCTGCCCTCCTCATTCTGCACCTCCGCCACAAGTCGCTTGTACTTGCGTTCGTACTCAGCATCACGCTCCTTCTTTTCACGTAGCTTCTCGCGTGCAATGAAGTTGGCGTCCTTGCGGAGCTCGCGCATGGCACCCTTGCGCTCACGCTTGTATTCCGCCTTAAGGCGGTTGGCTTCGGCACGCTCGCGATCGGGGTCGTAGTGTTTGTCTGGGTTGAAGGACTCCTCGAACTTGGGAATGGCGGTCTTGATGGCGAGGGGTCGGTGATTGTGGAGGAGGAGGGGCCGACGAGCGTTACGGGCTTGGGTAAGTTGTGCAGTGATTTTGGTGATGGTTAAATTAAGGTTGTCCAACAACGAGGAGGGGAGAGGGTTCTTGCTGGGTTTGCCCTTGATTTTACTAGTGGTGGTGGTTTCGAGGGCTTGGAGGACGTGAGTGAGGACTTTCTCCACGGGGGAGAAGATCTCGGTGTAGGCGGACTTGCCGGACCAGAGATCGGAGGCGGTGGAAAGAAGATTAACGATGGTGGTGAGAATAGAGAGTTTGAGTTGCTCCTCGTCTTCGGTTTCATCCGTCATGTCCCAGAATTGCAGTTTGCGAGACGACATGAGCTTGGAGGAAAGTCTTAGACGAAGAGACGTCGATGGACTGCGGGAGGGGAAGAATCCCAGGGCGGATGTATCGGTGTACTCCTTGGGGTTGAGATGACAGAGGACGTTGAGAGAGTAGTTGATGAACTCGGGCATGTAGCGTTTGGAGATAGCCTGGTATTGCAGGCAGAGACTGGCTGCGTAGGCGCCCGTGGCGAAGTCAGTGAGAGTATTGACAGAACCCTGACCAAGGTATCTGGCAACACAGAGATGGGCGGGCGTTGCGATGGCATGGAAATGGTCGGAGGTTGGGAAGGTTGTCGCAATGCCAGTCAGGATAACTAAATCGCCGGGATGAAGGTTAAGAGGACGACTAGTCGCAATTTCGCGCAGATGGGCTCTGTATGCCTGGCAAACATTTTCCGGGTGACTCTTAGCCATTGAGTGAATATGACGAAGGATGTTCTCAATGATGGCGAAAGAAGGGTGATCTGGCTGCTCAGCCATGTATGCAACATGTTGAACCAGGATGCCAGCAAAGCGACCAAGCTTGGTTTTGTTGTCACTGTGAAGACGAGGGTGGTGTAGGGCTCGGATTCGTTGAACAACAGTGGGCAGATCCTGCATCGGCACATCTTCAATGATATCGAGAAATTCTTCATGGCTACCGGGGCATGGATACGTGAATGCCAGTCCTTCGCTGGCCTCTGCTGCGCTATTGGCCGCAGCTGTGGCATTTCCAGTGGTAAGGCCAGGAATTGACAGTCCGTTGATAAGCTCGTCTTCTTGCTCATCTTCGTCCTCCTCTTCCTCTGAACCTTCTCCAGTATCCGTGTGCTCCTCCTCGTCGAAAGACAGACTCACATCTGATCTCGTTTCCACGAGATCGTCATCGATAATGAAATCATCTTCATCTTCAACTCCGAGCTCGGGACGAGCGGTCGTCTCGATAGGCTGTTGCAATCCAAAAGCCTTCGCATCGTCGAATACAGACTCATCGTCATCTGATTCCACGCCGTCTTCATCTTCTGCATCTTCCTCACTTTCTGCCCCGGCTTCCGATTCGCTAGATTCTTCGCCACGCATGCGTCGAAGGCGCTCCTCTTCGAGAGTCTTCAAGCGCTGAGCCTCCTCCTCGGCTTTCTCCTCTGCAGTCTTGGTGCGATCCGTGGGTGCAGACCGCTTATCGAAGGTCAATTGCTTGAGACGCTGATCATACTCTCTTTCGGCATCATCGGGGGTTTTCCCTTGCAATAGCGCTACTCGTTCGGGGTTCATTGTTGCCAGGTCATCTTTGGGAGGTTCTGGCTTGGGCGGTGGCTTGACACCCCTCAGCATGTCGAATAGATCAGGAAGTCCTTTGTCGAGTTCTTCTCTTAGGTCGTCATCATCTTCCTTGGCCTTCTGGCGCTCAAGCTTATAGAACTTGGACTTGGCAATAACCTCCTTCATGACCTCGCTTTTTGACTTCTTCCGCTCCGGCTGTTCTCCCCCCTCGTCCCCGTCGTCAAAGGTTATATCCGCCAAATCAGAATCGGCATCTTCCAGCATCCGCTTTCTCTTCCTGGGGAAATCCGAGTCATCGTCGTCTTCCTCCGCGCCAAGGTCACCCTCCTGAAAATCATCTAGATTGACACCCTCACCAAACGAAAGAGTCTCTCCTTTGTGAGTGAGCTGGAATTCCTCATCGTCTTCCTCCAGATTGAACATAGATTCCTTCCTCAGCTTTTTCTGGCTTTGTCTGGCGAATCGCTCGGCCGCTCTCTCTTCCGGCGTCATTGTCGGATCATCCTCGCCGAAACGACGATCGAGAATACCACCAACTTTGTTCCTTCTGTTCATTTCTTGGAGAAGTGTTTGTCGCCTCTATATGAGAGAGAGGGAAAGATATCTTAGCGACAGCCTCGACACCTGTAAAAAGTGGATGAAACCTACCTTCTCTTCACCAAAAGACTTGGTTACACCAGGTCTTGCCTGCGCGGCATTCTTCTTGGGCACATCGCGGGTAGTCACATCGAATTTAGGTCGCGAAGTAGTCTTGATCTCGAACGGATTGAATCTGTCGCGAATCGCCTGCAGGGCGGTGTTGCGCTGGATGCGGTTCTGAGCAGCGACGCCGGACTTTGCATTCTGCTGCTTTTGCTTTTTAGACTGCTGAGGACCCAGCAGCCCGCCATCCCGAAGAGAGGCTTTAAGCTGTTTCAGCTGTGACGGTGGCATCGTTGGGAATCGAGAGAAATTGTCGATGTACACTCTCTGTTCGGAGGTGAAACTCCGCCGAAATTTTTGGACCAAACCAGCGGCGATTAGGATCCATGCCGGGAAAAAAAGCTGGCTCGCCGCCCCCGCTTGGCACGATTCTGCCGGCACTATTCATCTTCTTCCCCTCCCGCTTTCATATGCTCTTCCGCCGCGCCGCAGGTCGGCCATCCTGGACTACCTCATATCGGAGAGGAGGGAACGATGGCCGACCGTATGAGTGACAACCTGCTATGGCTATGCCTAGGTATGCTGTGATTGACCAGAGTTGGCACTGCTACTGACATATTGCAGGCGTCTCGCTGTTCTTCGCCGTTCGCGGGATCGTCACGGACCTCCGTCAAGTGCGCGAGTTGACGGAAATTAAGCATGTTGAAAGGGAAGATAGGATGATTAGTGAAGGCACCGAAGATGGTAGGATCTATTGTCACTGTTCCTCAGTATGCTTGTAGCTGAAAATAGGCCAGCGCTCAACCTAGACACGTTACAGAAACTCTCCGAGAGTACCAGCCATGATCTCCGAGCAGCGTACGATGATGACTTCCCCTCTTCCTTCAGGTTGAATATTGACCAAAATGTCACTCCAGTGCATTGCGTATCATTGCAGAAAGATCAACGAGAGGAGAAACTCGAGATCTGCTTCTGCAAGATCTTGTGAGCAAAGACAAATTGCGACGGAATAAGGCGCTTAATGCATTGTACTTTCTTGTTTCCAACCGTGCTCGTAAGGCGACTTTACACCGCGATACTTACTTGCTGCTGACTCACAGTATTAGTATCTCGCACCTCTGCCTGTTCCCGATTGAAAGACCTTCCCGCTTATACCGCGTTAATCAACTGCCTTTGTAATTTCCTCGACGAACATACTGAAGAGACGGTATCGACCGTATCGCCAATCCTCCCGAAAACAAGACCCCTGGGTGAGAAGAAAGCGTTAAACATTCTCAATATCGTTTTACGAGAAAATGTACCGGCCGCACTAGAAGCTGGTATCGTCAGTCGCTGGCTTGCCAAATACCCATTTCCGTGTGCCACCGGAGAACAGCCACGACGCCAGGACGTGGTGATCTTGATGAAAACTTGGTGGTCGGATGATGCTGTGATGAGTGCGATATTCGGCACCATATCTTCACATGTGGATGGTGCGAAGCAATTGCGCAAATACGGTCTAATGGGCAGTATGCTGGAGGAGAATGATCAGGATGACTATGACAGCGATGTGTGGATGGTGGATGGTGAAGATACTGCAGGCTCCTGGCGAGTATCGGGGCCACGAATTCAACAGAGAACCGCCGAGGAACAAGCTGTGAGAAGGCGCAGGCGAGAGGCAATGGTCTTGAGTGAAGGAGGTCGTGCTTTCGGCAGTGAGGATATCATACAACTACCAGTGACCGAGTGATTCATTGGGGAGAGATGACATTCTGGAATACAGAATACGGAAGCTGAAAAGGAATATACCGCATGCTCAAGATAATCATGATACCCTTTGAGATTCGGAAGGAGTATGTCGTCACTCCAGTCAGAGACCCATCCAAGCCGTTTTAGAAACATGATCGGCCTTCTTCCGGCTGCTTTTGACCATCCCGAGCGCCTTCAATTCCGACAAGGCCCTGTAGAACAAGGCCATCACTGTCCTTTCATCACAACTATCTCCTTGGTCGCTTTCGAAAACGGCATAGAAGGCCTGCCACAAGTCATGAATGTTGACTAGGGAACCAGACTCTAGATACAATTGATATAAGATAGCGGCCGCCGGCTGATGCGCGGAAATTCCGGCCTCGGCGCTCCCAGATGATGAGATAAGGTAGTCGAAGGGGCTCGAGAGAGCCCGTTCGACAGCGAAACGCGGTCGCGGGGAGAAGACTTCCTTGAGGGGATTTTTCATATCGAGGAGGAAGATTTCCTGCAAGATCAATGTGTTGGGCCTTATTAGAGTCTCCTCGAAATATGATTCCAAGAGAGCATAAAACCGGTCGATGACGTTTGTGAATTCTATATTTTCCTTTGGCAATCTAGCCTTGGCTTTGCTGAGTTTCACCCGCTGTTGCACGACAGTTGTCGCCACAACTGAATGTTGCTTGTCATATCCACTCTTGAGTGGTTCCGTTCCTTGATAGGGCTGGAGCAGACTCTCAAGCTCTGCTCCTAGTTGCTTGAATGCAGCGCGATCTTTGAGTGTGGTTGGCAACATCGTTGCAAAGACTTGCAGTTGGTCGGAATTGAGCGTCTTGACTGTTCGAAGAAGATCCTCGTATGACGCAGAGTTTTGCAGCTCCCCTGCAAGTGCCCGAATTGATAAATCAGACATGCTGGTCTTCTTAGAGAGATTGAGATGCTTCGAAGCACGGTAGATTGTATTCACGCATTGGAATATGTCGCGCATTTTCTGCTGACCCAGCTTTAACCACTGGAAGGTTTGTTCGAGCAGGAAGGCATCATCTCCCAACAATATGCGAACTCGTTCAGCGGAACCTTCTTCAATTAAGTTTTCGCAGAGCCTATGGCGCGTTTTAGACCCGGTGACTGACAATTGAAGATGGCACACTTACATTCGGAAGGATGGAAGGTTTCTGAGGGACTCGCAGACTCTGTCCTTCTGTATGGTGTGAACAGCGTCATTTCCTAGGAGCACGCTCAATGAATTGGCAAAGAAATGTGACATATAGGCATACTGCTATAGTCAGCATAAGGTACCGACATAAGGCAAGTCCAACAGAGCATATACCTTGACTGTTCGACTGAAAGCCTCAGGGGTCTGAAAAGAGTCGCTTGACTTCTCAAACAGCACGCTCGTGATGTTGCGACCTAACCAGAACTTCCCGTCCTGCTCGGCTTGTATCCTCCCGTAAATGCGATCTACACAATTTTTTGCTTCGTGGATCTCGAAATATCGCCCGCGTAGTAGGGCGACCGTGGACCGTGGTAATCTCCCTTCAAAAAGTTCCACTGACGTTGAGATACCAAATATAAGCGTGAATGGAATCCGATCGACCCACGAGCTAAGAGTTTTGAGTTACCAATACCATAAACTTGCCACGGCGTGACTCACCTCAATAGCGACAAGAGGTCTGCAAGAATACCAGGGTCGAACGCTTCACTGTCGCGAAATGCTAGGACCAGCTTTTTGACCCCTTTCCTTTGAGCATAATCCGCTAATAATTCAAGATCATACCCAAGCACTCTAGGCCCCTATGATGTTTATTAGCGCTCGTGTGTTTGCCGGCTGGGAAATGGGACAGCAGTACCTCTCGGTCGGTCACAAAACTCTGATAACCGTCGTTCCCTTCCGTATTTGTGATACCGAAGCGGATGATATTCTTCAGAGTCGTCTTGAGATTCGGGGCGTCCCCAGATTCCAATACGATCACTCCGCCTTCTCTAGTCGTAGTCAATTGGTCGTTGAGTCTTGAGAGCAATCGTCCGAGGGACGAGACATTCGAGCCAACCGTAACCAGCCCCGCAGGTATGCAGCCGTCATAACTGCTTTTCAGTTAAGAACTGGCTTGTATCGATGACGATATGCGATCTTACGTTCGGGGTGAGGTTGATCTGACAAAGGACAGGACGTTTGTCAGAACCTCGGAATCAACATCATCCAGAATTTCCTAAGCCAGCGTGAACACTTCCTCAGTAAATTGTGGCAATTCGCTCACGGACCTTGATCTTCGATTCCTGGGCGTTCCACAGTTGCTGGTAAGTCCGGTATCGTAGTTCGATGGACTTCGCATTTTCCTTGCCGTTCAAAAGGGCCACGAAAGGATGGGGCTTCGCAGCCCTTAGTTCATTTGTTCGGGTGACTTTACGCCGTTTCGTAGGCCGTTCTCCTAATAGTGTAGAATGATTCGCCGGCCGGTAAATGTAAACGCCCTTTCGGCTCCATCGTTAGCGACGTGGAGAGTGAAGGAAGCACAAGAGCTGCGACGGGGCAGATATGTACTGTACCTGGCTGTGGAATCCATCTTTCAATGTGCCTCCCACGTCTGCTTCTAGCAGATTGGCATCCATTGCCCATCAATCAAGGAATCGAAGAGTCGCGAGAAACACTACTATACAAAGAATATTAGGGATAGGGAAGAACGGTAGTTTGGCCGCATCGGTCCAAAGAAGGCGGAACCGGGCTCGCGTATGCGCTAAACTCAATTAAGGCGGTATTGGTTTTCCGCCGCGGAGCTTTGGATCTTCCTCCGCTTTTCATTCCGCCACCACCGCTCGCTATTGCTTCTTTTTTTCCCTATTCCTCCCCCCACCCCCAGCCTCCTTCTTTCGCGAACTCAACATATACACTCGCCAGTTATTCTCGATTGCGTGCGCCTCGCGTCGCCCCCATCGCCAAACCCTCGCAGTTTTTGTCCGATGCCCTAAACGATCGAACTTCATGCTCCGCCAGGCTGTCCGAGGAGCTCGGTGGTATCAGCATGTGGCCCGCAGAAGCCCGAGCGCTTTCTCATCGATAGCGCCACGCTACATCCATTATGGCGGGCCCAATGACAAAATTAACTTCTTTGAAAAAGCAACTAAGGGAAGCAAGCGTATGAGGAAAATCGACCCTGAGGCCGAGGACCGCGCCGAACAAGAAGAAGTGGAGGCAGAGCTGTCGAAGCTAAACAAAGAGCTGGAAATCCTGAAGGAGGGCGCTTTCGGTCCTAATAGCCAGTTCATTCGCGAACTCCCGGAGAAGGAGAGAGCCCTTGCCCTCGAAGTCATACGCCAATATGAGATCGAGAAGGGCCAGTCCAGAGCGAAAATCAGACTGGAGAATGTTTTCGACGACGAGCTTGACAACATGTTGAAGGAGGAATTTCAGGATCTGGCCAATGAGGAGGAGAATTGGCATTCGGATGCCAATGATAGAAAATTACGCAAAAAGGTAATCCGCAAATCCTACGAGATTCCATCCGATGAAACACAACATCGCCCTTATATTGAGAAGTTTAATGAAACTTTGAGAGCTATCGCTGAAGCTTCAATGGATGAGCGAGGGGGGCAACAAGTATGGAAATGGTATCGTCGCTGCAAGCGCATCGTCCCCGAGTTTTTGAGATCGTTGCCGGAAGAAGCATGGACGCTATTGTGGGATTCACAGTCTCAGGAAGGCTTACCGGGGCGCCAAGTCGCAACGCACCATCAAATCCTTGCTGAAGACGCGATGTCCATTGGCTTGCCTCTTTCGACGCGACGGATACTCTCTTATATCCAAGCCCTTTACATAACGGGGAAAACAGGGAAGGCCTTGGAACAGTGGGAGGCCCACCAGGCAGATCTCTGTCAGACGAAAGACGACCTGGAAGCCTATTGGACGTTGGGAGTACAACTTTTCTCCGCGGAAGGCAACCCTCAGCGAGCACAAGATATCGCCTTAGCCTTCCTCGCAAACGACGCATCTCGTCAGCCTCGTATTCTCATTCCCGTGATAACGGCCTGGGCCGAACAGTCTGGGAAGGCGGCAGAGGTTAAGGCTTGGGCGTTGTACCTCCAGCTTAAAGCCTTCAGTGACTACCCGATGACAATGGACGACTACGACTCTATCAGCATCGGTCTACTCAAAGCTGGCAGGCTGGACCTCGCCATTGCTGTGTTCAAAGATATGATGGTGACCGGGAATGATCCGGCAAACGACTCCGCTGCGCTTTATAAAGCTGCCCTCGGCCTGGCTGGCAACCTTCAGGCGTCCAGCGTCTCGGAGAAAGATGTGAACAGAGTGTCACTGGCGACCTTGACCCTTCTGCCTCGACGATTCCAAAATCGGTTCTTCTACGCCAGTTGGATGAAAAAGCTTATTGGCATGGGCGAGGTTGACTCTGCTGCACTGGTGGTTGAGTTGATGTACGAACGAGGCATAAATCCGGACCCGAAACACCTCAATGGTATCATTGCCGCTTGGCTGCGGGATGGTGACGCCGCGTCACGAGAAAAGGCCGAACGTCTAGGATGGGCGATGATTCAGCGACGAATTGACTCGACTTGGGTACGAATCGATGCAGAAGGGGAGGCACCCAAGGTTGATGTCCATGAGGACACGGATCATAGTCGCATACCCAAGTTTATGCAGCGTCCCATGCCCTGCGCAACTATTGAGACTTTTTCGATCCTTCTCCTCCACTACACCCGGAGAAGCGACGACGACATGGCCAAGTATTTGATTCAACGCCTAGCAGATGCACGCATCCAGCCCAATTCCTATTTCATGAACCATCTCCTCTACGCCGAGCTCAGGAAACAAGACATAGAGGCTCTGTGGAAGAAATACAAAATCTTGTCTGCCGCGACCCAACCGGACCTCGAGACATTTGCCTGCTTGTGGGACTGCGGCAAGCTCCAGTACGACCGTGGGCGAACACCGTTCGTGGCCGGCTTCCCCAGCGCTCGCGGTCTTTTTTCGGAAATGATGCGATGGTTTTCTGGGTTGCCGGCCCGTGGCCAATCACTCGCGCGGGAAGAATTCTCCAAGGAGTTTTATGACCAGATCATCCGCTGCTTCTGTCTGTCCAAGGACCTTCCCGGCACGCTCGTTGCTCTCCACGCGATGCGCGCCACATTCGGCTTTTTTCCTGACTCTACCACTGCCCGTATGATTGTTCTTCAGGTGGCCCGGATGGCCGGTGTTCCGGCTGACACGCCTAAGCGCCGTCTCCGGCGCCTTTCTAGCACCCCAAGGAGCAAGGAGAATGTCGCACATGTACAGACACTGGTCCAAATTCTCAATGACCGCAAGATGGCCGCGCTCGAGGCCCGGGGTCAAAACTTGAAGGGGCTCGAGCCCCATGAACAAGAGCAATACCAGTTGGAGATAATGGCCGAGTTGCTGCGTGCGGTAATGAACCGAACCGCCAAAGATCCAAGTGTCGTCGAGTCTGAAATCGCGGCGGTGGCGGACGAGATGGCTGTATCTGGGATTGACTTGGGACTGGCATTAGAGGGCGATAGCCTACTGCTGTAAACCTGTTCAAGCAGCGTACCTTACGGCTTACAGCATTGGCATATATGGCGTTTTGGGAAAGGATTCACCTCGGTCTCATGTACATAAAATGGTCTAATTTGGTGTAAAGTAAAAGGGGAACAATTTCGCTCTTGGACTTGTATCATAGGCTGTATCATATTGGAGATATTGGCCACCCCAAACCACTGGGAAAACTAATGAACGTCGACTGATGGTGTCATTATTTCGCACGAAACAGAACTGGAGCCGATCCCTGCACACCGAATATGCAAACAAGCACTAGTAAACCAAAGTCATAAAACGCATAGAGTCCCTTATTTCTTTGCCTGCTCGTCAGCCTCAACCAGCACCCCATCATCATCACTACTCCCCGCCACCGATGGCGGCGCCCCAGAAGAAGACCCAGGAGTCTTGATCGCCGGTGTGGAAGAATTTGGCGTGGCGGCACCACTTGTAGCGGTAGGGGTCGTGGGAGTAGCAGCGGCGGCGGGAGCGGCGGTGGCGGCCGACTCAGACTGTTTCCTAGAGGAGTTCGCATTCGTAGCCTCGGCATCCAACTCCTTCATAAACTCCTCCTGGGTGTTAGCCTTCTTGTTCTCCCACCATTTGCGTTCTTCCTCGAGCTTAGCCTGCTCCTTCTCCATGCGCTCCCGATAGAGGTCATTGTTCAGCATCTCGTTGGCGGATTGGAAAATGGTCTGGCCCCAGCCGGGGACGTAAGCGTTGGCCTTGTTTCAAGGTTAGCATTTGCAATTCACAAAGCAGTCCCCCACCTTCTCTCTCTCTTTTCCTCGCTCCTCAGGAATACCCCGGCCGCGAAACCAGCACTCAAAACACACATCATAGGCTGCAGGACATGGGTACAAACCTCAGCAACAACGTCGCGCACCTCCTCTTCCATCTCCTTCTCCGCTCTCGTAAACCGCTGCCACAGATCATCACCGACACTGCCCCGTTGCAACAACATCGCCAGGGCCTGCTTCTGCGATCTCAATTGCATGACGCGCTTGATGTCTTCAATCGCGCGACGCAGCAGCGCAGCCTTGAGTACCGACTCCGGGACCGCGGGGGCCTTCTTCTCCTTGCTGTCTTTTGGGGGGTCGAGGTGTAAGAGGTTGAAATAGATGTCGCGCTGAACGTGTGCGGGGAACCATGCTTCAAGGGAGAAAGCCTTTCCTGTTTGTCATTGCATCAGAGACGATCTGTAGCAGCTGGTTTCACGCGCATATAGTGCTTGATTCTTGTGTGCAGGAAGGATCGGGGGAGAGAGCTGGGAGGGGGGGAGGGAAAGTTTGAAGGCGCGGGACATACTGGCTTTGCGCTTGCGGTAGAGAGAAGAGAATGTTGCGAGGGAGCCAAGGAGAACGCCCAAGTAGGCAAACGGCACGGCGAGGGATAGCCAGTCTACCATCTTGAGTGGTATGTAATGTGTGTTGGTAGGCGAAAGGTGAACGAGAGTGTATGGTTGTTAGGGGGTGTTTTTTTAAGGCAAGCGGAAGCAGAAGGCGGAAGGAGATCAATTGAGTTAAGGATAAAGGCCAGGCTGGTGTCTTGGCCGCGTCACATGTCTGAATCCTTTATCGATAAGCAAGCAATCACTAACTGCGAACCACCGAACTGGATTGCGTTCCAGTCAGTTGCTGCCATCCATGACTTGGAGTTTTGGAACGAACTTAACCATGGCCAGCCTCTCTTCCGAGAAAATCAATACAGACTTCTGTGATCTTATCCATGTTATATAAAGTCATGCTTTGTGCTATGACAGGGAAAATAGCTTCATCAGCGCTGCACTAACCCCTGTCCCGTTCGTCAAGTCGGGGCTCTCAGAACGTGAGATTGCTCATTTGATCGTAAACAAGGGCGCGCGCACGATTTTTCTCGAGGAGGCTATCGACTCAATTTTCGGATAAAGCTTCCGTCTATAGGGCAGAGCTCAATGATTGCTCCGTCGCTTACATCGTTCTGTTAGGCCTTCAAACGAAGTCCATCCCTTGCGGTTTTCTACAAAACTGAGTGGTCATGATTCTCTAGAGAGCTTGGGATGAGTCTTATCCCCCTCAAGCTTGATGCCAACCATGAGAAATCAAGGAATCGACTATAGCTGCGTTCAACCGCAGAATGGATGCTTGGCAACAAGAGCTGCTCTCGAATTACCAAGTTAAACGCAAGAAGACATCAATCTAAGCAAATGAAGGGTACGCCTTGACTTTCCATTCCAATTGAACGAAATGTAGATTTAACACGAATTGCAGTATCATGGCTTCGCGTCGAGTTAAAGCAGCTGTGAATTCACTCAAGCAGTTGCCCGAAAATTCAGACCTTTCCTGGGCATCTGCCTTATTACCGTGGCGCTGAATAGTGCACTATGTCAGGCAGGCCGTTGCTGCTCTCTTGATGGGTTTGCTCTCTCCAAGGCGAGTCAGCTCTGATAATGCCAAATTCATAGCAACAGGTACGGAAGCAATGAACTGGCTCGGTGTTTGGAAGAAAGAAAACCCTTCCCGGCAAGCGTTAAGGGATAAGGTAGGTATTGTCATGCCATACGGAGTATTTTGGCGGAAGCCAGACATTTAGCGCAAGCTGAATAGACGGGAACATTGAAGCTCAAAGAACTGAAAAGATGAACTTTTCTCGAGGAAAAATGACAGTCATTACTTGCGAAAATAGTCTATCTCTATCCGCCCACCGGCGCTCTAATAACTTTTGAAGGGGTACAAGAGAAAATGACTATCAATACTTGATCATAGCGATCATTGACCAAGTACAGAAAGACTCCCACCACGATATCAACTATGTAGCTATGGCTCTTGCTCTTGCGAACGCATCTCGGTACGTATTGATGGATCTGATTCAAGGATCAGAGCGGCCACGTCAAATGGCTCGCGCAATGCAATGATCAATGGAGTGTCACTGTTGGTACGTGACGCGTTCGATGTCGTCGTTGGAATGCCAGATGTATAATGGGGCAAAGTACATTGCCGTAGCTTCAGAACGAACTGAATCGAGCTGTTGAAGCAATTTTGTCCAAGTCGTGCAGCTCTAGCTTGCATCTAACATTTCTGCTCCTTTCTTGGACTCGCTTGTGATTAGTGGGAACTAATCATCGGCACTATGGTGATATACCAGGATGCAAACAATAGACAATTATAGGAGTGATGGAGGGTGAAAAGCACACAACAAAAGGGATTCTCTGGTTACCATCACCCATCCAACTGATATAGTAGTCTCTAACGGGTGGCTTGCACGCTGCGAAAAGGCGGGTGGCTTGCACGCGGCCAAAAGGCAAGTGGGTGAGTTAAGGTGAGTGTGCAGTAAGGAAGGGTGTGCGATCACACTGGTCGCACAACAGTCGCGCAATCTCGCCTGCAAAAATTCCAATATCCACTCGCTTTTTCTCCAGCAACAATAACTGAAGTGAGACAGTATGCTGAGATTGCCAAGCCTCAAAACTGACCTGACTCGCGATGATCTACTTTACTGTAAGGTCTAGATGACCCTTAATATTCCCTCAGCCTGGTAACACTTCGCCTATTGGAGAAACGAGAGCCCAAGACCGCCACTGGTGGTACAAATTACGAGCATTATATGAGGATATGACTCCTCTTTTTCATTAAGAATGTGATGACAATGGCGTCAGAATTCACGAGATTCACTAATGCACCAGATATCACAAGTCATTCATCTTTCAGTCAGATTGATTACCTAGATTAGTAAGGAGCAGTGGTGATCAACAGTGCGAACAGAGATCGGACGGAGAGCCTAAGACACTACTATTTTGGTTCCATTCAACCCCAGGCTTGACTCCTCCGTCATCAGGCTCAAGTGGGGGCCTGCCAGAACCGATCCAACCGAATATCGGACAATATAGCCGATGCCGACTTCCTTGTCTTTCTTCGCAGCAAGGATGCCTGCAGCGAGCAAGAGCAAGCTGGGGAGTTGGCTAACTGACTATGATGCACTTCGATCACAGCTGCAGGCAATCCACTCCGTCGCCGATGTCATGATACATACAGGTTTGCTTGGGCATTTCCGCCCCGGTGGTGTGGCTGGGGAGGCCGAGAACGAGAGCCAGGAATACCTATAGAAGCCGGAGAGTAATTTGACAAACTAGCCCGCTTGCCACGGGAAGGATCATACACGAAAAACAGAGTAAGAAGAGGTGGGACAAACCCGGCCTTAGGCCTTTTGCACCCCACTTGGGGCATTCTCTACTTACGCGGCCGCAGGCCGTGCAGACCAGCAAAGCGAATTCGGTTCTACGCATACGCAGCTAATTCCCTTGGTCTGAATTCATTCTTTACGGGTCCTGGCACCTACATAGCCAGCTGCATTTTGGCAGGCTCAATCAGGTTAAGAGACCTTGAATTGAATTGATTGAATGGAATTGAATTGAAATCCCTTGACGTTGACTAGCTACCACGAAGTAGTACTTAGTATTTACTATACAGTACATGTCAACAGACCCACCCGCGGATATGATAGTATCTACGGAGTACGGAGTACATGCCGGAATCTGCCCGCGCTTACTGTCTTGCGGAGCGATGATCTGTGGCTAAGTATGCAAGCGCCGTCGCATCGCTTTCGCCTCCGATTCGGGCAACGAACAACCTGCGGCTGGTAGAACTGATTGGCTCCACATGCCCGTATTATTGGATCTTACTAGTCACTGGCTGCAGCCTGTAAGTAGTTACTACTTGGTTAGCACACAGTCTCAGCAGAGTAACTACGTACCAGTAGGTATCATTACACATGTCTCACAATAATATAGTCACATGCAAGCCAGGAACAACCCAAACCTGAGGCATTGAGAAAATTCAGTCATTATACATGTCGGCCTCAGATAGACAATACTGAGGGTCAAGAAAATTGTCCCGATTGATACAACCATGGTCCAGAGTACCACTCTACAGCCTCACAATACAAAGCAGGAATAGACAGATTAAAATTGGACTACTATTCGTAGAAGAAAGAGTAAGAGAACAGTCTATAGGTGTTCATCAAACAGCGATACATAATTCCAATGAATTGACCGGTTTATAACCAATTGAAATCTTGCAATCCGAAAATTTGCTCAACTGCCAGATGGGCAGGGTACTGTACAGACGGTAGTGTTCTTAGTGTACTGGCAAAGTTACTCCGTATTGCTCGCCGCTATGATGTAAGTCTATTTTCTGTCCAGGTACATGAGATATCTACCATGATCATATTGCGCTCGTACTGCAATAAGTGTTCTGTCTGCGCCCTTGCATGCCTAGGTATGGGCTGTACCTGATACGATTCGGAACCAACCAAATGGATCTCTTACTTTCCTCATTACTTTCGTAAGCACAATTGAGGAACTGCCCGTGCTTGCATTGGGTTGAGATTCTAGTGATACAAAACTGTACCCATTTGTCTACAACCCCTTGGCATTACTGCGGGATTTTTGGTGTGGCCGCTTGGGTTAAGGACCATGAATACAATCAGCTGAAGTCAAGTTATTTAGCAGACCTCCAGGCAGGCCGTTGCTTGCCCTATTTGAGTTGAGGGGCACGACTGGGAAGGGGTTGCCTTTCAGCTGCAGATCTGTTCTGCTATATTAGATCATGCAACATCATAGGAAGGTAGGCAATACAGAGGTATGTACTGTACTAAGCGTAACCAGGTCTGTCATATTTAGTTAGAATAAGCAAAATTCAAAGCACAAGAGACCAAAGACAAGAAGGCTACTCATAAAGCGGCTGTAGCATGTCTCGAGTCTCTCCCATTGACTTTTACCTAGTCTAATGACTTTGCATTAGCTTGTCTTATTTCTCTTATATCAATTGATCAAGTACCTTCTGTTTCCTTTAGGCTATCTACCCAGTCATCTTCATCTATCAACTGTACGCACGCATCCCATCAGTGACCCTAGCAAGTTAATACATTCCCGCGCAATGAAGCTTCCGGCACCAGAACTTCTTCAACAAGTCCACGTTCCCCTCAATGGGGGACAGCCCGAGCCTATAGCTTCCTTCAACTCTGCAAAAGCAGCATACACCCAAGATCGAGAGGCCGTCCAAGAAAGCTTGTTGCGATTATGCTCTGTGAGCTCATGGCACAAGAGCTCAAGATCGGCGTTTGTTCCCCAGCCAGTTCTCATCTCTTCGGTGCACCAGCGCCAATGGAAGGCACTCAACGAGGCTCTAGTCTTGGCTATAACTGACATTGTCGAGAATTGGTGGACGGACTCGGAGTCGAGATTTCCAGAACGTATGCCTCTGGAACCTGCAGAAGAAGACCTCCTTCGTGTACGCTATATTACTACATGGCTCCATAGTATGAATTACTAAACCATTGGCATCCTAGTGGATCGACAGCCAAGTTCCCGACAATCTGCCACCATACCGAGAGTGTCGCGGATCGTGGAGACCAGACTTCCTGATTGAAAAAGACAACTCTGAAAGCAGCCCGGGCTCTGTGGAGAATTTCCGAATTAGTGAAATCAACGCTCGATTTTCCTTCAATGGGTTGATGTTTGCTGCTTGCGGACAACAGGCTTTTAAAGAGCAAGGTATCTGTGACGGAGGCAATGGTTTGGTCGGTGCGACTGAGCCCGAAAAGGTACGCTGAGGATGTTTTCATTGAGAATAGATCGCACGGTAGCTAAGGGCCAAGTTTAACTAGTTCCTGGGAGGCCTTTTGAGCCTTTTTAATCCCGACTTGCCATTGCACCTCCTCAAAGGAGACGAACAAGGCGTTGACATTCATATGATTGTCGCATTTCTCAGAACACGTTTTGGAATCAGCCCTCGCTTCGTGCTGCCGGATGATCTTCGACTGGTGCCATATGCACAAAACAAAAGCGGTTACAAACTCTGTTGTGTGGTTAAGAAAGCTGAGATTGAGGACACCGGACGCTTAGCCTCAGTGTTTTATCATGATGGTGAGGCCGTGGAAGAGATTCATCAGGTTGGTCTTGAGCTCCACCAGAGAGAAATTCGGGCTCTGAGTCCGGAGATGCTCCGCCAAATTAGTCTCAGATGTTTCAATGACATGCGTACTATTTTGCTGGTCCACGACAAGCGGATGCTCGGGATAGTCAGGCAGCAACTCGACTCTTTAGTGGAAAGGAACGTCATTACGCATGCACAAGCGAAGATTCTTGACCATGGCATTGCTGATACAATACTCCCTGGCTCCTCGGAACTAGAGCAGTTCGTTGGATCTTGCAAGGAAAACCCTGAACTCAAGCAAGACTACATCCTGAAACCGATTCGAAGTGGAAAAGGCGATGGCATTGTGTTTGGCGAAGACATTGACCCCACTGAATGGGTGTCAAGATTGGAAGGTTTGCGCTCCTCAACGTTTGCCCTTGGTGATGGCATCTGCATTGTCCAGCGCAAGATCAACCAGATTCAGTATGATTTGATCCTGGGCCCAATGGGCGTCAAGGCCAGGTATCCCCTTGTTGGAACGTACCACTCGATTCATGGCGAATTCCTTGGAGTTGGTGTGTGGAGGAGCAGCCCAGATCGGATCTGCGCGATTAGCCATGGAGGTGCATGGACATGCTCTGTAATCAGGGCTAGCTGAGTATCTTTCTCCTAATATGAAAAAATTATGCCGCTTGTTAAACATGGCTTATGTTTCTGGGCGATGTTCATCAGTTCCTTTTTTATTCTTATTGTTTCAAGCAAAGCATAAACAGAGCAAGCACTAGAAATAGAGACATATCTTAGCATTACTCCGCGGCGTATGTAAAGGTCAGCTGTAAATTGCTGAAAATCATAAAATTATCTCCACAATTGGGTACTAGGTCATAGAAAACATAGAATCTACATTTAGCCTCAATGTAACACTAGCCTGAATGAGACCACTCACCTACCGGAGAGTGCTTCAGGCAAGAAGAGATTCTCAGCTGAGGTACGGAGTACATAACCAGTAATACCAGGATACGCTATACGTAGCGGCACAGGAACTAATGCAGTTGCAAGAATGGCGCTAGCAAGGGGGACCCAGCTGCATCTGTAGAATCATACATTCATGTCTACTCGGCGGCGATGAGCCACACGAAATCCCTAGGTCACGTTCTTTAGCTGATGTTGGTCAATCAGGGCTTCCGTACAGAGGGATCGTAGCAAGATCTGCAAGCTAGAGAGCCGTCCGCTGCTAGTATACCCTACTAGATGTCACCTATTGTCATTTGTAGGCAGTGTAGAGTACATCGTACGAATGTCCAAAGGGTAGCAACGTGTTCAATCGGAAGTAGCAAGGTACACGTAATGGTACGAGACTTCGCTCAGTGAGCCTTTGCCTCAATTTACACTGCCTGTCACACGCTCGCTCTATATGTAGCTGGCGTAGCTCCTGCCTGTCCCTTAACCGATCAGATAAGTTAAATTGACGAGTTTCTCTCTTGTCGCCGGTATATCCTTATATCATACGGAGCCAACACTGCATCTGAGTAGTTTGAGCCCTTTCTCTTCTGCTGCTACTACTACTGCTTATTATCATCACCATCATCATCATCATCATCATCATCATCATCATCATCATCATCATCATCATCATCATCTTCTTCTTCTTCTTCTTCTTCTTCTTCTTCTTCTTCTTCTTCTTCTTCTTCTTCTTCTTCTTCTTCTTCTTCTTCTTTTTCTTCTTCTTCTCACCAGGTGTCCTTGAATCTGAATCTGTGCCTAAATTTCGCCTGAACATGCGGCAAGTAATGAGGACTTTGAAGCCCATCAAACCGGTGGGCTTCACTCGCAGTAAATCAACCATATCTGAAAGATATCACAAGAGTGATGTGGCATATTTCGCAAAGGAGGTATCACGCGGAGTGCCACACCTGGTAGTTAATAATCTCAGCTATGCCACCTGCCCCAGCCACACCGCCGAAATATCGAACATACTTCGCACAAGCGGCATTCTCAAAGTCAGTCTTCAATTTGAGGACGACTCCAGCCGGTATCTTCAGAAGCTTGTTCAGGCTCTTCACGATCACCACGACCACGGACTCCCCATCACCCACAGTGCATCTCGCGGCTGGTTCTGGGACATCCGGCCTAACAGCACCACATTCCAAACACCATCGCATCAGGCCCGGTCAGAGACCATGGAGGAGTTTCCGTGGCACACTGACTGCAGCTACGAAGAGGCGCCACCCCGGTTCTTTGCCTTACAGGTCCTGCGAGAAGACCGCTGTGGCGGCGGGACGCTCTCCGTGATGAATGTCGGAAAACTCAGCTCACTCCTCTCGCCGTCAACTTGCGCTACTCTCCTCCGACCCGAATTCCGCATTAACGTCCCACCGGAGTTTGTGAAGCATGATGCGAAACGTTATATTGTGGGGAGTTTGATGGCTACTGGTGCAGAGGGATTGCCTAGTATAATTCGCTTCCGTGAGGATATTCTCACCCCTTTGACAGCCGAGGCTGCGCTTGCGCTGCAGGAATTGAAGGAGTGCTTGCTGGGGCTGAAGGTGCAGGCTGAGATGGTCCATCTTACGCCGAAATGTTTACCAAGGGGCTCTGTGATTTTGATGGATAATTATCGGTGGATTCATGCTCGCACACATGTCATGGACCCTGAACGCCATTTGCGGAGGGTTCGGTGGGACGCGAGGCCCTTCTCCTCTGTTTGTATTTAGGGAGGATTCTGGGCTATTGTGGATTGCGAATGTGGCGGAAGATACTGACTGCCTAGTTCAGCGGCTGCTCATGAAAGTCTAGAATCTAGTCGAGACATTTCCATTACAGGAGAGAAATTAATCATAGAGTTACTCGAACGACATATCTTAACTCAGATCTCATCTCGCTCATCTTCATTTATCATAGTGCTAGGCCCAGCAGAGACTATAGATGCAATTGATCTACGGTTATATTGACTAGTTCCGTACCATATTCAGTAACCTCTCAGAGTCGAAGTCCTTTGACATGGGCTCTTAGTTACTATCTAGCATAGTTAATCAAGCCGTAATTTAGAACCAATCGATCCAGCCACCTAAATCAAACTTCGCCACTACGTACCAAGAAAAGAGCAATGGGTCCTTGCTCTGTTTGTTGTCTTGTGTTGAAAATTACTGTTTTCTCCGCAGCCCTGTAAGCCACAAATATGCGGAAATGATCTCCTAGGCTGTTCGAGCTTGAATCGGGTGGTATCCACAACGGATTACGCCGCCCGGACATCCCCTCACATATGTGTATTTCACTAGTAACGACCCAAGTCAGATCAGTCGCACTGCATCGCAGCGTACCACATCCCCAAAGAATTGAAATTTCTGGTTTACGACTTTTACAATCGGGTTTATCGTGCGGACTACGGAGTACTTCGTAATCATAAATTCAACCTAGGGCGACGGGCCAGATCCCACTCAAGCCTGAGTAGGTTCGACCAACGAACCTTTCTCCTTATTGGGACGGCCCGTCCTGTGGGCGGGCCGATCCGTCCGTCAGCTGATCTAGGAAATTACTGGTACTCGGTTTACTCCTGCCACGTCGGCGTCATGCAAACGTAAAGAGTGGATCGTGGACCTGGATCAGATAATCTCAGATCTGCCAATTCCATTCAAGCTCATGCTCAAAGAGGTAGCGGTCGAGTCAACTTGGGGCGGTAAGGTAAGTTTGCCACTGGACCACTGTTTACGTTCTCGAGCAACCCCGGTAAGTAGGAATCAATTACCTGTTATCAGTCCGGTGCTGTGAATAGGGTGGTGTTGGCATTATTAAGAAAAGTCTAATAAATGAAGCGTTATTGATTCTTGACAAGGGAGAGAAGACATAAGCACTCTGAAGGAGGAGGGGGGAAGTGACGTACAAAGAAGAGAAAGAGAAAGGCTGAGAGACGCTGAGACATTCAATATACTCGTGCAGAACTTGCAGGTGCTGGTACTACGCTATAGCACGGCTGTCTGCTCTATAAATGACGTGCTTCAGAGAGCCAATACTGGATACTAATACAAGATTACACCTCCGGCCATGATCGATCCTCCTACGTCGTGTACCTCGGAGTACAACTAATGTATAGATGCGCGACGATCGACCTGCTTTGGATTACATGAGTGAAACATGCATCGCCTAGGCTGTGCCCAATTCCTGGTCAGTTCCGAGTATCCCGTTCAGCTCAATCTGCCCCTGCGAGTTTACCTTTCTCGGCTTCTATGGCTCTCGTAGTAGTGATAACTGTCATCAACCGAGCTGAAGAGCTAAGTATTTCCTGCCCAAGTCCTGACGTGATCCGATTTCACATGTTCAGCTATTCCATCTCAATGGTCATTTTCTCGGGAATATTCAACGGCGTTACTTGGTCTTCGCTTTCAGCGATGAGTCCATCTCTGAGCTACGCTTATTCGAAGTTCAAGGTCTTGCTGACTGTGTCTGTGTCGGTGAGTTCCAAGGCATACGATGATGCCAATGCTCTACATTCTCCAGTAACTCAGTCTTTTGAGCATTCTCCCATGGTTAACTCTTTGGTTTCCTTCCGTATCTATGTGAATTCCTACATACACTATTCTCGAAGTACGCTGTGCGTCGTACAATGCATTAGCGTATCATCTAAAGACAAGACGTGTCGTGCCCAGCGGTTTATTACGTTTGAGAACTAATGAAACAATGCATTAACCATGTGTAGCACTCATTGGATAGATTGAGAGAGCTATTTTTTGCTTGCATTTGTCGGTGGATACGATAAGCGTTGTAACCTTCCTCGGCACGGTCATGTCCTAGTGCGGTAGCTCAGCCGATACCGTCCGCCAGCGTTTTGTCCCAAATCCCGATCCTCAGGGTACGGTACCTATTTCTAAGGGGGAAGTCAACTTTACATTTGATTACGTGCAAATTCACAGGTACGACTAACATGTCAATCAAGGCTGAGAAAGGGGTTAGTGCGCCCTTGTTGCAATTCTGATCTGCCACACCGCTAAGACCTCCCGGGTAGATCGCCACCTTTTTCAACCTGCTTGCCCACCTTCGCAGTAGAGTTTGAGACTCTATGGCATCAGTTATGTCTAGTCAAGTTAATTGGTCGGACCATTCCGTGCCTCGTTTCATCAGGGACACCTCATTTTCCTCACAGAACCAACAATTCGCAGAAATACCGCACGATCCGAAACAAATAGGGAAGTCCAAATCAAACAGGGTCCATCTCATATGCAGACTAACTAGGGCGAATGTCTTGGCATTTCTTAATCAATCAGTCTTGTCAATATAGTACCGCTGGCCTCAGCGTAGTACCTTCCTAGACAGAATTACACAACAGGGGGAAAAAAAACCTAATCTCGGAACAGCAGACCAGAATCTGATCCATACGGTAATCTTTAAAGAAGTCGGTCGATTCCAAATTGAGCGAACGCAATTACGGTATGTCCCGTGGAGACAAGAATGTGGCTATTCTTGATTGCCAGACAATGACCTTATAAGATCGGAAAGTTAGGTGCTTCCCTGTGCGCTTTTAAACGTGAATGACTGAGACGGTTCTCTTCAGAAAGCCCCAGAACATAAAAACTCCCCTTTCTTGATCGCTTCATTCGTCCAGGATGACTATCAAAGCTTTTCCCCTGTCAGAAGTGCTGGCGGTTTCGGGTATCCATCCGTTCTACAACCCCAATATACTCTACCCACCTAATCCTGATGAAATCCAGTCTGCTGTGCAATCAGCAGACGCACGTTCTACGGAGACTATGAGTAGTAGGCTCGAGCTGCTACCACTGACTACCAAGAAGGAACTGTATGTCGAGCTCTACGCTTCATTTCTTTATAGCTCATTTTACTCATACCTCTCAGCTATCAGGTTGTCGAGCGATTGACCAAGGACACGAGCCCGCAGAATGAGTACCGTCGTAGCTCTTACGTCAGCATCACAGGTGGTGGTTCTGGGGGATTACCGTTGATGTTTTTGTCTGATGCAAAAGAGAATCGTCAACAGCGTGCTGCGTTTGGCGAGTTTCTGAGGACTTCGGGGGTTGTGGACCCGCATGATTGGATCCTGACAACGCATGCCTCGGGTTATATGTATAGGTTCGTTTCAGCCCTAGTGGAGGATTCGATGGTAGAGCTGACCTTGACTTTCCTTCGCGCGCTGCGCAGGTCGCTTGACCTCATGAGTGAAATTCTGGAAAATGCAGGAGGGACGGTTTTCAGCGCGGGTAATTTCATGACACCTGACGAAGTTGTGCGCGCCCTTGTGCAATACAATATCAACGTTTTGACTGGCGATGGCAGTCAAGTCATTCAGATTATTCACCATATTTCGACCCTTCCTGAGGAGAAGCGAGACGGAATCAAGCTGACGAAAGTGATCTACACATCTGAGCCGCTTACTGACGGTCAGGAAAGACATATTCGCACGACACTTGGCCCGGTCAAGATATGCTCCGTCTTGGGAAGTGCAGAAGCAGGCCCATATGCACTCCATAATCCAGATCTCACTGGGGAAGCACGGCTGAATGGCTCTATGGACTTCGTTTTTGACACACGCAGCGACCTCATCGAGATCCTGCCTACTTCCGTCATGGAAAGTGATCCTCCCCCTAGCTTAAAGGCCATCCCGGAAGGTCAAGAAGGTATCATTGTCCAGACATCCTTGCAACGTCGGCGCAATCCTCTTGTGCGCTACATCACTGGCGATATCGCATCCGTCCATCCGTTGCCAGACATTGCGCGGTCCATTGTTCCAGAATCTGAACTTCAACATCTTCGGGTTCTACGACTTCGAGGTCGTGACCGTCGGTTTAGTTTCAAGTGGTATGGGGTGTATTTTGAATTTACAAACATTGAGAAGTTCATGCAGAGAGAAGGATTCGGAATCTTACAATGGCAGATTATCAGAGGGACCCATGATTCCTCCCCGCAGATAACCCTTGAGATTAGGATGCTTAGGGAGGCAGCTAGCGAGCACTTGATTTCTCTACAGGATTTCGTCTATGAGATGGAGACTTTTTTCTTTGTCCTGCCAGAAAACCGTCATTTGTTTCGGCTGACATTTATTGAGAATTTGGGTGAGTTCGAGAAGAGCGGTACAGGGAATAAAGTGATGAAGTTTGTGGATAGAGCACATTAGCTCGCTTAGGATATGATTCTGTGTGTCAGTCAAATGATCCACGACGCGTACGCACAGTCACTATTACCATGGAACTACCTAGCTGATTTTATATTAATTGGTTTACTTCGTCTTATCACTGCATGTTTCGCGTGTGATAGATGCTTACGATGTCTCTCATTTTATGCATCTAGCACGTAAGTGGCAGGGGCCTGCAGCTTGCTGAATTCCTTTGTCATATGATGACGATCTCTCGAGTGATTCACCTTGATTAACCTATTATGTCTTGGAAGGGGGTTTGGAATGCACAGTCGGGGGTACGGCCACACTAATCCTATCTATTACCACTAGTTTATGTCATTGCATGCCCCAAGCAATGTTAGGGTTACTTAAGTAAGTAATCACCGTTGTACATCGGTCACGGATCTTCTTCTAAAAAGCTGGTATCAACCTGCACCGTCATTCATTATACCCAAGGCTTCCAACAACAATGGGCCCAGAAAGCATCTCGGATGCAGGCGTCCATGGGACACTGCACACATCAGAAAAGCTGGAGGCAAAAGATGAATCGCACGAAGAGGATATTATTGAGTATCCAACTGGTATCAAGCTTGTCGTGGTACTTGTTGCCATATTTTCGTCTTTGATCCTCACAGGGCTGGTCTGCAAAATTCCATGATCTTTGAAGTTCTCGCTAAATGAAGGATTAGGACTTCAACATGATTGCGACAGCATTACCCACCATCACCGCGGATTTTCATACCATCGCCGATGTTGGTTGGTATTATTCTGCATAGTAAGCGCATCTTCGGCTACTCTAAGATTAGCCTGTTGCTCTAATGCATGTCAGCCGTTTGACTTCTTGCGCCTTCCAATTTATGTTTGGCAAGCTTTACCATCTCTTCTCTGCCAAATGTGTATTCCTTGCCTCGGTGCTCATTTTTGAACTGGGATCTTTGCTCGCCGGTGTAGCGCCCACTTCCAGCGTGTTGATACTGGGGCGAGCCGTCTCTGGTATCGGTTGTTCAGGTATCATTTCTGGAGTCCTTACGTTAGTTTTGCCTTTTCGTGTCCATATCCCCTTCTCTTGTTATGATAATAATTAACCAATACGTCTAGCATTATAGCAAGAAGCTTTCCTCTTCGTAAACGTCCGCTATATACGGGACTAGCAGCAGCACTCGAAGGCATATCCTCAACCGTTGCTCCAATGCTTGGCGGACTCCTGACTCAATACATCTCATGGCGATGGTGCTTCTATATCAATCTCCCCCTTGGAGGTCTGTCCTTTATATTAATTCTGTTGTTTTTCCAAGATCCATTGAAAACCAAAAGCACAGTCCTGCCATGGAGGGTAAAGCTCAAGCGACTTGACTTGCTAGGAGCGGGGCTTTTTGTCCCCTCTATCACCTTCTTTTTGTTGGCGCTCCAGTGGGGAGGCACGGAGTACGCATGGAACAACGTACGAGTTATCGTTCTCTTCGCCTTATCCGGCGTTCTCCTCATTGCCTTCATCTGGCAGGAGAAGAGGGAAGGGGATAATGCACTGCTTCCCGGACGAGTTATGCGCTCGCGAAGTGTGCTTGCCGGGATGTGGTTTGGCCTCTGTAACAATTCGTCTTTGTCGGTCTTTGAATATTACGTATGCCCACCCTATCCTTTCATGCGTTTGTTCACTGACCTGTTTTTGAATAAGATGCCGACCTATTTTCAAGCAGTTCGCGGGGTGTCTGCCACAATATCAGGAGTACTTTGTCTGCCTATCGTGGTGGGACTGATTCTTTCCATTCTAGTTGGGAGCTCCTTAACCAGCGCTATTGGATACTATACTCCCTTTATGATCATCACCGCGGTTCTGAGCCCAATAGCAGCAGGGTTGCTTACAACATTGCAGACCGAGCAGTCTCTTGCTTCTCTTATCTGTTATCAAGCCCTTTTGGGCGTCGGAACCGGTATCGGATTCCAAGGGCCCCAGGTAGCCGTCCAGACTGTACTTCCAGTCGCAGACGCTCCAACTGGCATTGCCCTCATTATTTTCGCCCAGAACTTCGGGCCGGCTGTCTTCGTCTCGATTGCTCAGACAATTTTCACTGGAGAACTTCGCACGCGTCTAGGAGAGATGCTGCCGAGCCTGGGCACGCAGTCATTGACGCAGATGGGGTTTTCCGATATAGAGCAGCACGTTGCCCCTGCTGATATACCTCGGGTGATCGAGGGGTACGTTAGAGCTTTGACCACAGCCTACTTTCTTCCGGTCGGTTTGGCTTGTTGCCTTATGGTTGGAGCCTTGGGAATGGAGTGGAGAAGCGTAAAAAAATAAGGGGCTTGGATGCGTGATCTTTGGACGCACATAACTCCAGATTTGTCATCTTCTATAGCTCGCTAGACTAGACTGACTCCATGCTTTTCAAATCTTCCTTCACGTCTCCATCACGTGCATGTGACGCTCCTTGATGGATCAAAATCGGTGTCAATTGTGGAAATCAACTACGCAACATGTGCTTCAACTGCGCAATACTATTCTAGAGCTAAATGAACTTATATCTGGGGTGACTGATTACCCCTTTCCCTTATAATTGTGATGTGTGCCCTGCGGCACTTGTGGCGAGCGGCTTCGAAATCTTGTGACGCCTCCCTCCGTAGGATCTAGTACTGCACCAACCATGCTAGTGTCCTGCGAAGGCTGCTCTATATTATCTTGCTTATCTTGAAATCCATCCCCCCGCCCGCCCAGGAAGTAGATAGATAGCCCTTGATGTCTTAGACTCCGGTAGCGCCAGCTATTTACGGATACTGCTTAGCTCAAACCGAACGAAGCCAGGCGAGTATTCGCTTATACGAGTACGACAAGCTGGTCGACGCTAAGCCCATCTAATGTAAGCTTAATCCGAGTATACAACTCCCCAGGCAGGGCATGTCGTGTCGCATACGCAGTTGAGACGTTCTGTGCGTTATAACCAAGTTGGACAAGACATTGTGTGTACAAGTTTCGTGCGGCCACCCAAGTTCAATTCTCTCACGAACGATACTCGAGAAACAATTGATTACCTCAAGCCGGCCATGCCAAGAAACGAAAGCTTGTTATGCCAGCGAAAGGCCTTTCGTGTGGTATAGTAAGCCAAACCTACATGGTATTAGCAAGTACGTTATTTCGGCTGCCGGGACAAATGAGTCATGAATGAGGGGAGGGGGGAGCTGAGTCGGGAAGTCTTGACTGGGTAAAGTAAGGATCTTGCTGCTAGGTTTCATTTCTCAACACGGTTGTCGCTGAAAGTTCATTAGCTTTCCGACGATTCACGGCTTGTCCTCGCACTGCACTTGAGGAATGCACACCAGGTGTAATGTTCGATAAAATGACTACCTTCCTGCAACATTGCACGTAGGTCCAGTAGTTTGCATGGTGAACCAGCTTTTCATGCGCTTCTCACCTACTCTCTTCGACGCACCTATGAGGCACCGGGCGATCTACTTTCATTTCTCCTTTGGAGGTAATTCATTTCAGCCAAACATATGTCCGAAGATCCCTGGCTCACTTGAAGGTTGAAGCTAACAGGTTAGCTTTTCTCCTTGTAGATAAACTCAATTGTGGAGGTTATCTGAAGTATGGACGGACGTACAGTACCCTCCAAAAAGTTGATGAAGGGCTCTTTTTAGTTACTGAAGCGGCTGTGTCTTACCTAACTTGCCCGATAAATTCAGTAATCAGGTATTTTGTTTTGTTCCTACATGTCAGGTGTGGATGTGAGATGACGCAAAATGAGGGCGACCAGCGCCTCCTAACTTAATAGTAACACCCTTACAACCAACATTTTGCACATCTCATGCTTCGTAGTTGGATATCCTGTGTGCAACCCTTTCGTGCTGCTTATCGCTCTAGGAGATGAATATTGATTCCGCGCGGAATTGGCGAGAAAGTTCACATAAACAAGATCAAACATTCTCGCCCTTCAGTGCTACCGTCAAACAACGGCCGGCTCATTTGAACATTCCTCCTTGATTAGGCTCGGTGTTTAGTGCTAAAAACACTGGTCCTCGGCTAGTGCCGCTAAGTATTGTCTACACCATGACTACTATGGCTCGCTCCGAGTTTCGGTATCAGCTGTTCTGTTAAACACAAATTATCTATCTACAATCCCATGCGTGTCACTGACTTTGACAGCCATAATACCTCTCGGAGATATTGAAGCTGCACTGCCCAAAAGCAGACAAAACCGCCCGCGATAAGAAAAATCATTCAATGCGAAGATCATAACCAATCCAGTCATGAATCAGCCATGCAAAGAAACAAAAGCTTGTAAGCAGCTGCACAAATCCATCGTCACTTCAAAGAGGTATCCTTAAGGCCAAACCACGCACAAGACGAAAATAATTAGAAAAACAATGATAAATCAATCCACTTCATGATGTAGCCGAGCCAGAGAAGCAAGCCTTAGGGGTGATACGCAGACTCGCCCAACAGTTCTTTCGTCTTTTGGCTGATAGGTCCAATCTCTTGCATGGCCAACATATCTTCCAAGACTTCGTTGAATGTGTTGCCAATGCCGGCAGCTACTTTGCTGCGATTCCATTCTCCCCGCGTTTGCCATAGATAGTCCATCAGACTCGTATTGATCTGTTCCAGCTGCTCTACGCTGCAGCCGCTTGTCCGTTGAGTGAGTTGATCATGCAGATTCTGAACGTAATCATGATCCAGGATCAATTTTGGTGACAGGTCTTCGTTGTTCAGCAAGGATTGTAAGTTTGCCGGTACGTGAGCGGGGTGCTTGCCAGCATTCTCAAACAGAGGGACCGGAGGCTGAGCCCGTGACTGGAATGGCCCTCCGTTTTCAATATGCACAAGATCAGTATATCCAGCCTGGAGACGTGGTGAAGGCTGGCTACTGTCTCCTTGCTGCGTGTCCGGCAGGTGCTCTTCCTGGGATACACGGTCCGGGTACTGTGTCAGGTCCGGGAATTCATGTCGGATCCCATGAACAGCCACAGGGCTCCGTAGGTGATTTTGCGGAACAGACGATTGCTCGGACGACTTCTTGTCAGACGTCGTTTGTGTGGTAGACGCCTCATTGGTGTAGTCATTGGGCTGAGATCCAGGCGCTAGGGGGGTAACGGGCCCCTTTTGAGAGAAGCTGGAAATACCAGATTCACGTCGGACCTGTTGTGAAGGCGCCGTATGGGAATACGGTGGCTTGGGCTGTGCAGAAGGTCCAAATGAGCTGGTCTGGGTCTCGCGCCCAGTCGATTGATCAGAGGTTGTCATGTAGGTATCCCCATCTCCATCTGCCTGGTAGTCGTGAGAGCCATTGCTTGTGACTGCCTGGGTGCTGAGGTCATTTAAGTCCGAGCCACCACCGTGATGGAAGCCGTTGGTGAAGCTCGCTGTCGATGGTCGCGTAGGCGTTACAGGTCTATCCACCGCTTTGGGGCCAAGATCAGGGAATGATTCACCAAGAACAACGGGACCACTTGATGGGCCGGACTCCGTGTTTCCGTGTGGAACTAAGGGAGCCGCGAGCCGCCCGATAAAGCCTCCTTCCTCTTCCTCTGCCGCTTTACGAGACTTTTCCAGCGCAATCTTTTCTCTCTCCAGTTCCCGGATATAGACGCCCTCGCATTCAGCAACAAGGGCAGGTTCGGCCTGCTCGATAGTAGCAATGTCAACTTCGACATTGGATAACAGCTCATTGGCTCTCAGCAGCCTCTCCTGTTCGCCTAATTGCCGCGCGTCCTTCGCCAATCGTTTGATGTCCGCCAAGAAATCTTTCGGCCGCTTGTAGTACCCATTGGAGAGTCGCTTCTCGATGGTGACGATCTCAAGGTTGTAGAAAAATTTACCCGATACCGTTTCGCGTAGTCCAGGAACGCCATGCTTATCAAAGGCTTTCTCGAAGGGCCTGAAGGTAGTCCGTTGTTCGATCGGTAGATCACTGGTGACGATGCTCGGATTTTCCTCCTCCCAGAGGTACCGGATCTGAGATTCGTCAATCACGCCCGTCCTAAACCTTTTGTATTTCTTTATCTGATCCATGATGGGCTGAATCCGAATCTTCAAAAGGTTAAGGGTCTGGTAGTCTTTCTTCTTCTGGGCCTTGAGCTGCTCTTTGCTCGGCGGAGTGGCAGCCTTCGGCGGCGGTGGTGGCGCGATCTCCAGCGTCTCAAGCTCGCGGCGCTTGCGGGTCTCGGGGTCAGGAAAATGCGCGGGAGACGTCTTAATATATTCGATTACCTTGGTGAAATACTCATGGCGTGCTTCGTTGCCCGGTGCCTTGAGGTCAAAGGTATTCTTTCTGGATATCCCGAACAGGTTTCTTATGACTCCATTCTCCAGTTCCTCGCTAGTCGACTCTTGGAAACCCAATAGCAACACCGGATCCGTAGAAGGGACCGACCGTAGTAGTCCCAAGAAAACAGCAATCACACTTTGCCCAACAGTATCACACCAGGTCTGGATGTTTGGAATGTAAATCACACTCGGCTTGTGTCTCTTGACTTCGGCAAATAGTTGTATGATGGCTGCTTCGGGAGATCGGGTAGAATCGCTTAAAAGGGTTGGAAGGTCAAAGGCTTGGACGTGAAGACCTTCAAAGTGATGCAGAAGGGCGCCCGCCAGATACTGCTGGCCCATGCCCAGCGGACCACGAAGCAGGATTCTGGGCCTGAAGACTCGCGACCGGTCGAATTCCTGCTGCATCTGTTCACGCTGGAAGCCACCTCCCTCGGGCTCCTCAAACTGGGCCTCCTCCAACGCAGTGAGCCGCTTTCGCTGCGGCAGTATTTCGGAAACCAGGCTCTCGATCTCAGACAGCGGCGCACGCAGTAAAGGTTCGATCAATTTGGGCAATGGCGATGCGCCCGAGGAGGTTGAACGCTCCGATGAGGGAACCATTTTCTTGATGGCCAACATGAAGTCTTTCGGTGTGACATCGATCGTTTTCGGGTCAATGACAAGCTTCTCATTTGACTTGTAAATTTGAGGGTACCGTCTCTGCACTGCGTTAAGGGCAGCTTCTGTGCAAAGAGCCCGCAAGTCAGCTCCTCCATAGCCCTTGGTAATCTCTGCGAGCTCGTCCTTGATGTTTGCTGGAAGCGGTGGCTCCCAGCCTTTTGTGTGAATATCCAGAATGGAGCGTCGCCCATCTTTGTTGGGTAGAGGGAAGTAGAATTCGCGATCAAATCGACCGGGGCGGCGAAGCGCAGGGTCTATAGAGTCTGGACGATTCGTGGCTCCAATAACAATCACTTGACCACGACCGTCCATTCCATCCATTAACGCCAACAAAGTGGAAACGATGGAAGCATGGATTTGTTCCTGTTTGCTTGATCTAACAGGTGCCAGGCCTATATGAGTCGGTCAGATGCTGAAGCTACAAAGCTGGCCCCGAACAGAAACAAAATGACTTACCATCAATTTCATCGAAGAAAATAATACTAGGCTGTGTCTTGCGAGCCTCCTCGAAGAGAAGCCGAAGCTGGCGCTCTGCCTCACCCACCCATTTACTCAACGCATCGGCTCCCTTCCTCATGTAAAAGGTGACCTTGCGACCATTTGAGCTGACACTATTCGCAAGGGCTCTCGCCAGCAAGGTTTTACCTGTGCCAGGTGGGCCATGGAAAAGGACACCACGAGGAGGCACAATGTGGAACCGCTGAAAGATCTCCGGGTATAAGAGAGGCAGAGAGACCATCTCCTTCAGTTGATCAATGTGTCCTTGTAAACCACCCACGCTATCGAAGTTAACGTTCATATCCACCCCCAATGGATCTGCATCGGCTAAGGTCTGTTTATCTTTGACCTTTCCGAGGTTTGCAGGGGTGCCCGACAAACCCTGCGCAGCGTCGTTGCCATGGGTTTGACCAACAAGAGTAGCTCCGGGGAGTCCGGGTGCTGAAATCGAGCCAGTGATCCCAGCCTTAGGATGCTGCATAACTTCATCGTCACTGCTATCGCTGTCGACGCCCCCTGTCGCAGCAGGTGCACCTGGAGGTCCCAGAATCGCAGATGGCCCGCCACCTCCGAAAGGCCCGTAAGTAGGAAATAAGGTACGCTGCCAGCTGCTGCCACCTCCTCCTCGACCACGACGCGAAGGCGATTCGTGGATCTCGTTCTCGGCCTCCTCGATGGGCAGGATAAGGTCCGGGCGAATAATACGATAGTCAACATCTTTCCGACTGCGTCGGGGTTTCTCGTAAACGATCTCAGGTTGTGCTCGGCGGCGAGAACGACTGCCTCGTAGATCTTCCAATTCTTCGGCTAGCTCCTCGGCAATGTCAGCTCCTACCTCGGACTGACCCCGTGATCGAGACGCCCTCTTGCGCAAGCCAGGACGACGCCCAGTGGTGCTGTAGTCATCGTCTTCATCGCGGGCTTGACTGGCTTTGCGCGGGGAAGCGTTCGACTTGCCGGACTGCGAGATTTCATCGTCGTCATTTGAGTCTTCTTCAGGCTCGAAGTCACTCTCCTCTTCTCGACGCTTGCGTTGGAAGTTATTCGGCTTTTTGCGACTAGATCGCCGTGGCTCCTCCTCTTGGTCATCCTGGGGCTGTTTGGCTTCGTCTTCCGCCAACTGACCTCTATGTGGTCTCAGTCTCCTTCTGGTGATTGGGCCCTCGTCGTCATCGTCTTCTCCATCATCGTCGGCCCCCGCCTTCGGATCGCCATTCTCCGATTCAGGAACGAACCCTTCATCCTCAACTTCGGCGTCATCGTCACCTTGTGTGGGGTTGGGTATGGCCCCCTCAAAGCTGACCTGAACATCGCTCTCCATAATCTCAATCTGCGAGCCTTTTATCTCGGTAGTCGTCTCCTCGATTATTTCCTCGTCCTCCTGCTTCGGTTGAAACCCGATCTCTTCTCCTCCCTCCTCCTCTTCTTCTCCTTCTTCCTCCTCCTCCTCCTCCAGCAGCACGGGGACGTGTTTTGATGCTCGAGATCCTCGTCGAAGCCGACTTTCCATTTCCGGGCTCTGTGTTCCTCGCTCGACGGTTTCCATGTGACGACCCGAGTTTGTTAAAGCATATATATCCTCCGACGGGTCTCGCGTGCGTCTTGTCGTCCGTCGGGTCCCCTGAAAGTTATCCGGTGGCGCCTGCGCTTGTCGTTTGAACGCGTTGCTGGGGACCTTCAATTTCAGGACAGTACTTTTGCGCTTCTTGGGGGAAGACTGAGCCCTGGCTTTTTCGTCGTCGTCTCCGGTATCATCCTCAAGACTGCTGGTATCGCCTTCATTGTAAACCGGTCGGTTCGTGGCAGCGCGTCGAGCGACTAGGCCTCTGGCATTTCGTTGGGCGTTTTCGTCATCCTCGTCCTCCTCCGATTCTTGAAAGGACAGCTCGTCTTCGCTGAAGATGTCGTCGTCATCCGAGATGATGTCGTCGGCCGAACCACGACGGACTCGCTTCTTTGCGGGCTTCGCTTTCTTCTTCGACTTGGACCGAGACACGGAGCGTCGGGCCGATCGCACAGGGTGATCACTGTAATCGTCATCATCCGAATCCGATTTGTTCGCCATCTCCTCGATGGAGCGTTTGGCACGAGGCATGATGATATGTGTGATGGTGTGCCTTGTGAGGGTTGGTGGTTAGCGCGCCCGACAGCCTAGGGGAACAATGCGAAGATGCAGTGGACTGATCAGGTTGAATCACACTCACTCAACACAAGACAACCGGTTTGGGCTAGTCAATGAAACCAGTGGAATCAATAGGCTGTGCAGTGAGTGACAGGCCCAGGCAAATACCTCGCATTCAATAAGAAGTCAAAGCCTGGGTTCTCATGAACAGCAACAATAAACAATTGTCTTTGCGATCACCAAGCATCAATGTCAACATTAACTAGGAGCAGCCTCGTGGGTTGGAGGAGAGACCGGGGAGACCCGTATTGCGCCCGAGAGAACCGAGGCAGACCGTGAATATAGCGCGCGGTACAAAAGCGGCGGCAGAGCGCGAAGTGCGACGGACCCGTAGAGAGCAAATAGTCGAAACGAGGGAGTGAGATTCAAGCGAAGCACCGGGGGAGATCGAAACGCGTCGCATGCAGTTGTTAAGTGGAGCTGAGAAAGGTCGAGAGAGAATCCAGGACCGAAAAGAAAACAGAATCAAAAGAATGGAAGAACTGAGAGGAAAAGAATCCCTCCTCAAGCAGGGCCTCTCTGAGTAGGAAAAGTAAAGTCACTCCGCACCAGGGACAATACCAGTCGATAGCATGACGAGGGAGGAGGAAAGGAAAATCAACGAGAATGACCGGTAGACTGACCGGGGGGGAGGAGTCATGGGTATATGGGGGTGTGGGCGGATAGACAAGAGAGACAGACGGGTGAAGATCGAAAGGACGCGGCGGCAGCAGTCCGCCCAGCCACAGCTTCACGTATCCGCGCCACAGTCAGCGCCATGACTAGCACCCGTTTAGGCTTAGTGCATACCAATCCGCACGGGCACGTGTCACTTTCCTGGTCTGCAATCACGGTTTGACGGGCCAAAAAGCGGTCTTGCAAACCCACCCCTCAAAAATCAACAAGAAGCCCGTCTTCTGGCTTCTTCGGACAGCCATTTTCCTCCCCTGCTAACCCACCTAATCCAGCCCGAAAAGGCTTGCACAGTAACGTAATTCTCGTAATTCGACTAGTCCATATGGATTCAGCGGGTTTTCACCGAGGTTTTGTCGAATTTCGAAGACCCTCGATCGGCCCCCTTCGGATATGTAGAGAGAAGAGATTGAGAAAGAGAAGAGCTCACAGATCAGGAACGAGCTCTTGCTTCTCCCCTCCAGACCCGCAAAGCTTATCGCTTTTTGACTCTTCCCCGCCTGTTCACCCTCGCCTAATTGCCGCCGGGTCCCCCTCCTGATTCGGCCCAGTTGCCGCCCTCGCTTGATATCATGTGACCTGCTGAGTCAAGCAGCCTGAATCGCGGGACTAGTCCTGATCGGGACGTTCTTTCTCGCGCCCGGCCCGCCGCCGCGCCGTCCCAAGTCCGGTCTGTCCTCGAGCTCTGTCCAAGCTGGAATTCCTTTTCCATACATCTAGATTCCATCGTTTTCGTCTCGTTCAAATTGATCTGTTCCCATTGACTCAATTCTCGTTGACTTAAAAATGACTACCACTCGTTTGTCTCTGCGGTTGCTCCGCAGCCCGTTCCGAACTACCGCAATCCCCTCCGTCACCCAGAGAACCTTTACCACTACCCGCACCAGGTTGAGTGCACCAGAGACATCTAGCGCCTACAAAGACGGGGTGAGCAATCTTATACGCTACCCATCTTCTTCGTTGCGTACAACTAACTGATGATGTCGTAGTTCGCCCGATACAAGCTCTTCGTCAGCCCCTTTGCCAAAGTCTTCCTTGGCGCCATCTTCACCTACCAAGTTCTCCACTGGACGTGGTTGAAGCTCGAGATGGATGACTCGAAGTATGAAAAGAATAGTAGGTCCACATCCTAGCCTCTTCATTTCACTTTAGTGCTGTATGATTATATCCATGTAGTTGGACCTCACCTTCTGACTGACAATAGAGGAGGTCGCTGCTCTTGAGCAGAAAGCCAGGGAACTAACCGGCACGCAGAAGAAGGTGTAATTGCTTGCGTGCTCGAATAGTTAGTTTCTGACTGCCTCTTTGGGTTGGTCAATGATGTCGTGTTTCTGTATTCTATCTACTCACCATTATTTGCACCTGCTACTAGTTTATATATACCCAGTCATACATCAATCCCGCTGTCTACATAAAACAGTTTAAAATGATAGGCTAATTGTGCTTATGTGTGTTTGTTCCTCCGCTTGGATAGGCTTACTCTAGCCAAAGTAATGCATATTCGGAAGATATTTTGCTACACAAAGAGGTATAATGCTTGCTAGAAAGTTCACTGCCACATAAACATCACATCACGGCACATTGCACATAAAATGCCTGGTATCACGATAGATATAACTCCTCCGCCAAAAGCGGTCTATAGTCGGTGGGTGCAGGGGATTTCTCGACCTGCTCACATGCTTATCGCAGAAAGCCTTGAAGCCCAATTCCAATTATGAAGAATCTCATCTCGTCAATAATCATTGAACGAAACGACTATCCAATCGTGGATCAATGCCATTCCCTTTGTGAAGGCGCATGCTGTGGCCGAGTCTGTCGATCGATGCCATAGCCTCCCTGATATTTATTGATATATACTGCCTCGAGACTGGCAGTCTTGGATTTTAGGACCTAAGCCGAGCCAGAGTTGAGAGCCGGATGAAGGACCGAGTATTTTCTTTTCTTGATGGCTCTGGACCGGTTCGAAAGTTGTGGTTGTGACAAAGTGGACTGAACGGTCTCCCTGGACTGTTTCGTGGGTCGTTTCCGGACGGGCTCAGCATCATCCAGCATCATATGATCATCATGTAACCATAGATTTTCGCTCTCCGGATGAACATCGCTATGGGCGCATTCTTCATCGCTGTGCTCATCCACGGCAGGCTCGACTTCGCGCCCAGCGTCGATGGAAATGGTTTCATTTCCTTCTCTTTGCTCTGACCTGCTTTTGGGCTGATCGGACGGAAAGACCCAATCTTCAATGCGCTCACCCTTCTTGTAATGCTCCGTATCGATATGGTTAAAGCGTTCGGTCCATGCCACAAGTCCCTGGCTCAGTGGAACGTCATCCCGGCAGAAACCGCACCAAAATGATGCTCGTCCGTCCTGACAAACATGATTGTCGGAAAGAGCTGCTCGGATTTCATCTTCTTCGTCGATTTCATGTTGTTTTTTGAGATGCTGGATGTAAGTCTCTTGGCGGTAGAATAAGCGGGCGCATGGGAGACCCTCTTGCGTAGCATCCGGTAGTGTACAGCCCCAGCTTTCCGAGTGTAAGTGCTGTGAGTTTTCATGCCTCTTCCAGTCCGCTTTGCTCCCAAACGTCTTATTACATTGAGGGAATGTGCAACTGTATGGGCGTTCGTGGCGCTTCTGATGCTTCCTGATGTCGCAAAGTTAGCTGTCGATGCATGCCAGCTTTGACAGAGCTCTAAACATACTTCATCTCGCATCGTAAGCGTGTCTTCTTAGTGCAGAACTCACATTGAATCCACTTCTTCTGGTTAGGGTGTGCGGAGGAGACCTCCTTTGGAAGTTGAGGCCGAGGCAGAGATGACTCCGAGCCTTTATCTAGCAAGACCAAAGCTGCCTTCAAGATCTTTTGCAATATCTCACGCCTTGGCTCGGTTAGGCCGACATCATAATCAGAAGTATCTTCTGTGTCGTCCGATCGATGACTTTGTCGCCGTTGTGAGATATTCATTGATTTAGTCATGGCATTGATCAAGTTCATGGCAGCATCGGCTACCATCTCATCCATCTTCTCACTTCGGGGACTTTCTAGCGGAGCCGCGGAAGTCACTTTGGGGTCTAATGACCCGTTCGCGTTGAAATTGTTCACTGCTGGGCCCTCGACGGATCTTGGAGTTGGCTGTGCAGATTCAGGAATTGTATAGTTGAGACTTGAGCACCGTTGTTCGTCTCTTGCTGAGCCAGGTGCCATCCCGTCCACTTCCATCCGAGCCCGTGCGTACGCGCAAGAGGGTGCCATCGGAAAATCTTCTGCTCTGCTATCTGCCTCGTCTGTAATCTCTTGCATCTGTGGGCTACTGGTTTCCGACAGACGATTCACAGAAGGTAATGCTATCATTTGCGGCTTGACACAGTCTTCGTACCACTCATGGGATCTAAGCAGTAGGTTAGCAGGCATAAATAATCACCACGTTGAGTAAATTGGGGCAAGACTGACTGTTTCAGCAAGTCTTCAGCATCCTCGTCGCTGTGCATCCGAGCAAGGTGCTGACGAAAGTTATCCAGGCGAGGCCATTTCTTGTTCTTGCGAGGGCACTTGATTCCAAAACACATGTACAGCACTTTAGGTCCGCGCTCTGGTTCTTGTTTATGAACGCATTTTTTATGGCGCGCCAGGTCATTAATGGTCCCAAAGCCATCCTTTCGAGTGCAATTTGGCTCATCACATTTGAACAACTTCCTGTGTCTGGCATCGTGCTTACTGAATACTGTTAGCTGACCGGATCCTGGCCCCTGCAGAACATATAGAATCATACCGCTTATCAGACGGACATTTCCCGGTCCACTGACAATCCGAAAAGTCGCACTTGATCGCATCAGGACCCATGAGAGATGGAGATTGCATCCGCTCCAACATATCAATGGGATCGCCATAAGAGGTAGCATTGAGATCCAACATCGATAGCCTCTCATCCTGTTCTGATTCAAATGGCGCAGAGTAGGGACTGCAGGCTGAGTCGATTGCATAAGATGCGGCTACCGAGCGGGTGGTGCAGCTTTGTGTGCTATACCCCGACTCGGACGGATGGAGACTGGCATATTGACTATCGGTCTCAGATGGCGTGCTGTAAGGACCTGTGGAGAATCTGCGGTCGAGTCCATACCCTTGGTGGCTGGGCCCCCGAGGTGGACACATGAGAGGCCCATTAATGGTCGGTACACCAGTCACCTTCAACGGTGTCCAAACATCTTGATCTGTCGAGAACCGGGGCACTGAATAGTTTGATAGGTCGAGAGTCGGAGCTTGGGGTGACGATGCCGAATCGTAATTTGAAAAAAGTGGGCCGAGTATTGATGCCGCATTGTGTGGGGGGACTGCAAATCCAGAACCAAATTGGAATCCCATAAGTGGCGCCGAACTGTCGAGACATATCTCTGGTGGTGGCAGCCCCGCAGATGCGTCAACCCTATGCGACGATGCTGGCATCGCTCGTGTGCCATTAATGCCCCGAAGGATATCATTGGAATCTTCCCAGAGGTCATTGTGCCTTGCATTTTGTCTTGAGGCCTATGTCACAGTTCATTAGTTTGCATTGCTCTTCTCTGTTCCATGATACAGCAAAGTCAGAGGAGACGTACCCTCATTTTTGTTGCCTTCGGGAGCCAAGGGTTACAAGCGAATATGTGGTTCTTCTCGTTTCTGAGATATGAAGCAGACCGCACAGAAGAGAGCACGCTAGCAATGTAGGCGTTGATGGTAGGCGGGTTATATGGAGAAGAGGGAACAGGCTTCTCTTCGCAATAATGCCGATCGGCTTCTTTCTAGGGACGAGTAGGGGCCGTGCAATGGCAATTTCTGGCTTTCCCCTTTTGTTTGTTACTAGCAGTGCTTGAGCGTAAGCTTTTCGTGCTAGTTGCCGGTGCTTGAAATGAAGAGCGATCGGAGCAAGTGGGTGACGACTTTGGAGCATTCGCAGGAGGCTGTTCGTTGTGTTCAGGTTAAGCGGCTTGGGGAGAGACTTGCTTGGGAAGGGTAAGACTTGCGCCAGGGGAAGGATTTGCAAAAGTCCAAAAGTAATTATGCGTGTGTGGAAGGAGTCCAAAGAGGAACTAATAAGACTGAGGGGTACGCAGGATAAATGGAAAAAGCAAAAGCCGGGGAGGATGGATTTGAACTCATACAATAGACTTGGCTAGAATCACCATCCGGGATAGTGAAACAACAACCGAAGGTGGACCTTGATGGGAAAGGAAGGGATGAAGATGAAAAAGATAGGTGACAGGAAATAGTAGGAGCAAAAAGAAAAAGGAAAGGAAAGCAAAAAGCGATGAGGGCGATCGACTGATTTTCAGTCCAGCAATGAAGACAGCCTCCCTCTCTTCGCCAACCCCACGCGCGATAACGTGTTCAGAGCCTTGAAGGCATGTCTTCTAGGCAGTCAGTCAGTAAGCTGCAGGTCGAGCATTCGGATCTTCCAAGCCCGTCAGGCCAGTGGCGCGCGTTGCTGGTCCAGATCGTCGCCTTCTCCCAGCACCATCACTATTCATTAAGGGACTCTCTCCGTCGGCCGCCATAAGACCTGTCAGAGACCATCTTCCCGATCGAGTACATCCCCCCGACAGGAGGCCATGATAGATGTATGATTGGGGCGAGAGAGAGAGAGAGCAGATGAAGAATGTCGTTCTCTCCTCGCAGGCCCAATAATTATCCTATAGTCTCTCTATTGGCGTGGTTTTCTGATATGGTTGCGTACGATAGGGGTCAGATCTTTCCGCTGTGCTTCCCTTTTCTCTCTCTCGTGTTGCTCTTCCTTTCATTTCTTTTTTGCTTTTCGTGACAAAAGTACCAAAGCATGTGGGCTATGTTCTCATGATTAACCAATAAGTTACTCAACTGATATTAGTTAGTCATTATGAACAGTTCCATCACAATGCCAATTTTCGGCACCGTGAATGATCTCCAGACTAAGTTCGTACTAGACTAGCTCAACTCCTGCAGGATGATCGCCCAATGAATCTCAGCATGAGAACGACCGGTTTGCCCCGTCTCAAACTGATGCGACGGTGGAAGGTTTGGATTGAGGGCAGCACCTCGCCAACACTCTCCTGGGCAGTAATCGATCGGTATACTCCGAAGGGGGGGGGGGGCTGAGACTGCAGCGAGGGAAGGGAAGCAATCCGAGAACCAAACCAGCCGGATAGTTCGGTAACCATGCCTCCGCTTCACCAGCTTGAAAGAAGCAGGACAGGAATAGAGGCCGAAGTGCAGTATGTAAGGGATCATCACGCGGATGGACGCGGGGATGGGGATGGGCGGCCCATGCCGACAGATGTACCGCTATCGAACACGAATGAGTGAGTTACTGACTGAATACGAATCACCAGAGCCGGGAGAGGTATGCTGGGTGATAAATTAGCCCTCATTCGGACTAGAGGTGGCTGTGCCTGTAAGGAGAGGGTGGTTCGTCTCTCACCCACGCATCGGGCTCCTCTCTGACAGGCGCATCCTCCAGGTTCCTTTCACGCGACAGCCTAAGAGAAACCGAATACGACTAGCAATCTGAACGGCTGAAGGCTCCGATCGAGAGGACGTTCTATGATCTTGTTTTCCCCATCTGGAGGATCACCCACCACTCGGCCCGGCCCTATCTATCCCTAAAGATGAACTGCTGCGTTGACTGTTCAGCTACTGGTGATCTGCACCTGGTAAGCTGACTCCGCTTCTGGAAAGCTTTAATATCTTAGTTTATCTTGTTGTTCAGCGTAGCTGCTGCCGCTGCTTCCAATATCATTATTCTTCTTTTTTCATAGGGTCTACAATCTGGTCAACATTCAATTCGACAAGTAGGCACGAAACCCACGTTACCTCAAATTGCCCGCCCTGAAACTCGCCTATCGCCGCTCTCGTATGGCACATTCCGTAGTCATGAGTCAACAACGACTTGAACGACAGCATCGCATGTCTCTGTTTCGGTCGGCGTTGATGGCCTAAATTGTCAATCCTAGGCGAGCTCGGCTGCTGTGCAGCCATTGCATTCTTTTCCGGCCAGTCAGAAACAATACTCGGCCAAACCTGGGACTAAGCGAGCTGAAACTGGCCAGCAAGGTAAGAAGAGGATGCTGCAAGTCCGGACCTTGTGCCCCCGGACTGCCCTCGCCCGACGGCACATCTGCCAAGCTTGGTGAAGCAGATCAGTGATTCAAGTTTACTTCCTCTTTATTTTTATTTTTATTCTTATTGTTTTTTTATTTTTTATTTTTTGTTTTTTTTCCCCTACTTTCTTCCCCCTGGCCCAGCCCGGCGTTGACAGGTCGGTGGGACAGCAGCCTACGCAAGTTTGCTCACCCGCCCTTGAGCAAACTACCTCCCTTTTCCCCCTCCTCCCTTCTTTGAGCCGAAAGCCCGCTGCAGTGTGCCGTGAAGTCGACTTGCGACGTGCATCTTTCCTCGACCCAATCACAGCCGTGTGACCAATTGACAATTTAAGGCCATACCTGCAGTTTGCATATCCAGAAGCTAAGCGACGATCAAGTGCTACATAAGCAAGAACTCCGTGGTCCTACCCATAAATGGCGCGTCACATAGCCATTGTTGACATTTAACGTTTATGGTTGCTGTCGGGTTGAACCGCAACTCAAGGAAGGGGTTGTCTCAGAACCCTGTTGAGCATAGCTTATACGGAAGATAGGCTTTTTGTGTCATGGCATGCCTACAATATTTTGTACAAGGTATTTCGACCAACATCAATATGGCAGAAACATCTCAAAACAGTGAGAATAGCGACTCAAAGGTGGGTATCCCAATGCCTCCCACCGATCAAACAACACCAGAAATAGAAATCAAAATGTTTATGGAGGGCGACTTCTGCAGCAGTGCTGCGAATCTTAAACGTTGGCTCACAAGCTCTCTTCCCGAGTGTAGGTACGATCTAATGTGAACTCGAGGGATGAGACTGGCAGTAGCTGTCTCCTTCCCATTCTCCGAGCTTCAGGCAGTTTTCATAGCTGCTCGCCGTAACCTCCACGGGCAAAAGGATAAGTCTGGGTCATGGATCCTAAAAGGCCATGCCGGTTTTCCGCAGACGGCGAGGAGTACACTGAGCTCTGCGCAGCAAAGGTTGGCTGCGATTCCGTGGGTGACATGGTCCACCTGTACGAATCTTGCAACACACTCGATTCAGGGTTGACGACCCTTACCCGAGGGCCAGTGTTGAAAGGGGGTGGGTACGTAACCGAATTCTGGTGGGTGGCCATGAAGCGCGACTGATCTGCAGTTCCCTCCGGCAAGCTTGAGAAGTGACCAGCAGGCGGCATTTCATGGTACGCGTCAATTGACTCAGGCTCTGCAAAGATCCATCCGCTTGGCATGGTCATCGGACTAGGGGAACATATAGGGTTGGAAGCCATCAGAGACTCCCCAGAATTCTGCCGATCAGCATTATTGCTGGCATATGGTGCCTGCGTGGCGTTCATCGTCTCGTCTGAGCAAGTAATGTCCATGCCGTTTGACTGTGAGGGAAAGGGGGTTGATTCGTGCGAGATCGACAACGGCTCCGGCCCGTAAGTATTTGGCTTACCGTTCGCACTGACACTGCCATTGGGCGACAAATCCCTCTCATTTACAAGCCCTAAGACAGGCATAGCGATTTGTTCCATGTGTTTAGCCAAGTGCACGGTGAGCTTTTTCCAGCTGCTACAAACATTTCCACAAAACCGGCATGGCTCATCCTTCGGACCTCTTGGGGTGTCATGTCGGCACCCTTCCACAAGCTCCCAAAGCTGCTCAATCTCATGCTCGAAGTTGCTGTCCTCTCGTGCGTCCTTCGCAAGAGTTACTGAGTCATTTCGCTTTCTACCGGAGCCTGGGTTCCTCGCTTTTTTTATCTTCGGCTCTGGCATCTTATGCTCCCGAACGAGGTGCTGCACGAAATTGTCTTTCCGATAGCAAGTATGGTGGCAATCCGGAACGGTACACGTCCACCACTCCAGCTTCCGGTGTCGCTCGCTTTCGTGTCGAACCCAATCTGCCTTGCGCTTGAACGATTTGGGCTCAGTGCAGTGAGGAAAGGTACAAGTAAATGGCTGGACATCTTCGTGGACATGCTTGGTCCAGTCAGATGGCTTTTGGAATTTCTTCACTTGGAAGCAAATTGGACACTCAAATTCGGCGGGCAACCGTTTCACGGGCGGCAAGGGCACACCCGAAGGAAACTGTGCCGCAGTCACTGTGCTTTCCCCTGGCTTTTGAGCATCGTCATCAGCCTCATTACGGGCCGAAATGTTAAACTGCGTGTATGATGCGTCCGGATCGTTGGCGGTCACACGGGGTGCAAAAAGCTTAGCCTCGCCGCCTTGTGCAAAGCAGAAACTTCCCGATGCGCATTTCTGTGCCCCTAGATCCCGAAGATGGTTCTGTTTGCTGTCGACTAATTTGCGATACCGACGAAGCTGTTCCTGAGCGAAGCGCTCCACTAATGCCGGAGGTAGCCGGGGATTGAGTTCGGTGATCTGGGACTTGAAACCGTCAAGCGTTGGTACTGGTAGGCGGGACTGCACCGGAAACTGCATCACCAAGCCCTTCTCGCCAGGCAAGTCATCATTTTCATCGTCAGCGTCGTCAGTGGCCTGGCCCACTTTAGGCGCCCCTTGCAGATGGACACCGCGGTCGATCACTCGCGGGGAGTATCCGATGTTAGGAACAGGAGGTCCACCATGACTCGTCATCAAGTCAATCAAGCCGGGTGACGACGCTCTTGGCAGCTCGCTTCTACTTCGTCCACGTCCCTTGAATGTTGGCCATGGGCTAAGCGTCGAATTTGGTGAGGCAACTCGCAATGAATCCTTCCCTCCGATGGCAGCCATCTGACCGGCGATTGCAATAACGGCACCACCAGTGCTCAGGCTGGGAGACCGAGAACGACCAAGGCTTAATTTTCGATGGGGAAAACTGTCCTTCCTCATTGGAGGGCTGGTCAACTCATCTCCCTTGCCGGCACTATCGGCGCTTGGAGACATGATTGATAAATCCGAGAGCCGCCTCTTGAGGTGGTGAGAAGGGTTGCGGGGTAGATACTTGCGAAGGCTGCTTCTTCTTTCATGCTTCCTATTCTTACCATTGCTGATAGACAGACTCTCGAAGGAGCCGCCGGGGCCAATGACACTGTAGACGTCAGCATCTAACAGGTGTCGTGTGCCCCAGGTAGCCGCACGAGATGCACTGTCGAGGTCTTTTGCCCGTCGTTGGTACTCCACCATCGCTGCGCTAGAGCTCTGAGGCTGCACACGGGTCGAGCGAGGAGCTGAGTCACAATCGGTGTCCTGCCATGGCGGCGCTTTTAAGAACTGATGGGGTGATGGATCTTCGTCCTCGAGCCTGTCCTGCTCGGTGCTGGGTAGGGTCTCTAAACCTTCCTTTGCCCGCTCTGCTTCATTTGCATTGATTGCAGGCGAATCGGACGTGCTTTCATCACCGGACCGATAATCACTAAGCTCTCCATCACTGCTCTCGTGGAGGAGAAGACCAGGACCCGGAACAACCGGCTCCAGAAACTGGGATTTCAGGCTGAAGTGATCTTGCTGAAGAGAAGGGTCGCCGGCACTTTTTGCCCTGCGTCGGACGCCAACATGGCGCTTCCGACCCCTGTCGAGGGGAGTCTCATCTTCTGCGTCACTGTTTGCAGCGCTGACTGAGGCCGACCATGACTGGATATCAGCATTCTTCTCTTCCAATCGTCTCCAAGCTTCCAACTCATTTGGGCTGGATATGTAGATATCAGCTCGGGATGGCGGTTCAACACCAGCCTGGCCTGTGCCCGCATTCGGCAGCCACGATCCATTGTGCGTCCGGGTTATCGGTGAGTAACCTGGGCTGAGACCAATAATCCTTTCCCTTGAGTCTTCAGGCTCCGAGTCGGTGGCCGGGCCATCGGGTGTGAGATGTGTGGACGACAGGCTTCGCCGCCGCCCAATGGGAGAAGCATCTCTGGCCGGCGAGTCTCCCCTGGAGTAACTTTCAATCTTGACAATGGGACTTCGTGCTCGGGCTGAATCAGGGCCTATCTGCACGCTCAAGCTCTCACTTGGTGCGTTCGTGTTCAATGAGAGAGGCTGGGGAGTGCGCGATGTGGCACCCAGCCTGGTCTCATTTTGGACACTACTCGATTCTAAGAAAATGTCCGAGTTGCTGGTCGTCACCATCTGTGATGGCTCTGCAGTGCTTTGGGAGGAGGTTGCACCATTCCCCACCGGTTCGGGGCCCGGCACACTCGGCGCCAAGGCGTGATCATGCTGCCAGACACCCAGCCCGAGTTTGCCGTCCACGGCCAGTCGCGCAGGTATAAGATCTGCACTCGGGGATGCATGCGCACTCAAATCGCTGGAAAAATCGTCCGTAGGGCTAAGAAAGTCCGAGTATGATGCCTCCGGGCCCTCGTTGAGAACTTCAAGGTCTTCATTCTTGTGAATCTGTACAAATAAAGGTGATGCGGGAAGTGTGGCGCCATGGTCATCTTCGTTGGCTGGCGTTAACCTTATAGCAGACGATTTAAAAGAGGCCTCATCGGGGTCCACAGGAGCTGAAAGATAGGGGTCAGAAAAATTGGCATCGTGAAAACTCATGCCAGTGGGCGAGTCATCCTGGACGAGCTGAGGTGACAGGGCGGACATTTTGGCAGCCACACCCGTTACGGGCAGAGTGGTGCGAAGTCAAAAAGCTTGGCTTATTGAGACGGTGCTGATCTTAACTCTGAGCCTTCTTGAGATGTTCAGAATGCTGAGGTGAGTGAATGGGGGAAAAAAAAAAGAAAAAGTGTGGCTTCTGCTGCCTCATATAATATTGGCTCAGGGGAACCGTACTAGACGCAAAAAGCTGAGTAGTATCGTCCGCGATAGCATGTCTATAGAATCATGGCCGGATCGGTGAGAAAGCAATGGTGGAGGTGAGAAACTAGGAGGTTGAGGATAGTCGCCGTACGGAAAATGACAAGAAAGAGAGCGGAAAAGAACCGAATCGAGAGAACGAAAATCAGCTTATGCGAGTGCTATGCGTGCATCGAAGAATGGCGGGCGAGTCAGCCGTAGGAAGTAGAAAGGCGCCAGGAACACGGCCAGGATTCAGGATTCGATGGCCCGCAGACAACAAACAAAGGTGTAATTAGGGGATTGTGGGGTTACTGAAGAAGAGGAGTGATAAAAGAACGGGTGGAGGGGTAAGAAGAGTAAGAAATAATCAAGCAAGTTGCGCACAAGAGCCCTGCGTGTAGACTAAGTATGAAGCTCCAGGGATAAGGTAATAATGGAAGTACGTAAAGAGAGGGAGGGAGGGGGGATGAATGAGGATAAGAATACCTAAACTAAGGTCTGGCGCTAATCGTGCCCCAGTGACAAGCGGCTCTTTGCGACACGGGCGGACGAACCACCAAGAAAGGAAAGGAGAAGAGGATCATAGATGGAGTGACCGAATAGAGAGTGAGAAAGATCAATTAGTCTGAAGAAGACGGGGAAAAGGGGACTTTTAAAGGGAAAAAGAGAGTTGATGTCACTCAGTAAGAGAAGAAGTAGAAGGGAAAAGTGCCTTGCACTCACTCACTTGCCCACTGACTGAGCCACAGTGAAACTCAACTTAAGGTGGAACAGGTAAGAAAAGGGGAATGGATGGATGGATGGATGATGATGATGATGATGGATGATGGGGATGATTGTAAGCCGCAAAAATGATAAATAACTAGCCAAGACCAAGTAGTCACCACCATGTTGTTTCCAAGTAAGATTGCGCAGTGCGGCGAGTGGTTGTTGGATTGCAATTGAAGTTGTTTGGGGATCCTTAACAAGAACCATGGTTGGAAGGGGGAAATTCTCAGGGCTGTTCTTGCGGCCCCACTTGAAGAGGGTCTGTTCATTTCGTTGATTCTTCACTCTGTCACTTCTTCTGTTCTGCTGTCTTTCAAGGCTTCTTCTTTCTGTCTCTCTTTCAGCAAGCAGTCCGGACTGTTCCATAGAGAGAATCCTCATCGCGGTGGTTCCGGATCTACTCAGCCTCGTTCCAAAGCCCCCCCCCTCCCCTTCATTTCTCAGCCCTGTCAATCTCTTCCTCCCCGGGTGCTGCGCCCCAACCCACATGGTACTTGAATCCATGATCACTGTAAATCTTTCCTAACTCGCGTCAATTTTTTTCCTTTTTCACCGGGCGCCAGCCTTTTCATGATCAACGTACTGAACAATTCCCCCATACTCGTCCACAAAGACTATCTTCCGCCTGATAATTAAGCCATTTGGCTAGTCAACTACTCAATCTTACTAGTACTGTACCTACACGAGCGTGCTCGGACTCCTGAGCGATCCCAACTGACATCATGTCTGTGGCTGTGCTTATATCTACTCTCGGCATTATGGGGGCGGATGGGTCGAGAATTAAAGTAAACGTCTCATCATCTGATCCACACTCACCCGTCTCTCTCTTTTACCTTCCCATCTCCGACACGAGAAGCACAAAAAGAAAACGTAAGACAGTGATTCATTCCTGGTCGTCTCATATGCACATGGTCAACATTAGTCTAACAATACACATAACACAGGTAGATGCATGGGAGCCAGCCTCTGGAAGACCCATAAGGGCAAGGATAGTACATATTGTATCATGTCGACGGACAATCGCTCAGCTCGCTCAACTAGCACGGAAAACAAACATAAACCCCAAGAAACCAGCAATGGCAGCGTTCAAGCAGAGAGAGTGAAAAGAGATGATTGACAGAACATGCTCCTCGGAACATGGGAAGGATAGAGAGAATACAGTCAAGAGAAATAAGGTAAAAGGTAATGCAAGTCTCCCCAAGCGCAGCGGAGAGCTATTTGGAAAATATGTCGAGCAGGCATATGGTGGACAAAGGAAACCCAGATCCTTCCAAACGAGTGTGGGGAATGCTAAAGACTTTCATAGCCTCATGCACCGTGCCTAGAATAAACAAGAACTGAACCCTCAAAACAGTAGAAAATAAGATGGCAAAGAAGAGAGCAAGGCGCCAATAATCAAACAATTATATTAGTTGTACTTCCCCTTTAGTGGCGCATTGTAGTCCGCGTGCTCACGCCGCGATGATTCCGAGTGCACCATTCATGTCTTCCCTGCCTCACTTGCACCTCTAGGGGGAAGATACATTCCCTTCACGATGTAGGGATTCCCGCGAACCACGGCGCGAAGATTCATCCCCACTAGCCAAGGCGTCGGTGGACTTCTTTGCTAACTCTTGTAGTCGAGCCATCACCACAGGAGAATCAGAGTACAGGACGCACCCCTGAGAGTAGGTGCAAGGATGAGACTTCTCCTCTTCTCCGATAAAGTCTTCATGAGCAGCTTCGCGAGTGATACGGGGGAATGTTCGGAGTATGACATGACGGGTCGGGTCCTCCTTGGAGCTCAGAGTGCCTTCCTTGGGAGTTCCATATTCCTCCCAATCATCGTTGGGAACGATATCAGCGTCGGGTGCTGGTAGCGAGGCCAAGATGAGCTCTCGCTCAACCCGCGCCAGTCGCCAGGTTTCGGCTGCCAATTTTACGATTTTCCTCACGCCAACTAAGAGCGCATCTAGGTTCCGGGGATCTGCAAAGTGTTTAAGCTGATCGATGATCTCATCAACGATGACTGCTGCGACCACATTGATCGACTGCTTGGCATCGGATGTAGTGTAGGCTGCCTTAAGCGTTTGCTGTCTCCAGAACGCTTCGCGTCGCACAGACTTACGCCGGATGTCCATGGAAAGCATCTGGAAGAAAGTGTCCGCCTTATCGTATCGTCTGCCGAGGGTAAAGAGGAAAGGGTGGAAGATTCGATAAGTGAGTGTCTTGGAAACGACATGTTGAACATAGGCGGAGCGTAATTCACGCGAGGCCGGGGTGTTATCAAGGAACGATGGCAGCTCTGGTGGAAGCTTGGATAGGATGTCCTTGGGAGGATCGATTGGAAGGTACGAGAAGTGCTCCTTAGACAGGGAGACGATAAGACGAGAGAGCTGGCCGAAGCAGTCCAAACTAGATTTCGGAATTTTTATCAGAGCACGTACATTTATAGCGTTATCAACATGACATCATCATCATCATCATCATAATCAGTCTATAGAAAATGAAGCAACATAGGAAAGAAGAAAACAAAAGATTGTGGATCGGTCTGGTTCATGCAAGAAGAAAGGAAAAGAAGGAGAGATGCAGACGTATCGTAAAGGTCAGATGCAAGTATCGCGTTGGATAGGAAGTTCAGATCACCATAAGAAATGAGAAGAAAACACATGATGAAAACATTCTCTGAACGAAAGTCGGGTACTAAAACATGTTCTCAATGCACTAGGTCACTTACAAGAAAGAATCACCCTTTGTGCTCTTGAGGTCAGTGGCTTCTCCAAGGCTGTGTAGGGTCTTTCTCAACCTGTCGCAATCCTTGTCCAGATTGTCGATTGTGAGGCGCATATTCTCCACTGCGTGCTGGAGCTGCTTCTCCTTGACAGCAACATCCTCCTCTAATTTCTTGTTGTCGCGCTCGAGGTTTTCGATTGTCTCGGTCTTCTCCGCGATTTGTTGCTCGAGAGAAGACTTCTCATCCGCCCATTGCTGCTGCTGATCCGCAAAGTCCTTCTCCATCTCAGCCACTTTCTCTGCGTGGCTATTGTTGAGATTCTCGACTTCGCTAGCGTGCGCTTGGTGGGTTTCTTCCAGCTCCTGAGCATGGCGTTCACAGGTATCTTCCAATTCCTTTTGCTTGTCGGCGAGCTCGGTGGTCCTAGTCTCTAGTTGCTCTTTGGTGGAGGTCAACTCAGTCACCTTGGAGTCGAAGTCAGCCTGCAGGGCGTCATGCGCTTCCTGCATCTGCTGCTTTTGGTTCTCGTAATCGTTCTTCATCCCCTCCTGCTGGTCAAGCAATTCTCGTTCGCGTGCTGCCAGGGCTTCTGCTGCTGCCTTCTCGTCCTCCGCCTTGATCTCTTCGAAAAGCTCGGTCAACTCTTGCTTTTGAGTTGCAAGAGCTTCCGCCTTCTCTTCTCTGGCCTTGTCCATGTCTCGCTCATAGGTCTCGTATGCCTCCTTCAAGCTATTGTCGAGTGACTCGACCTTATCCTCAAGCTCGGCTTTGGATTGGGTGAGCTCCTTGTTGGAGTTCTCGAAGTCAAGCAGTTTCTCTTCAAGGTCTTTCTGCTTCTCATCGAGGTTTCCCAGCTCCATGCGCAGCTCATTGATCGTGTTTTTGAGCCGGGTGGATTCTTCGGCACTCTCATTCGCAGCTTTCCGCATCTGGTTTTGGAGTGCCTCAATGTAGAAGTCCTTGTGCATCAAGGCTTGCTCATGTTGAGTCTCCATTTGCTTGAACTCGGCCTCCCTTGCCTGCAGCTTTCCCTTAGTGTTCTTGTAGCTCGAAAGCAGTCGGCCGATGTCCGGGATAGCGTCCTGGATTCTCTGAAGAAGCTCGATCGGTTCTTCATGTTCCGGAGGGGAGATAGTACCCCCCTTTCCATTGAGACCATGCCCATTGGCAAAGCCCAGGTCGCGCAACATCTGAAAAGAAGCTGCTGAACCCGGATCTATGGAGCCTCGAGGTGTAGGATGTACGTTGGGGGATGGCTGATAGTAGGCATATTGGGGTAAGTACCCATTGGCGCTCATCATAGGCGAATGGTATGACGGAGGATAGGCAGGCATGGACTGCAACGGCACCCTTTGCCCCATTGGTGGCGGGGCCGACTGCGGAGACATGACGGGCGACATGTGGCCCCGTGCCAGCGGACTGCTGATCTTCGGAACGGGGGATGCGGGTTTGGCGACCGGAGAAATGTGTTTCTGAACTGGAGAGATTGTTTTTGCCAGAGGAGACGCTGTCTTCTCTCCGGGAGACGACGGTTGCGCCATGGGTGAGGTGGGTTGAAATACCGGAGACTCGGCTGGCGGTGTAGGGAAAGCATCCTGCTGGTCTGGCAGAGCAGGCTCCTCTACTGGCAATTCAGTTTCAGCCATCGGTGAGGTATACTGTTGTACAGGCGGAGCCGCTTGCGGGACGGGCGAAAGGGCACGTGGTGTAGCAGCAGCGCTTTGCGGAGCAGGCGAAACGGATTTGAAGGATGGGGACGCAGCGGGAGGAATCGGTGAAGCTGCTTGAGGAATAGGAGAAGCAGGCTTGTCAGCGAGTGGAGTCGATTCCTCGGGGATCGAGTCGGATTCAGGAATAGGTTGAGCGAGCTCTGCTTCGGGGAAGGACCCAGACATTGCAGGGTTGTGCAAATCGGCGGCAGGATCCGCAGCGTCAGCGTAGGCAGAAGCTGCCACGGACCGATCCTCTATTGGCGCAGGAGATTCCAAGGGTTCTGAAGGTGCTGGGACAAATGTGGGTTCGAGCGGCGTTTGTGGTGCTGTCACTGGGTTCTCCTCCGTGAGCGCTGCAGTGCCAGTAGGTTCAGCCAGACTTTCGCTATTTTCGTAACTCCCTTCGGCCCCTACTGCGTGGGGTTCCGACGAGCCTACTTCCTCCCAAGCTGGCTTTTGTGGCTGTTCAAGACTGTTCTGTGCATCGTTCACGTTCGGCTCTTGGCTGGGGGCAGGCTCCGAACTGGTTGGCTGATCAAACCAGTTCTCGTCACTCACCGAGGGCTGAGCTTGAGCCGCGGTTTCAGGGACCGTCGAGTGTTCCTCGACCACGACAGGTGATTGCTCCAGTTCCGGTTCTTGATGTGGCACCGACTCTGGTTCTAATGCAGCTTCTGCTACTGTTTCAGAGCAGTGCTCCGCCTCTGCTGTGTGCGATTCGACGGCAGCTTCGGCTTGCGGATGTTCTTGTTCGTACTGCTGCTGTTGCTGTTGCTGTTCTTCAGGCTGTATGTCGTGCTGTACCTGCTGTTGTTCCGAAAGTTCTGGGTGAGGTGTCTGTGGTTGTTGGTCTTGCCAGTCTACTTCTTGCCGTTCTTGTTCATGACTGGGAGTCACAGGTTGAGAGAGTTCCTGCTGTTGGTCCTGCTGTTCGTCGATAGATAGCTCAGGGTGAGGTGTCTCCTGTTGATTAAGTTGTTGTTCGTCTTGTTCTTCAATAGCGGCAGGCTCGGGCTGAGGTGTCTGGGTCCCAGAGGCCTCTTGACTCTTGCTCTTCTTATTCTTTTGTTTGTTACCGGCCCCTTTGCCGTTCTTTTTGGCCATGGTTGATAGTGGTGCGTGCCCAAGTTAGAAAAGTAAGGCTGACAGACGTGTTCCCAGTAAGCTGGAAACTTGATTCTGTCAGTAGAGACTCGATTGGGTGAGGGTGGGTTTAACAGTGTACATTTGCAGGCGCGTTCGGCGGTGTCAAGTTATATTCCGACTCTGTATAGGTACAGAGCGAACGCAAGGAACCGAAATTGGTCAATCTAGAAGCGTGGGCGATCACACGATCAGGCAGAGTTTCTCGGTGGCAAAATGGAAGAAAAAGGGATATTAGGAAAATAGGAGAATTAAGACGAGGAATTAGAGAAAGTGCAGGGAGTGGGCACAAATGGGTGTCATACACGAGACAGATGACTGGGTGTCAGATGGCAGCTTCGCCGGCGGGCAGACAACTCCGGAATGCCAGGATGACTTTCCACACGCTGGCTCTTAAAATAGTTGGGATGCTGGGAATTGGGGACCAAAGAGAAGAGGGACGTGGAGGAAATTTCGGCCAGCTAATAACCGGTTCTACGAAAGGCCCAAACAGGGAAGAATCGCATGGTGCGAGAGTCATTTCATCCAGCCTCAGGGGGGCTGGGCAAGGCGTCAAACGGACCGAACCTTAGAGGACGATTGATACCCATCATCAGACCGTGAATATGGCGGCCAACTAGGCAGGAGAAGCAAGCGTGCACTGCACACCTCTGAGAGGGGGCAAAGAAAGGAGTCAGAAGGGTGTGGACCGAAGCATTGGAGATCGGACTTGTGCCAGATCCAATCATCTGGCGCATTGGGCATCAAAGGCGCGATACTCGCGGTGGCCGGAGGAATCAGAAGAGGGCCGGGAGAAAGTGAGTAAGAACAAATTGCAATTCAAAGCTCGACAGCCTGAAATCTTCAAACACCGCCGCGGGGAAGGCAGGTAGTATGTGGGTGGGGTGTGGACAACGCTAACTACAGATCGATGACATGTCGCCCTTGATAACCAGAGGTTGCGGAATCCACATGATTTGGCAGAAGATGAAACCCAATTGACATCACGCTAAAGGCGAGCAGTGGGGAGCGCCATGTTGAAGTGAGGCAGTTAGCCATGCATCTGGGCCACCATTCTGGGTGCGGTGTAGATTCGCTGCTGACAAGCCAACGCAGCGACCCGCCAGTCCTCGGCCCATACACCTAAGGGGAGCCCCAGCCAGTCAGTGCTTCAACGCCGTTCGAGGGTTTCGAAGCGAAGGTTCCCTGATCCATCGGAACGAAGAGGGGGAGGGGGAGGTTTGCTGCAGGCAAGACGAGAGGTCCGAGGGTCACATTCGACCGACATGCACTTGTTAGGCTGTCAGAGACTGACAAGATGGCTTTGACAACAAAACAGCCTGATGATGATGATGATGGGTGGGAAGAAAGAGCCAAGGACAGTTTTACTGTACATACATACATACATACATACAACAAGTTCACCGCCCGCGGACCTGCCAGAATCACTTGAGTATTACAGAGGGCGCTAAGCCTGCTGAGGTAAGACTTCGACACGACGGCCCTAAGCCTGATCCAGTATCTATCACGTGATATCCGCCTCGAACCGCCATTCTGCGCTTTCAACCTCCCAGAAAGCCCAGCGACGGCATCGTGATTGTTCGGCGCTGCCAATTGTCTTCCTCCACACCATGTTCTTCGCCAGGCGATCGGTAGCTTCGGCGCGGCTACAGCTGCGGAATCAGCAGCCCCATCGATTTGGCTCTCATGCAGCTCACCACGCTGCCCCTGTGAAAGAGAGCTTCGGCGTACGTTCCCCTACCTAACGGTCCCCTCCAATGGGAGCGAACACCATCTGGCCTGCCCGCGATGGCTGCTAGGATCTTACACTGCAAGATCGCAGCATTGTTCCTGCTTTTCAAATGAGTCATGGGCTAATCCTGAGATCGACCAATCCCAACAGCGGAGTTTCTACGTCACCGTCGGCACCTTCGCTTCCTGCTACGTTATCTACCGCATCCACAAGGCCACTGAGGAATCCGGCTCCCAGTCCTGGATCGCCAACCTCATCCAGAAGTGGACTCCCTCGGAGCAGGTCTTTGAGCAGAGAAACGCCATCCGGACGGTGGCAATGGAGAAGGCTGCTCGCGACCGCCACTTGTTCGCCAGTCAGGGTCCCAGCGAGACCTATGGGTTGATGCAGCCCGAGTAAGTTTTCGCCATACCGCTTTCTGCCTGAAACCATTGTGGGCACTAACATTTGTCTTCCTCACTTGCAGGGTCAGCTTCCACCCCGTTCAGCCTTACAACCTCATACCCGGCGGCGATGCGGACATGAGCAAGGTCATCGCTCACTATGAGCACCAGAACCAGGCAATGGAGGAAGCCCGCGTTGCCCGGATGAAGAATGGCAAGGTTGTTTCTCTCTATGAATAGTTAAATTGAATTGATTTGAATTGTTTGGTCGCGAAACTCCGTCGGTAGACCTGGGAAGCACGACACGTTGTACATATAACAGGACAGTATTAAAAGGTTTCAATGTTTCTTTTCTTTTTCATTTCAGAACAATATTTTGATTGGCCTTTATTAAATATTCTTGGATGGCCGCAATGTTAGTCGGAAGTCTGAAACTATGTCCATCGTGGCTACCCTACGCAGGCCACCCTACTAGCTACCTTACTACGCAGTAATCATGTTCGCTTCCATGTCCGAGCCAATGAGAGTGCGTGTTTATCTAAGCGATGGCTGATTAGTATATCGTTCCAACATAGCATGACAACGATTATCCAAGCACAATCTCCAGAATTACTCTGCCAACACCTTCAGATTTGATATCCACTCGCTCCTGCACCGTCAATCCGCCGCCACTGACACCCTCAAGCACAGCAAGGAACTCGTCCACGCCACCACCCACACCGAAGTAAACCTTCTTCGCCGCTATCAAAGCCCTGCTTGGAACTCCCCCCTGCGCAGGCCGACGCAATAAGGCAACCAACGTTTCCGAAAAGGCCTGCAGCGAGGCAGGCGAGTAGATCGTCTCGCTCGCAAGGACCAACGCATCGCTTGTACTCTTTTCTCCGGACGAGAACACCAAATCCACAAACTCGGGCGACCAAGCGCCGGAGATAAACTCAATAGTGATGCCTCGTCTTTCCAAATCTTTCGTGAATCTCTCGACAAGCTCAGGGGTGATGTCTAGCTCCGCATCCTCGGTAACATCACATTCGGCAGATGGCGGGTTTCCCTGGGTGGCGGTGATATAGTTCCATGTCAGGAGCAGGTTCGGGAAAGTGACCAGACGGAGTACAGCGGAATTGTAGTCCGCGAATGTGAATTGAACCCTTCGCTGAGAGTTAGGTTCTACCGAAAGCAACTGCGCGAAAAGAGCCAATGATGGAATCGCAGTGCCTGCGCCCAGCTACCGATCGAGGAAAGTCAGCATGAGCAATGCGCTCGGGGGTTCGGGAATCACCCACCTCAATGAAGTGCTGATTCCTGTCGGTCCCTCCCAGTACATTGGCGTCGAGAAGCGATTTGGCCAGGTCCAGGGCACATTCCCAAGTCTTAAAGCCGCCCTCGTAGAAATTGGGTTTGATGTCGCCCTTTTCGAGGCCGGTAATCAGCTCGTAGTTATCTTCCCGATCTTCAGCAGTATCCTCTGCCATTAATTGAGTCCGGATGTCGAATACATCGCGGCGTGCAAGTGTCACTGAATTCCCTGAACTTCCATGCTGGGAAGTATGGATAGCAAGCTTGTTGTACGAGATTTGCGAGGGAAGAGATGAAATCTGCAGCAAGGTTAAACTTTGTCACACAGTTTAACATAAACCAAACAAGGGTTTTGACCGCAAGCTCAGGAACAATAGACAACGGAGTTCATGCGGTCTAAACATTCGGCTTTAAGCAACGCTTTGCAGCGCATTTGGCGGCGATGCTGGAGGACTTACCCACTCTGCCATATCATGACGCCTGGCTGGCACCAACTCGGGCAGAGCATCACTGACGCTTTTCCGAAAAGTGAAGTCCGCCTGATTGACTTCGTTGATCTCAGCATCGTCGACATCGATATCATCTCCCCCAAAGCCAAAGCTGAAAGCGGATGTCATGATCGAGTCAATTCTGGAAGTCAGCCGTCAGCTCTTGCTCTTACGGTTTGCTTTTTTCTGTGTAGAAAAGCGACGAAATAGAGCAAGCTTTCGGATGAGCAACGAAACAATTACACTGTTTCCTTCAGTCAAAACCAGGTGGGGTACCCTGTATAGATTGCACTGCTGGGGTACAGATGAGATCGAGAACCTTTAAATGTACGCAAATCCAAGAACCAACCTCCAAAAAGCTTATGATATGTATAAGAACAGTAGACAGTGCCCTCAAAGTGTTAAGGCCATAGCCACGCGAGGTCGACACCCAGCTCGAAGAAGCCTTGATCCTCTAAATTTTTCGCTGGCCACTGAGGAGATGACTAAGCATCTGGCATCGCCAGTCCAACGAAAACACAATCGAAGTAGAACAAGAGCTCTCGCAGGTTGGCCCGCGAAATGATTGTGATGAGTATTGGTCAAGAGTACATGGAGAGATAATATGCCTTTACGTTGGATACGTTCCAATTTAGCTGTCCCATTTGTGTTCTTTGGTTAGAGAACAATTCTAGTTTAATTACCAATCGGGTATGCTGCGCTCATGATAATTCCACAAGGGAATTCGTGATTCTATCTCAAAAAAATGTTATATGCAAAACCCACAATGCATTAAAAACTCATGGCTTGATATGTCGGTTAGGTTCCACCGGGGTCTTGACACGACGGAGGTGTGTGATCTAGCCCCTGAACGGGTCTATATTCTATCGCAGTAACGATTCTCAATCATTAGAAGTCATCCAACTAAGCGCTGCCGTTCTCCACCGGGTGACTAGCTGCAACAGCTTTCTTGAGGGCCTGGAGAACGTCGGCCGTCAGATCTTCAGCATCTTCCACCCCGCAAGAGATACGAACGAGGTCGTCGTAGACACCTGCAATCTCACGGTCGGCCTTGGGGATACCAGCGTGAGTCATGGCTGCAGGAACCTCGCAAAGACTCTCAATACCACCCAGGCTCTCCGCCAGGGTGAAGACTTTCGTGTACTTGCAAAATGAGTGAGCAGCCTGCTGACCACCCTTGATACGGAAGCTCAGCATGCCACCGCCCATACCCTGGCGGTGCTGCTTGACAGCGATAGCGCGTTGAGGGTGAGAGTCGATACCAGGGTAGTTGACGGAAATGACATGGGGAGAGGCCTCCAGGACCTTGGCGACGGCCGTGGCGTTTGTGGTCGCCTCACGTGCGCGCAGGTGGAGAGTCTTCAAACCGCGGTGGGCGAGCCAGCAGTCGAAGGGAGACGGGACGGCACCAATAGCGTTCTGGAGGAAACTAAGACGCTCTTTCAAGCTATCTGAGCTGAAGGCGGCAACGCCCATGAGGACATCCTATTCCTAACGTTAGCCGGTGGGCTCCACTGGCCATGGAGTCTGCGCTTAGCTTACAGAGTGACCGTTGATGTACTTGGTGACGGAGTGCACGACAATGTCGGCACCATGATCCAGGGGGTTCTGGACATAGGGACTCATGAAGGTGTTGTCGACAACCACGATGATGCCATACTTGTGCGCAATGGCAGCAACATTCTCAATATCGACCAAACCGAGGGTGGGGTTGGAGGGAGTCTCGATCCAGACCAGCTTGGTCTCGTTGGGTCGAATCAACTTCTCGACGTTCTCCTCAATGCTAGGCGTGAAAGTCACATCGACTCCATGGGCGGAAGCGACCTTGGTGAAATAGCGGTGGGTGCCACCGTATACATCGGAGACGGAAACAACGTGCGAGCCCGCCGCGAGAGACTGCAGGATCACAGCAGTGGTGGCAGATCCAGAGGAAAAGGCCAGGGCATATTTAGCGTGTTCGAGGGCAGCGATAGCTTCTTCGAAGTTGTCTCTGGTCAATGGTCAGTGTCCATTCGGCTCCTTCGGGGGCCGTCGATCTCACTGACCGGTTCGGGTTCGAGCTGCGAGTGTACTCGTAGAGACCGACGGGAGATCCAACGCTGGTTTGCGCAAAAGTGGTCGACAGAGAGATCTGGTTCCGGGAAGTTTAGTAGCTGCGTGATACAAGAGGTGGCAAGCACAGCGAACTGACCGGAGCAATAACGGCGCCGGTGGTAGGATCATGGGGAGCACCGGCATGCACTGCCAGAGTTCCGAAACGGCGTTCCTGAGAGACGGAATCTCCGTTTTGAGCGACCATTGTGACGAACTGTGGTGATTGAATGCGAAAAGATGGTTGGGGATCAAAGAAAGGAAGAGAAGGGCTCGATTTATAGTATGCTATGCTAGTGAAACAATTTCAAAAAGAAATGATGTGATCTCTCAACGCTTCCGTTTGCGATGGACACAGAGGCCGTCTTATATAGTAGTAAATTGTAGGTAGTAGGAGAGTAGTTCAGGCTGTAAGTAAGCGCCACAGAGAATGAGACAAGATTTGTAATGAGAGCAGAACCCCCTCAAAAGAAAGGACTACTAATATTATTATATTTTTGCCGGAATGCACGATGCGAACCTGCCAAGAGACCCAAGGGCGTAGAACAGGACCAAACTCCCTGACGGAAAAAAAAATTCAATGTGAAAAAAAATCGAACCAAAAAGATCCCAGATGGACGAAGGTGAGTTTCTTTTACGTTGCCGACTGGAGATCTTCCGGAATCGATAGGACAAACCGGGCGGGCCAAAACCCCACTCCGCCCAGTCCCGACTCCCCCTCAGTCCCTCTTTGTCGAAAATTCCATTGATCCTTCCACAATGCTCTGACTGCCGCCACTAACCGCCCGCTGCTAGACTAGTCGGAGGGGTCGGACGAGCGTCGGAACTTATCTAAATCATTACTACGGAGCGCAATCTATTCATTCCCCTTCCTGTTCCTTCACCATCCTATCTTTCTCTTAGTCTCGTCCTGAGCTGACGTGGGGCATAATGCACGCTGCAGTGCTGACCTCTCCCTGTTCTGATGAATTGTCTTAGTTAATTACTGCATATTATATATTTCGCTTTCCAGATGCCCTCTACCCACGATAACGATAATACTGATATTGATGGGAATGATGAAAGGTGCATAGGAAAAGGTATCTCAACTACGCCAGGGCCATTGAAAATAGAAGGCATGGCACTTGTGCTTGAAGACATCATAAGAACTCATGTTGGAGGTTCAATCACCCCCCAACGCGCAAAATCAAGGAGCAGTCACCATCTATCCATTATTTACACACCCAGGCCGGTTCCGGACCGAATGGGGCAAGAGAAACAGGAGTAGATGGCAGGTTTTATTTCGTTTCGGTGATTTCCCGTCATACATCCCAGATCCGTACATACATGAAGTAAAAGAATACTCTAGAACACCGTTGAAAGAAGCCCGTATACATTGCAGGAAAATGCCCAGCCCTGATGCGAAACCGTATGCCGTTAATGTGAGGTGATGCTGATTAATTCTCGTGTACAGGTATTGTTCTATCGAGCGATCATCTGGTTGGAGCCAGGGCCGCCCAGGATGCCTGCCGGTTGATGTATGGAGTTGACAGGTCGGGTGGAGAGAGAAGGAGAAGGTTCCCGTTTTGAGGTGGCCGACTGGAAAAGGCCCAGGCGGGCCGATGGGGGGGAGTAAGCAGCATGCTGAGAGGGACCTTGCGGAGAACGATGGTCGAAAGCATTGTAGGAGGCGGAATGGGGTTTCCGCACGTCAAGCGGGGAGGAGCTTAGAGATCGAAATCCAGACCTCTGATCTGCATCATAATCGGGATTGACGAAATGGCCAAGGTTCGGAGGAGCCTGTTCCTGATCAAACGGGGTGTTATTGGCTGATGAATTCTCCGCGATGGTGGAGGCCGAGCCGTTCGGTGCGTGGATGTCGACCACTCGTTTTTGGGCAGCAGGAGTGGTATATGCGGGAGCTCGAGGATTCTCAAAGATTCGAGCTTGGGGTCTCTGTGACAATGGTTGATTTTGATGAATGGGATGTTGCGGGTTGGCCCATGGAGTCTGCTCCAAGAAAGCCTCCTCTGCTGATGTACGGAAGACGCTCGATGACATTGCTGGCATAATTCCCCGGGGTAGCGTAGACTGCTGTTGAGTGACCGGGGGCTTTGTTTCGATTGATATCTGAGCATAGAAACACGTTAGCTGAGACTGCCGATAGTCTGCGTCATGCCTGGGGAGACCTACGCCCATCTTCTCTAGATCTTCTTCCAGCTCGGAAGGTCGCGCCGCAGACAGCGAAGGGGCCGCAGGGAAGCCAACATATTTTGCGACTCCAGCCATGATGGAAACCTCATGGTTGTACGCGGCTTGGTGTGCAATTTGCTGTGAGCGACGCGTCGGGAAAGGAATGTAATGTTGTGGACTGATGTCGTCGGTCTTGAAACGATCATGCTGTATAGAGTAAAACTGTTTGCTGATGGCGCTAGAATGTTTCTCGCGAATATCTCGAGCACGCTGAAAGTATGTACTATGTGCTTGCGCTCGCTCAGCTAGGCTCTTGTTGAGTAGAGCCTGTATTCGGTATTGAAATAGCGTGTGCTCGTATTTGATCTTGGAGTCTCTGTAGCGGGCAAGGCAATCGAGCTGCCGTAGAAACTCGGGGTGCGTGGGACTCGGGCCATTCAACATTTCCAGCTCCCGGTTCAGTTTGGAAATCCTTTCGTCGTATATTCTATTCAAGTCACAATGGTCAGTTACTTGGCGCCAAGTGCAACAGCAGTGACGGCAGACTTACTTGTCGCGTAACGTTGCAAACTCTCTTTCTAATACTGCCAAGGAATCCATGGCAGCTATTCGCTTTGCTGCTAGGCATGAAAAGATTAATACCGTGACAAGGGATGATCAGAATCTAGCAATGTCCGCAAGGCGACTTACACTCCTCTTCCATCTTGGCGGCGGCTTCACCGTCATCCACGTCTTCACCACGCTCAGCAGTATCGTCGTCTCCAAGATTATCATCAGCTTCTGCGCCCATTTCACCGGCGCCGTTCTCCAGATCGTCATCTGCGTCTCTAGCTTTCCGTCCTTTTCGCTTGCCCTTCTTCGCCCTCTTACCTTTCGTGGGGACCGCATGCGACATTAACTCGGGGGTCTCATCTGCCGGGGTATCTTCTTCAAGAGGTTTGGAAGGATCCTCCATGGGCTCAGGGCTTAAAACAATATCGTCCGGAGGCGGGTCGCTAAGGTCACTCTTCACTGAGCCGCGGCGTTTCTGTGACGGCAGGTCATCTTCGTCGAGTTCTGTGCCCAGCTCGTCGCCCGACTCCAGCCGTTTACGTTTTTTCCCGGCACCTTCTAATGATATTGTAGAGCCCTCTGGCCCAGAAGTCTCCTCTACCACTTCAGTGATACGGGTAATTCTGGCGCGAGGCTTGCTGGGTGAATCGTCTGCGGCATGCTCCTCTTCATCCCCCACATCTTCATACGTCGTCGACTGGGCCAATTTGCTAGGACTTGGCTCGTATCCAGCTGCGCTCACGACAATGTTTGTTTTAGAACGAAAATTGGGGGAATCCTCGATGCGCTCTGTTTCTGCCTCCGAGTCATTTTCCGGTGCCACCCTCTCGGGCTTAGGAGACTCGTAATCAGATGGTATATTTTCGGATACATCATCAATCTCGCTCAGACTACTCGATCGGTCGTCACCCATGATCGAATCGTCCAGTAGAAGATTCTGTTCGCCATTGGTAATGGTGGAGTCCATCCCAGGTGGCGCATCCACCGTCGCGGGCTCCGTACTTTCAGCTATTTCCATCTTGTTGCGCAGCAATCACGATTGTCGAGTGCTTGAAATGAAGGTAATATGAAGAGAATTGACCAGAGCGAACCTGGAGTTTGCGGTCGGTAGACTTATGGGAGGAGGGGGAGGGGGAAGGAGGAAGGCCAGAGGAGAGGATGGCGAAAGGGTCAAAGCAGTGGACCTAAGCTGGTGAAAGCCAGAATGTTAGACCGAATATCAACAAACATCTTAGCAAAGCAGCAAGAATGAATAACCAAATCCATAGTAGATCAGGCCCAAGAAAAGGGAGGAGGAAGAGGGGAGCGACAGAGTCCCAAAGGCGGTGCGGAGATTTGATCACACCCCAGATGGAGCGAAAGTCACTCTCGCTCCCGGCTTGGGCTCTGAGAACTGCGCCGGCCCAACAAGCAGGGTCCGGGGTTTCTGTCAAAGGGTCTGGAGCGCTGATTCTATGATAGTTGACCCAGGTCCGACCCTTCACTGACTCTAAAAGCATTGGGAAGCATACCGTTCAGCAATGCGCCGATAGTGAAATCCGTACTGTTTCAGCTGCCGCGACCGAGCACGATTCCCTGAACCACCGCGGTCGCGGAGAAGAATCCGAGGAAGGCAGACCTATCCACAAGATCCAGAGCTCCGACCTTAATCCTGTGTATGGATTCACTTTGTAAAAGTGCGCAGACAGACTTCTAGCCACGAGAAGTGAGAGGAGTCGTGAGGAGGTAGTGGTGGGCGTCGACTTTCAAGAAGCGGGCGAGACGACAAGTGCAGCGTAACGGCAGACTGGGCGGCATGGAAGAGAGAAAGTGATCGGCTGAGCAAGTAGAGCAAGGACTAAGATAGGTGGTTGAGACAGGGCTGGAACGAGACAAGATTGAGATTGAGGACCACTAAATCTGAGGCGCAGGACAGCAGAGATGGCAGCTTGGATGGCGCGGGAGGAGGGAGAAGAAGTGCGGCAGCAGCAGCAAGCAGCAATCATCCTCACCACTCACTAATCAGAGCCGGCGTCACCCTGTTGTATTCCGCCCGTATTGCGTTTCTGCCGGTTGTATATTCTCTTTGGCCGGATAGGGACTCACCGCCTTAAGTGGTTCGGTCAAAGCATTCCCACCATTGACCGGGGAGAGCACAACACAGCTCCTTCGCGGGCCAGAGGTGAGTTATGATATAAACTACTTCCAAAGGCAATAAGGAGCTCTCGAGCTATGCGAGTTACTCACATGGTTGAGTATGAATCATCTGAGCTCTTCACAATTGATTGAGGAACTAGACTGACAGCCGGCCCCACGTGATCTGCCCCGGCTTTCCGTCGCCAAGACCGCCTCCAAAAAAAGAAAAGAGAAAAAAAAGTTGGCAGAGCAATACGGAAACAGAAACATCCATGATAAGATCTAAAGCAACCAAAGCAACGCGTGTTACCATTTTCTCGAGCGGCGGACCTTTACTCATAAGGGGCATTTCAAATTTTACAACCTTTTTGCCGTCATGGCCAAGACAGATACCTCTGTCTCCCTTCTGGGAACAAGTGCCTCCATAGATCCTTCTCTGGCTTCCTTGTTCGCGACAAGTGTGCGTCCAAGGCTTCGTATCCAGTCATAGAGTCAATCGAGCTAACATGTTATTTTCAACAGGCTGGTCCTGTCAAGGCTCCTTTAATCAATGTCCCCGCAGCAAAGCGTGCTGTCAAAGATGACGAAGACAACGACAGCGAAGATGAGATCTCCGAGGCGGAGGATGAAGAAATGCAAGAGGCTACAGAAGCTGCGAGTGATTCTGGCAGTGTTTCAGCAGTTCATGCCTCCGAGATCTCTAGTCGGAAACGAAAGAGAGCGCCGGCAGAAGAAGTCGAAGACTCGTACATGCGTCGCATAGAAAAGGAGCAGCAAAAAGAGGAATCCAAGCGTCGCGAGGAGAAGGCCAAGCGGCAGAAGGTTGAGGAGGGTGAAAATGACAAGGATCATACCGACGAAAGCAATGATGGGAGTGATAGTGATGAAGAAAAAGGGGCAGAAGAAGAACAAGAAGAAGAAGAAGAAGAAGGAGAGACTGCGATGCCGATGCATGAGAGCCAGACTAGGGACGCTGAGAACGCAGAGTTAGACAAGTCTAATCGCACTGTGTTCCTTGGCAATGTCTCTAACGAGGCTATCAAGTCCAAGTCCGCGAAGAAGACGCTCCTCAAGCACCTTGGGTCCTTCCTTGACTCGCTTCCAGAATCTACGGGGCCTCACGAAGTGGAATCTATCCGCTTTCGCTCGACAGCATTTGCGAGCGGCGGCAAGGTGCCCAAGCGAGCTGCATTCGCTAACAAGGAGGTGCTGGACGATACTACACCATGCACAAACGCATATGCTGTGTACTCGACGGTACAGGCTGCGCGAAAAGCACCTACTGCATTGAACGGTACAGTAGTCCTCGATCGACATCTGCGAGTCGACAGTGTCGCACATCCTGCCAAAATCGACAACAAGCGGTGTGTTTTCGTGGGCAACTTGGACTTCATTGACAATGAGGTCAAGCCCGATGATGACAAACGAAAGAAGAAGAGAGCCCCCGCAGATGTGGAGGAAGGCCTCTGGAGAGTGTTCAACGCTCACACTGGTGGATCGAAAAAGGATGGGTCAGGCAAAGGCAGCGTTGAGTCCGTTCGAGTGGTCCGTGATTCTGCTACGCGTGTCGGCAAAGGATTTGCGTATGTCCAGTTCTATGATCAGAATTGTGTGGAAGAAGCCCTTTTGCTGGAAGGAAAGCAATACCCACCCATGCTTCCGCGCAAGCTTCGTGTGTCTCGGGCTAAGAAAATTATGAAGAAGCGCGATGAGGGTAGCAGCAAGCAAGGAAAGACGCTTGGGAGTGCGGACAAGACACTTCAGGGTCGTGCTGGCAAGCTCTTTGGACGTGCCGGTGCGGCCAAGGTCAAGGCTGCAGGAAAGACCTCCATCTCGCAGAACTCGTTGGTCTTTGAGGGCCAGCGGGCCACGGAAGGAGGGTCGCGCATCCGAGTCAAGGGGAAGAGTCGTGGCTCAAAGGCCAAGCGCAACAGTCGAAGTAGCAAGCGCGCTGCGGCATATAAGGCCTCTGGTGGGAGGAAAGGCAAGACGAGTCAGTAGACGCTGAGGAACAATCTTCTGTTCGTTCTGTATGGCGCGTTTCATGTATGTAATTTATCATCCACCGGGTGGACATACAAGATATTCAGGATGGGGGTTAAAAGCACAACTGGGTGTGGGCATCAATCCATATCTATGAGATATACCATCACTTACATTTCCTTTTGTGTGTGGGCCGACAATCTCTTCCATGGACTATCATGCTAGTGCTCATAACTCAGCTCCCTGGGGCTGTGTCGTTCGACTCCAGGAACAACAGTCGCCATGACGTCATCGTGTGGGCGCCTTTTAGTGTCTCACCCCATCAATTGATATCAATTAACCTTATCGATTGAGAGCTGCTACAAGACTCCGCACTCATATATTATCCGCGTCACCCCTTTTGACTAGAATCAATCTAAAATCTTCCCTCGCTAAACTAAGTTTCACACACTTGACTTGTCTTTATCTAGTCTGTGGCTTTGGTGGGAAGTGGGCGTTTTTGCCTCGGCCTTTTTTGTCCGCGTGAGGTGCAGTAGGAAGATTCGAACGCCTGCAACCGTGACCTGAATCCCAGATAAACGCAGAAGCAGGCCAGTTTCCGCGACAGTCTAAGCTTTGCTGCCTGCCTTGAATTCATTTTGAGTCAGCTCTATTGTTTATTAGAGACTGCAGTCTAGTACGCTCCTATCTCTAATCAGATCCAGCTTGGTGCCTAGCAGTCTTATCACCACAGGTGGTTTCTTTGTCACCCTTCATTGCTTGACACCAAGCGACTTTTGTTACCCACGCCATGATGCTTCCATTTGTCCACCGTCTTCGCGGAATTCGAGGGCAACCAAGCTCAAGACAACAAAACTCTGCGAGTAACAACAATGAGACAAGTAATTCATCGGGGGGAATTTCCGGGCACATGAATGACGACGTCTATTACCCAAACTGCTATGACGTGTTAAAGGTGCGGTATCTGCTGCAACATATTTGGAAGTGGAAGAGAGACTCGCAAGAGCTCTTTCCCCTTGAGCTTGTGGACATGATTTTGGATGCGGCCGAGCACTGGGCTACCAGCGAGTCGAGCCTGGAAGGAGAAACAACCGTTCGAAAAGATCAAGATCAGGTGCTGTTGACAACTGTACCATTGTGCTATGATGTAAAGGTATGCCTATGTCGGCTCTATTGCCAGCAGTCTCGCGCTCAACTATACCTGGGAAACTTCTGCGTCGATTTAAAATCGATCGAAAACTGATTTCCCTTCATAGACGTTGGGTACCGACTCCCCCAGGGTGCTTCCTCATCGTACTGTTCACCCATGCCGCAAGATCATGTTCACCATCCTAGCACATGACCAGGGATGGGGTGGAGGTACCCGCAGTAAAGGTCCGTACGACGGGTCTTATACATGGTTCGACACCCAAATCATTCACTCAGCTCAGAAGCCGCCTGCATCTAGCGACCAACCAACCCATCAGGAGCAACGGGTTCACTTTGAATCCGGTGATCCTCTTTTGCTTCCGAGCGCTCACAAGCTACAGTCAAACCGAACAGCGGAAAGAAGTCCCCAGTTGCATCAAATCACCTGGCATTATCTCGACGATATTCCAAGCGACTCAAGTGAGGCAGAAGAAATTGAGAACACTCAGGGCCGCGGGCGGGCAACGCTAGATGGCAGTCAAGTCCGATCCCTGGAAGTGGGCGATGCAATCCAGATCTGGGCGAGAGCGCGATTTGGAGGATGGATCAATAATGTTCAGCGGGTGTCAGTGCGGGTGTTCTGGGCTGTGTGATGAAGATGGTCGATAGGCATATCTCGATTGTCATAACCGGTGGTTAGTCAGACGCTAGAATATAGGACGCGATTGATAACTACGACCTTTGCAGGAGATCTGACTGACGGCATTTCTTGTTGATACCAGGCAGTGTGTAGCTCGAATTTATGGCATTTCCATGTATAAGTACCTGAGTCCACGGTAGAGTGGCAGCCTGCCAAATCAGGCATGCGGGAATTGCCTCATTCCGGCGCGGAATCACGCAATTGTGCCAAGCGCCCCATTTCTGTCATCCGTCGACTGAATATAAGGTCGCCAACTTCCTCAGGGCCATCTATAGATGCCTTTTTCCTCTTGTTGGAACTCAAGGCATGAAGATGCGAACAAGTCAATGGATAAAGGAGGGATTATGCTGCCCTTGCCCGGGCGTTTGCTGGCACTTGCTTCTTCGTCTCTAATGACACATTCTTGGACAGGATGCCAGAATACGCCAGCCGACGGAAAGCGAACGGCCCAGGATGGTTGTCACCAAAGCAGCAGCAGTCCGGTGGGGCAGGCCGCATTGGTTGCGTAAACGCCCGTCCACCATTGATCAGTTGACTGACTCTCGAATGCGAGAGAGTGCAAGCGGGTTGAACGGTGTGTGATACGTGATGCATGATCTCTCGTCCGAGAATGATGCGCCTGCCGTCGGTCTCTTTCGGGCATCTGCGCGGTCAATCGCCGATTGACTGTTTCGCCGACTGAACAATCCATATGGATTCACTGCCTCTGTGCATCTTTTCAGAGCGTTTATCATGGCTTTCCTCAATCTCTGTCCCCGAAAGGGCCTGATTCGATTATTTCGCCGAGAATAACTCCGGGAAATGCACTCCACTCTCTCGGCTTTCGCCATAAATTGCTCATTTTTGTCTTCTTCCCTGGTGGTATCCCCGGCTTGCTCTCCAGACAAAGCCTACTGTGCTTCTTTCTTAGTACCCTCTTGGAGCTTAAGACTGGTTCCCGTTGCCTGACAGCCTATGCAATCGGAAACGTCTTCACAATGGCACAACCCCAGAGATGTGCCGCCGTTGTAGTGGGAGCTGGTCCTGCCGGTCTGGCAGTCGTTGGGAGTCTGCTAGAAAAGCAGCTTGGTGGGAAAGTCGCCTGGGTTGATCCATACTTTCAAGGGGGCCGAGTCAACCGAAATTACCGCGAAGTCCCCAGGTGAGTGCGTACGGAGCAGACAGCCTGCTTCCGATCGATACAACATCGTAACTTGAGAGCATTCTTGCTGATACATTATCAGCAACACTAAAGTATCGTTCTTCCAAGCCTATGCCACCGCCGTCCAGCCCTTCCGGACCGTCATTACCAATACCCGCATGCCTAATCCTTTCACTACCATGGCCAAGCTTGACCAGGACAAAACCTGCCATTTACATCATGCTGCCGATGTGGTTCGTGCGCTCACGGACGGAGTCACAAAAATGGATGGTGTCCTCGCATGTCGGGGTACTGTCACGGCTGCAAATCTGTCCGAGCAAGTCAGTTCACGCTGCACCTCTAGAAACACTTCCTCGTATCACTGACTTGGTGTAGACGTCTTCTTGGACAGTCCGAATCAAGTTTCAAGACTCCCACGACGAAATTGATGTAGTGACACCCCGACTCGTTCTTTGCACCGGATCGTCCCCCACAGAGGTCCCCATTCCTGTCTCCGGGCACCACATCGAAAGGCTGGGCCTTGATGTGGTGCTGAAGCCTAGTGAACTGGTCTCACATCTTCCTTATGACAAGCCTACAAATATCGCTGTGGTAGGAGCCTCTCACAGCGCAATCCTAGCTCTACTCAACTTGCTAGACTTGGCTCGCAGCTCCCATCCTGAAATTCGTATTAAATGGTTCACACGTCATCCTCTGCGGTATGCGGAGTTCATGGACGGCTGGATCCTCCGTGATAACACCGGACTCAAGGGTCTGGCTGCCGACTTTGCTCGCCAACAGTTGGAGGACGACAAACTACCCCATTCTGAGGCTGGCCGCTTCATCACCAAGGTTGATTGCGGGGGAGGCCAGGAGTCGGCACAGTACCAGCGGGTTCTGCCCTCGTGCTCCTACATAGTTCAAGCTGTGGGCTTCACGCGTGACCCTCTTCCAGAGTTATCTGTTAACGGTCGTCCATTGGAACTCGATTTCGACTCGGCCTCGGGTGGCTTTTACGACGCCAACGGCCGAATTGTCCGGGGCCTGTACGGGGCTGGCATCGCGTTCCCGGAGCGGGTGATTGATCCACATGGCAATGTGGAGCACGCTGTCGGGTTCTTCAAGTTCATGAAGTACGTCAAGCGGGTGACTCCGCTGTGGACAGCTTCGTAGATGTGGTATGCTCATGATGTCTGCTTTTAACTAGCGTGTTTGTAACCCCTAATGCCTGGTTCCATAGCTGCCACCTCTGGTAGGTTGTCGGCTTTGCGTTAAAGTTCCATTTAGGAACATGATGACGATATGAGATCTTCTATGCTAGAGTCCTTGACTACGTACAAGGATGACCGGTTCATTTTCTGGGGACTTGCCGAGTTTTGACAGTATCTTACGATTCACCTTTCCAACGTCACGCATTCACCGGAGGCTTTCGCTGATTCACGTCGGTAGCCATCCAGCGTCTGGTCAGGAGTAGCAATATTCCATTGCGCATACTGCAGATCAGTCCATTGTTGATTTCAGGTATATATCACGATGTCATAGTATCAACCCTCCTGTCTCGAAAGCTGCCGTTTTCGACGAACAGTTTGTATGTCATTCGGTAGTCACGGCATCCGTATACTTTGGATACATAAGATAAGGATTGCGCCGAAGGACAAGTTATATAGTCCCCATAGCTAATTCCTGCATGGCGTACTCGTGGGCGCCATTTCCACGTTCATTTTCATCAGTATGCTTGTGCATAGCATTTTGGGCATTACTTCAATAAGCTCCTAAATATCGGCGACCTGAAACAGCAACCTGAATTCTGTGCTCATGTATGCCCTAATGCACTCCGGGGCCGGCAGATCACACCCCTGGGCAAGAAGCACTGCTGTACACATCAACCACAAAATAAGAGCACGGTCCACAAAATGAACTTGAAAACCCATCTCATCCATTTTCCCAAAAGGGTCGGTGTATACAAATAGTTAGACGCCAGAAACAAACACCGCAGGGAGTAATCTACAATATGAGAAAGAAGCAAGCAGACAGAAAGAAAGGGACAAAGAGATTCTGCCTAGGGAGACCCTCCTATCACCACCAAGAAATAGGACCCAGGCCAGCCATTTGCATCGAACCCTACCACCCTTTTAGTCAGACTTTACATGTAGAACACGTTCGGGTCGTGGAGCAAACTTACAATAATCGAATATGGTGGTTTCCGCTCGATCACTGCCGCGCCGTCACCGAGATCGGGGGCATTGGGAATCTGATCATGCCACTCCTCCATCTCCACGCGGAAACGGACGACCTCTCCGACGTCGAAGTAGAAGGTCGAGCCGTCCTCGTTTTCCCAGATCCAGACTTGGTCTGCGTAGTCGCTGTTTGGTCTAGGTTAGTGTCTGGATGAAGGAAGTTGTTGCGGAGCCGGGAGCACCGTGATATTAGATGAAAGGGATACTTACAATCTGGCACCGTCGAGGAGCAGGTCCGGGGGGACCAGGATATCGTTGAAAAATTCTACGCCGACTTTGAAGATGCCCCTGTTAGTACAGGTGGCCGCAAGAAGGGGAGTGGAAGAGTAGCTTCCGTGGTGATGGGGAAGCTCACTTTTAATCCCATGCTCAGTGGCACTGGAGATCTTTCCGAGCATGATCTCTCCCTTGAACGGACGGAAGACGATAAGCCGGAATTTTACTGTCACCGGAGTCAGGAATTAGGCCCGAATGTCGGTGGACTGAGAAGGAGCTTACCATTCACGTTGACTAGACCGGTTCCATGACCGATAAGACCGTCGGAGGACTCGAGCAGGTCATAGAAACCGATGCAGAGGCCGATTTTTTGAATCACCTGTCCCATGAGGTTAGTCCATGCATGGCATGAGGCAGAGATAAGTCTGTAGTAGCTGAGGGGCCAATGGCGGACGAATAAAGATTTACCTTATTGGCATATTTCTCGTTGATGTTATCTTCGAGGGCCACAGCGCTGTACTTGGAGAAATCCTCGGGAGAGATCTGGATCAGATCGGAGACGGTAGTCTGCAGTGGTCCGTCAGTCGATATTACTTAAGAGCACTCAATTTATTGCAACTAGGAAAATTGGGAATGAATAACACTGACAAGAATGAACATGCTGGGCGGGGGGTGCACTCGGCGTGTGGTGACGGGGGCCCGGGAATTTTTTTTCTCTTTCTCTGGACTCAATCCAGTAGTACAACGACACGAGAACTTGAACGAATAGACCTCAAGGTGAGACAAGATCCCATTCCATATCCCGTTTTTTCCAGCTGAGTAACCTTATTTTGGAGTTAAGCAGCACTTGGGTATCAACCCTCCGACGCCATATCAGGACAATTAACAGCTGGCTTGCACTTGAATAATATTACTACTGCATGCGATAAGATGCAATCATAGGAGGACAATTTCCCTTGTCGGACCAATAGCAGGCGGCAGATCGGCCTAGATTTTTCTTTGCCTGACAGTACAAATCTGAGGCAGACATCACATCACGTGTCTACTACCTCTCGGAACGGAAGAATCTCGGCGCCAGCTGCAGCGAAGGTCCCATCCGCCGCCCATTTTGTTATAAGAAGTAGCGCCGAGCTCGACCTCGCCGCCCTTAGCTTGTGAGAAAGAGAATGGCGTGCATGCTGGCTGTCTCTGTCACCTCTGGAAGATCGACCGAGATCTTCTCTCGCCATGAACAATAATCCTCAGGGGTTCTCTTTCCCTCCGCCTCCGCCTCCTCCTCCCTCTTCTCAACGACAGCACCAGCCGCCACACCAACCGCCACACCAGCAGCACCCGCACCCGCAGCAACAATATCACCATGGCCATAACGCGGCGGCGTATCCGTCTCAATATGGTGCGGGCTATCACGGTCAGCAACGTGGTGGGCGCGCTCCCGGTGCACACCATCGAGGTCGCGGGAGAGGAGGCTACGGGAACCATCACCGTGGCGGAGGAGGTGGACGTGGCGGCAGCCATTACATGACGCCCGATGTCAATGTCAACCGGGGATACTCGACTGCCAACGTCGCAGCCGCCGCCGGAGCTGGGCCTGTCGGCGGCTACACTCCCATGAACTACGCGGGATACACGCCTCAGCCTCTCTCTGCCACTCCGCAGGCAGTCTCGACCTCTCAATTTGCGCCCTCGCGGTCGCCGAATTTCCAGCATCGCACTACAACCACACCCTCATTCACCCCTCCTCCTCAACCCTACGCCTCCGCCTCCCTAGCACATGTGCCGCCACCGTATCAACCCCAGCCGAACTACCCTGCGGCCGCTGCACAACCCGCTCCTACATACCCGCCGGCCGTGCCTACCCACAACCATGTTACGCAACCAGTCCAACCTCAAATGATGGGACCACCAATGCGCTGGGGGTTTGACAACTCGGCGCCGGCGGGAGTTTTCCCTGGCGGACAGCGCGGTCATCAGCGAGGCGGGCGCTCATTCAACAACTACAATACCCAGCCGGATAAGCAAATGAACCATGGTAATAAACGGGACCATAACTCAGCCTTTGGTCGTCCACCCCAAGCCAGCGCGCCGCGCGTCGCTGCACCCCCGCCGGTCCCCAGCTTCGGAAATCCTCTACTACCCTCAAAACCTCCCCCGCCCGCGGAGGCCGCCCGAAAGCCGAAGAAGAAGAAGAGAAAGCACAATCAACTCGGGCTAACGCCGAAGACGGAGGAGCACGAGTCTAGTGAAGAGGAAGACGACGTGGACGAGGAGGCCCGACTGGCCGCCGTTGGAGGAGCCGCAGGAGCTAGCGCTTCCGCGCCTCTGCAGGTCACTTACAGGGGGCGGACCTCGACGTTACAGACGTCGGAGGACATCAAAGCGTGGATTGAGGAGCGTAAGAAACGCTTCCCTACCCAAGCGAGAGTTGAAGAAAAGAAGAAGGCCATGGAAGAGGCCAAGAAGGCCCGGGATGAGGCGCTGCGGCAGAAAAAGCTGCAGCGACAAGAGCAGAACCCGCCGCAGAAGGATGCCAAGAACCAAAAAGGGCGCGAGCAGCTGAATCACAAGGATCAGCGGAAGGATTCTAAGGATCCCGTCGATATCGCTGCAAAGGCCAAATTGAAGGCGGATAAGCTGCGGCGGAAATTGATGAGGGAAGAGAAGCGAGTCGCGAGAGCAGAAGCCGATGCTGAAAGGGCCCGTATGAGGGTGGAGGAACTCCAGAAAAGCTCAACAAATACAGCCACAGAACAGGACCAGCCTGACGCTCCAATGGAAAACGCATCGGAGTCTCAGATTAAACCACCGGAGCCAACCACAACTCCGGCTAGCGGTCCAGGTGTCGAAGAAACTGCCCCTGCAATCGATCCCAAACCAGATGCTGCGGGGACTCACGCAGGGGACGCGGCCAGCGTATCATCTCTAGATGACTCCGATAGCAGCGACTGGACGTCCTCCAGTGGATCTGACTCGTCTTCCGAGGATTCTGATGGTAGTGATAATGATTCTGCCCCCGAGGAAGCAACATCCAAACGGGAAGGCCCCGAGCGGGTGCCTCCACCGGCACGCGAGACGAAGAAGAAGGTATTATGCCGGCATTTCGCCCGTCGTGGCCGTTGCAAGCATGGAGACAAATGCAAATTCTCGCATGAGTTGCCCGAGCGCGGGACCAAAGCGAAACCCACCGAACAAAAGGGACGAAAAGGGCTTCTTCAGGCAGTAAGTTTTCTTTACCCAGTTTTCGAGTCACACGCATGCAACTAACAGGTACAACCACCAGCTTTTGGATCGGCAAAAGACCGAGGATGATCGCAAGGTGATGGAGGCGATTGTCTGGCTCGGGGAGAACGGCATGCTCGATGCACCGAAAGAATCAGGAGACAACAATGATGCCTCCTCCGCAGCCGGGGACGTGAAGACTGATCCTGGAAACGAAGACCGTCAAAACTTGGTGGTGTCGGAGACCACGGCGCCCGGACAAGGGGGTGACGCCGCTGCACCTTCGACTGCATAGATGACTGCATGACATAGAGACGGGTTTTCAGCGCCATTGCAGCGGCAAATGCAATGTACATAAACCGATACACACCCCACCCCCACCACCAATGTAGACCTTTGTGAAGTATAAATGTATGGATCATGTTGCGTGAGGTGCAAGCAGGGGCCAACGCCCGACGCTCTCCCGCCAAGCCCGGCTTACCCTGCGTTTTTCTTCCCCACAAGTCGGCTAGGATCCCCTTAATGGAACAACAGTGAAGAGGATTGAAGAAAAGACCCTATGGAGCTCATTGGCCCGCTCAGACACCTCGAGAATTTGCGCGCCTACGACAGTGGAACCTACCGGTAGACCTGATCTACGTTCTTCCTTGTACTCTACACAACCCATCAGCCTCAAAATAGCCATGTGGTTTTCCTCAGGATAAGAACTAGACCGAGTTCAACTTCGTAATTATGCTTTCTTACTGCGAGCAGCTCTAGATAATGCCACTGGGTGCATGAGCTGCTTTTCTCGGCGGAGCAGCTTTCCGGAACGGGAATCGGTCAGAGCGCCCAGCGCCGCTGGGCGTTGAGCGATGGAGGTCAGTACTTGGTACTTCTTGGAAAGGGGTTGATCCGTTGTTGGAGCTACAGGCTTGAACGCCATGGAAAATCTATGAGAGAGGAGACAGGAAATCGATGGACATTTGGACTGGTTGAACGTTGAAGACGGACGGGACTCGGGATGGACGATCGTTTGCCAGTTTGGGTACGAGGAAGTGGGCTGGGGAAGATTTATGAGAAGCTACGAGTACTTGGCTTACCGAATTAAGCAGTGGGAGTGAGCGGGAAAAGGAGGGTTTGAGTCGTCGATAATGGCGATTGATGCGTTGCGAGTCATCGGGAGTAGCTTGCCAGGTGGTGAGGGTCGGTCTACTGTGTGTCTACAATTGAGCTGAGGTCTGAAGTACTCTTGTACTACTTAAGTAAGTTGAGATGGGATCGGAGGCAGTCTTGAGAGGCTCCCCGTCCATGTCTCACTCTTAATTCCAGGGCTGTTGAGGGCCAGGCTTCTTAGACCACTGCTGCTTTGACCCTTTAATATATCGAAGACAAAGATCGGCCCTGGTTGCGATAAGATACGAGTACCCTGGCAACTCAAATCATCAAGGCATCAAATCCAATCAACGTTCTCCGAAAACAAGCAACTACGATATGTGTGACCCTAACGAACCAGGGAAGCATGACCGTATTTCAGCTGCGATGGCTTTTGAGGCTCGAGACCGAGTCAGTAAGTGGGCAATTAATGAGCATGAAGAGAAGAGAAGGAAAATGAAGCCCCTGCCGGTTATGGTACGGTACAATACGGGTCAGGGACCATCCAATTGGAATGGATTGGGGGAGGGGCAAAAAAGCGGCTAACAAACCTTGCTGCGATGTGGAGACCAAAATGAGGTACAGACCCCAGCTGATTTGTGTTTTTCTTTGCCAATTCGGAGGATCCACCCCTTCTTGGATGTGTCCAGACTCCAGACTTCAGACCAGTGGATGAATACCCTACAAAGGGACCACGATGATGGAAGTGGTGCCGTAGGACAAGGCAGCACGGCAGTGTCAGCCTAGATCCTAATGTCTGACTCCTCTTCTTCCTTCTCCCTCGAGGGATCCTCTCGAGGAGCATTCACTTTCCACCGGGGCGTCAATTGGTGTCAATGGGTCTATCAAATTGGTCAATTCAAAGGCTTCAATCAGATTCCAGTATCTTAGGATTCCTATTCTTAGAGGGGGGATAGCCTTGTCTAAGCTCAATGAGGACAAGAGCACTGCAACCAACCACGGCCGGTTCTTCGATCTATTGAACATTCGACTTTCCACTGCCATTGCCACAACTCGACCGATGGGCAATTCAGACCGGAGGGGGGAAGGGAAGAAGGGCACTCAGAAAGGGGACTAGTCCTCAATGCAGTCTAGTTTTGTAGATGAAGGTCTGGTACGCTAGAATCAGGAAACAAAACAGTTCATGCCTCCTCGTGCTGCTGCTGCTGCTGCTGCTGTTGCTGTTGCTGCTGGCTGTGACTGTCACCTGCCTGGCTGGTGTTTATTAGTCTTCTCATCGCCTTCCTTCCCTACCCTTTCCTTTTTCTTCCCTCTTTCTTTCCCTTCTTGTGCGACAATCTACTCGTTTCCTCTCCCCCCAAACACGCAGTCTTTTCCATTCAGTTCGTGTCTACTCACCCGGTTCACTCCTTTGACCGTCTGACTAAATCGCATCTTAACTTCCACTCTTTCTCCCCCCACTCAATCACTCTATTATCCCGATTTTGCATTAATAATCCCTCCCCGGGTTTATATCTGATTCATTGTCTATCTTAATACTTCACCGTATACATTAACACCACCCATCAATCATCATGCGTTCCATGTTCTACCTTGCGCTCAGCGCCATGGCTACTCTCGCCAATGCTGCCAGCAACCCTTTCAACGTTCCCACTGAAGGCTATACCTTCACGGCCGGTAGCCCGACGACTCTGACCTGGGATGCCAATTCCAACGGAACCGTCAGCCTGAGACTCCAATGGGGTGCTGTCTTCACCACCTCTTCTGGTGACAGTCTTGCCGGTGAGTACCTGCAGCTTCGCGACTCGTTGCCGATCAATAACTGATTATCACTAGCGGGTGTTGCCAACTCCGGCAGCTTCACCTGGACTCCTTCCGCCAGTCTGGTCAGCAGATCCGATTACGCGATTGAGATCATCAACGATCAAGACACGGATGATATCAACTACACTCCTCGCTTCTCCATTGCTGGTGTCACCGGCACTGCCTCCACCTCGACTGTCAAGTCCACGACTTCTAGCTCCTCGAGCACTTCCTCTTCCAGTGAGAAGACCAGCTCCGCCACCGCCACCACTCTGTCCACTGTGACCAGCACTGGCGCGGTCTCTTCCACCTCCCCTAGCTCCAACTCCACCGCCGTGACTGCGTCGAAGACCTCCACCGCGTCGTCCTCGTTTGAGTCGTCCAGCGCTGCGAGCACCACCGCCGCCAGTGCCTCTAGCACCTTCATCCCGGCCAATGCCGGGGTGGTCAACCGGGCGTCCACCGGCATGCTCGCGCTGATTGTCGCCGCTATCGCTCTTGTCTAGAGGGTGGCTGAGGACCGTTGTTTATCATGGTTGACTTATAGATGACTCTTTTCCACATTCTAGTACATAGCTTTTAAGCGCAATTCTTTCACGCCTTCACTGTTTCAGCTCTTCTTCTCTCCCTGTCATTTCCTACCAGGACTTTCTTCTCAACTGCTGCCCGGTGTGAACGTCAAGGTTATCTCGAAGTCATTCGGGTTCTCATGAGGCGGGCGATGTCGTGGCATTTTCATTTTACAATTTTTACTACCACGTTGTACTCCAGATCGGAGGAGCTAATGGTTTTGGAGGTCGAGTTGTATGGTATGAGGATGTAGATACGGATACTGTAATGAATGACACCAGTCTTCAAGAATGAGCACGTTTTAGTGAGCACCTGTCACGAGGGATTTTCGTGGGGGAGGCTTCTTGGGAATGCGGCTGACAGGCAGGATACCTCGGGACGGTGTTGTGCCGCGATCTGCCGTGGCATGCGGTGTACTGTACCTGCATCGCATGTCCAGAATCCACCAATCGGTCAGCCAGCATGGTAAGCACTTAATAAGCCAGGCCAGGGTCTCTGCATCAGCACACCTCTTCTGGGGTACTGTACTTGCTCCTTCCAGTTCTTGGGAATGTCGATCTCAACCTCCGGGTGTCAGAGGTGACATGAAAGGAAGATCGGCAGACGGGGAGAAAGGACAGTAAAGAAACCAAACAGAACAGCATCGGCCATCCAGATGATCATCATAAAGAAACAAAGGACCGTTAGACACTCACCTCTTCTCAGCCTGGAGCTGCCTTTTGAGGTGGGTCATCTTGAGTGGCCGGTGGACTCGCGCCGGAAATTAAAGCGCCTTCGGGCCCGGGGGGGTCCTGTTCCGCTAGGGTCACTGACTGGTCAGCCTTTTCGCTTAGGTTAATGTTAGTGGAAAGATTCCGGTCGGGTATTCGCGCGGTCCGTACAGTATCAATTCCATTGACAGACTAATATGGTTTATTTATCTTCCCCTATAATGGTGGATGCTGACTTTCCGAAGTATCTAGTCTAGGATACGATAAAATCAAGTTGCCGTTATCTGAGACAGCAGCCAAAGAAGCTTTGGAGGATTTGCCTGGTGGAGCAAGATTGATCTGAGTATTGTCATTGAAGGTCCACTCGATCCCGAGGGATATCGTTTGCATGCATCGAGGGGAATGATAGCATGGCTATGATCGTCCAAATCACCTCTCAGCTGGTCATCTAATAAACCTATCCATATTCGATGACATACCGCGCTGTGTTTGTCCTCAGTTTCCGCCAATGGTACCACCGACGGCGTGGAATTGCTATCTCCGAGGCCTTCTCATTTCCACTCTGCGGACTGGACTAGCTGAATCCAGGTAGTTCCTCCATCGCGTATGCCAAACTCCGAGCCCGCTAGGAGACATTCTATCTTACGGACTTCGACTCCTATCAGTCTCGACCCTTTCCACTAACTAAATCACTCTCCCACTCAGTACGCACTCTCCTCCCGTCTCAGGAGCACGGGTCAAGCTAGCCAACCTCAATAGACCCAATGGAACCGAGCCTACCAACCCATCATCTTCCTTCAACCGCCCTCAAGAACGGCCCTAGAAATATAGATAGAACCCAGATTAACGTTCTCGCGTACAGTACAGTACACTACAGTAGCCAAGGCTATCGACTCCCTCGATCGACCCTTACCTAGGTATCCCTACCTGGGCAACCAACTGCACGAGGGAACAGAAATGATACTGCCGAACTCCTCT